GTGAATTTCCTCTTTTTGGAAAAAGTCGTTCATTTGAGAATTTTTAAATTCTTTTCCCTTATCTGAAAATATACGGTGTGGTTTCATAGGCATTTGTTTTATTAAATCATTGAACGCTGTAACCATATTTTCTGCAGTTTTTGATTTTACAGGTACACCAAATATTCTTTTAGATAAAACATCAATTCCCAAAAGTAAATATTTATTTCCTTTGTTGTGTCTTGAGATTGCCTGAAAATCTGCCAAATCTACTTGAACATCTGTCATAAAACCTGCAGGTATAGTCAATGCTCTGTTAAAATGAATACGTTTCGGACGCATCAAAGTATAAGTCCTGTGTCCTTCTAAATAATCTTGGACAACATTTTTAGGTTTGAGTACTTTTCTAGCCTCCTTCCATAGTCTATCCACACCTGAAAAGGCGGCGGGAGACTCTGGATTATTGTATAAATCTTGTAAAAGTTTAGTATAATCACCCATCTTTACCACAATGAAGGTTTAAATGTTTTACCGCTTGCTTCTTTGCGTTTAGCTTTTATAAGCCTTAGCATCCATTCTCTACCTGCTCTTGCTGATTGTTTTTTCGTAACAGGCTTCACCTTTTTCAGAGCAATTAAGGGGCTTTCATCTGGACCTTGCCATTTTCGTTTTAACTTTTGACGTCTTCGTACGTCATCTTCTTGTCGAGCCTTTAGCATTGCTGATTGGTCTAGAGGGATTTTTAGTTTTCTTATATCCCTTCTTTTTAATTCCCTTTCTTTTTGTTTCTTCCTAATATTTTCTAGCCTTTGATCCTCCCTTATTCTTCTTAATTCTGCTTTTTTCCGCTCCAACTCATCAATTTTCGTCCTTTTACCTTCTTCGATATTAATAGATTGCGACCTTTTTGTACCTTGGGGATTTGGCGGTGGTGGTACATATGTAACCTCTTTATAGTATTGCGGGGTGTAAGGTATCTTTTGCTCCCTGATAGCCTTTTTCCTTTCTAGATATTGTCTTTTCTTTTCCCTTTTTCTATAGTACTCCCCATCATCGACGATTTCTTTTTTAATAGGTTTAGTTTCATAACTTTCATCTATTAAATGTCTTCTTTTGTCCGTTCCAATCTCTTCGACTCGCTTTCTTTTAGAGGGTTTGTAATAGGTAGGAATAGTTGGTTTTTTAATTTTAGGTTTCAATATAATTGTTGGTTTAATATCAGGTAGGATAGGTGGTATAATATTATAAGATGGTGTTTCTTTTGGATATGAACTAAATGACATATCTTCACTCATCCATAGATTATCGTCGTCTTCCCCAATATTTGAAGCTGGAAGAGAAGCGGTAGTATTCATAATTGCACCTTTTGGACTTGCAACCATCTCTACCTTAACTGGTCTATTTTGCTGTTCGTTTCGTAATTGCAAATATCGTCTAAGCTCTTGATTATAGTGAACATTTTTTGCACTAGGTGTTTCTCTTTTAAGTTTTGTTTTCTCGAGACCTTGACGTACAAAATCCAGGTTTGGTTCACCTGTATCATAGGTTGTTAAACCCTTATAAATTTCTTCTGGAACTAAAATAAATTTATTTGCCATAATTAATTTTATATTAAGATGTAGCAGGGGCTTTTATAGTCATCATCCTTGCCATTTCGATGAGTACAGGTGTCAAAAGGGCGGCAAAAACTCCTACTCCATCACCTTTTTGATTAATAACATGTCTGGCGCCGCGTTCACTCCTAACCCTACTCATACTTCGAACAAATTCGGCATGAGGTAATAATCTTTTCTTTTGACGTGTTGTAAGTTTGAACCTCTCTTTAACTATATTTAAACAAATTTCAGCTAAAGCTAAAAGTTGTTCATTATTTGACAATTTTAAAAGTCTTTTACTTTTTCTTTTAGATTTGGTCTTTGACAATAAATGTAAAAATTTTAAGTTTTCATGAATTAATTGATTAACCATTTCCGTTTATAGGAATAAAAATTATCTTTTCATCGTCTTCCTTAAATATGTTGGTCCTAAGACGGAGGGTAGGATCCGAAGAAGCATGCATATCGACGAGTAAGTAACCAAAAGGTTGTTTGGTTGCTTGCCGATAAGAATCAAGAAAATAATCCAATTGTTTTGGAAATAATTGTACACCTATGTTTCTGATAGATAGCATAGAATTTGGTGATCTCATCAACACAAGATATTGAGAATTTTGTCGTGCTACTTTAATCTTCTTATCAAATAAATTTTGTGTGACAAAAATTACAGAAAAATTTTGATGGTGTGATTTTTTTGTGAATAATTCGGATAAATATTTTTCGTCAACTGAAAGAATTAGATCATCAAGAATTAGTAATAGTGGCTTCGGATATTTTTTAATCAAATCTTCAGGTGGAACTCCTGCAAATACATCAACTCCAGATTTTTGCAAAAGAGGTACAATATTGTTCATCTCACCAAAGCAATAAAGTATGGACTTTGGTTTAGGCTCAATTAAGTCTGAAGCTTCGGAAATAAATTTTAATAACAGTGTACTCTTTCCACTAGAACTAGGACCAGATATAATCATTCCAAAAGGTAATTTAAATTTTAAATCTTTATTTGAGAAAGCTAAGGAATTCATTATGAATAATTTATGAATATAAGAAAATTTCACTTAAATATCATTTTAATCGGTTGGTATTCCTGTCACCGTTGCATCTAAACTCTGAAAGAAATCATCCAACTCTTCTTTTGTAGGAAGTGTATCCAAGGGTTGGGGTGTCTCTGTCACCTCTTCAGGAATTGTGGGGGGACTTTGTGGTGGTTCAGTTTTGGGACAAGGAATCTCTGTAGAAGCATTATAGGGTACATTAAAAACTCGACCTTTATTCTTTACTTTGAAGAAGCAATGACCTGGTAAATCATATAATAAATCAAAAGGAACAAATCTACTTCCTTCAAATCGTGTGCAATAGACTACCACTCCTTCCTTTACTATTATAAAATCTAGTTCAACTTCTGTGCTCTTACACTTACGACACTTCCCTCCTTGGTCATAGGGAAGAAAACGGGGAGTTGTATAACGGACACTGGAAATTGTAATCCCAGTAGATGAAATATTAAATTCAACTTCAGGTAATATCTTTGGGTACTTCATTTTTAAATTATTAATCTCTGTCTTATGTCTCCGTTTCTACAAACTTAGGAATATTAGACGTGAAGTAAAATTTATACGAAACTAAACAAGTACGGTATAAACCACCATTTTGAATATATTAGATAATTAAAACTGGTAGAGGAATTTAATACATGAGGGGATGTTGCAATAGTTCGATTCAGGTTCAAGTCTAATTGTAAACTGTCATTGTATCTCTTTATACCATAGTGGCGAAACGGTGTTAACCTATAAAATTCAAAGTCTTCCGCATTCGCCCTAGACCCTTTTAATAGGTGTATTGGACACTGACACCTTCCTGGTATAGGTCCTGTAATGTTAATAGGAAGATTCAATAAGTATTTTGGGCATCTACAGGGTTCCTGTTTCCACATATCCTGCCATTTGGGATCATCTACTAGAGATAAGTTTGAAGAGGAAGAAAGGGGAAATAATAAAAATAATATGAACATTTTGATTAAAGATTACATGAAATTGGGGTCTTTTATACCATTTCCTTTCAGAATCTCCTGAAAATGATATCTTACGACTCAGCTCGTCGAGCCGGTCAGAATGAGTACCCATATACCTATATTTGCAAAAGTTTCGTGTTCCAAGGTCTAGAACTCGAGTTTACAGCTCGATTTTAGATTGAAACCAGTTTGTTACGATTTATCTCATCAAACTGATCAAAATGTCAAAAATGACATATGTCAACTGACATATGTCAAAATGTCAACTGACATGTGTCAGGATGTCAATTTTACCATAGAGTATGTGGGAAGGTTAGGAAATAGTTTGGCGAAGTGTTTTTTTAGTTATTTGAAAAGGTACCTCTTTTGAACCGGTTCAAAACCATCCTTGAACCCTTTGGGAACTACTTGAACTTTATTGAACAATATAGAGATAGTATAGTAGTTTAACTACTTTTTATTTTATATTTAATTTTTCCCTATCTAACAATAATTTTGAAAATAATTTTTGCATGACCTACCTATTCTATATAATAATTACTTTACAACAATAATTTTTGCAAAATTATTGCATGAATGATTTTTTTTGTAATTATTTCTATTTTTAATAAATTTTTGTATTTTTTCAACAATAAGAGTAAAAGTGAATAAAAAGAGTATTAGAAAACAGAGAAGATAGCTGGAAAGGTGAATTTTAAAAAGTAGTTCACATGTTTATGTAATCTTATATATATGAGCAATCATGTTTTGAACTGGGTAAACCGGTTTAAAACAACGTCTTAACCCTAGTATCTTTCTAAACATTTTATGAAATTTTGTGAAGATTGAGGGGAATGGTTTTGTAATGTTTTTTTTTGTAATTATTTTTAAAAAGTTCAAAATTAAACCGGTTTGATCAAATTACCCCTTAAACCTTTTGGAAACTCCTTGGACTCTGACGACGGAATGGTTGAATGACCGATTAAGAAAGGGGGAGGGGTTAAATGAGTGGACCCCGCTGCCCCCGCGACACGGAGGGGTGACTAACTACTTACATGGAAATGAAGCAAGCTACCTCTTATTTCTTCAAGGATCTAAAATTTAGCTTTTTGCTCACTACTCCTTTTGAATTAGAAAGATAATTTTTTAAACATGATCTATTTTATAAATTATTTTATGCTTTATTGAATGGTACCAAAACCATTAAAATTGGTTCAGGGAATCAAAAGATACATCAAAAAGTATTGACCAACCTCCACGTTTTATAAAAGAGACGTTGGTTTAATTTTTAAATAAAAACACTTTTTAATTAATTTTTGGCGTTCTGTTTTTTTCTTAATATCTCTAACTACTCTATTCCCTAACCTAGCGAAATAGTTCGCTTTTTCGCCACGTCATCTTCAAAGTTTTCTTGTTTTTAATTTTTTCAATTAAAATTTTTTAACTTTTGTAATCTTTTTAAGCTTATTTAGCTATAATAATTTCAGAATAATGGCTTTATTGAAGAAATTTGAGTCAAAAAGTGCTCGAGTTAAAGGTTAAATTTTTGATCAGAAAGGTTTAGGCTAGTTGGGTGAATTTAAGCTTTGTCCGCCCTTTTTGGGTGGATCCGTTAAGTATTCCTTATGGTTGAGGCTACCTCAAAAATACTCATAGAGCCAAGAAAAGGTTCATCCAATCCATCTGTTGGTTTTTTCCTGGAGTCAATCAATGCCTTGAGTCAAGTCATGTTTCTTTGATTCAAGACAGAAATTTGCCTTATTGAGAGTCAAGGTCTGCCTTAATTTTAAGGTCTGCCTTAGATGCCCCTGACCGCTCTCCAGTAGAGATCGAGATTTTTGAATGGCCTGGGCTTGTAGTCCAGGGAAATCCCCAGGCGTTGGGAACAGGCTCAGTTCTCTCCGTTTACTTGACTCAGGATCGACTAATTTAGCCGCCACGATTTCAGATTTCTCCCTTTAGTTCTAGCAAATCCCCAATCTGTCCCCATGTCTTCTGTCCAACTATAACTCGCTTCCATTCCTTTCTAAGCTTTATTTTGTTCATAAACCATATTTAATATTTTCTTTATTACAGGAATTTCATTTCACCCAACTCGTCCATGGGTGCTAGCGTCGCTTCACAGCGGAGTTATACAACTTTGGGATTACCGCATGTGCGTCTTAATTGACAAGGTTTTCTTTAAATTTGTTTTGACTCATTCAAAAATTTTATTTTTAGTTCGACGAGCACGATGGTCCTGTTAGAGGAGTTGATTTTCACTCGCAACAGCCAATTTTTGTTTCTGGGGGAGATGACTACAAAATTAAGGTTGATTTTCTAAAATTTTTTGAAGTGGCTTGTTTTGTTCTTCGGTTGAGGGCTAACTCGAGGAATCCCAACTCACGGAACAGACAAATTTCGGAACGACATGTCACGGAAAGACCAAAGTCAGGCTGTGAGTTGTCGTTCCGTGAAATGTCCGTTCCTCGAGTTAGTCTGACACGTGTCGTTTAGGTCTGGAATTATAAACAAAGAAAGTGTATTTTTACGTTATTGGGACATTTGGACTATATTAGAACAACTTACTTCCATAAACAACATCCTTGGATTATTAGCGCCTCAGATGACCAAACTGTTAGAATTTGGAATTGGCAATCGAGGATTTCTATTGCGATTTTGACAGGTTTGTTTTGAGGGTTTTTAATGGTTTTGAGGTTCCTAAAGCCGTTTTTTATGTTTTTGAAAAAAATTTTTGCGAGTTGGCTGGCAAAACCTGGACCCACGCATTTTTGGATTCTTCGGGTTTTCTGTCTTTCAGGCCCGTGATCCTGACTCGACCTTTTTTTAAATTCCTTTTTAATCCCCCTCTCTTTAGTAGAGACTGGGACGTGCGCTCGAACATATATCCTGGTTATTGTCATCGAGATTCTTCTGGATAGGTGTCTCATATGATTTTTATACGGCACTTTCCGTCATGCCCCTAATCTTTATTCCACCCCCTATTTTCCATTTTAAGGCCACAATCACTATGTTATGTGTGCCCAATTTCATGCTACCGAGGATCTTGTAGCCAGTGCTAGCCTTGATCAAACTGTTCGTATTTGGGATATTTCTGGACTTAGAAAGAAGAATTCGGCGCCTGGAGGAGGCTCTAGCGTTACAAGTGGAATGAGCCGTTTTGGTTCAACTTCTGTTAGTTCTGCACAAACTGAATTATTTGGACAACCTGATGTTGTTGTAAAACATGTACTTGAAGGACACGATAGAGGTCTGGAAAAAATTTTTGTTTGCAAAATTTTTGCGGACAAAAAATTGTCAGCAAAAAATTTGCGGACATAAAAATTGTCCGCAAATTTTTTGCGGACAATTTTTAAAATTTAGAAAATTTTTCCATTTTTAAGGAGTCAATTGGGTCTCTTTCCACCCTTCAATGCCTTTGCTTGTTTCTGGAGCCGATGACCGTCAAGTCAAACTTTGGCGTTATAATGATAGCAAAGCTTGGGAGGTAGACTCTTGCCGTGGGCATTACAACAATGTTTCCTGTGTTATATTTCACCCAAAGGCTGAACTTATTCTTTCAAATTCTGAAGACAAAAGTATTCGGGTTTGGGATATGCAGAAGAGAACATGTCTCCAGGTTTTTTTTGGGGGGGCGAGGGAAAGGGGGATTTTTAGGGGATTTGGGGAAATTTTTAAAAATTTCAAAAAAATTTATTGAATGGGGTGGGCATTTTAAACAAAATTTTAGGTTTTTGGGAACCTGGAGGGACTTTGGTTTTGGGGAAATTTTTAAAAATTTCAAAAAAATTTATTGAATGGGGTGGGCATTTTAAACAAAATTTTAGGTTTTTGGGAACCTGGAGGGACTTTGGTTTTGGGGCATTTTTCAAAAATTAAAAAAATTAAATTTATTGAATGGGGTTGGGGTGGGCATTTTAAACAAAATTCTAGGTTTTTTGGAGCATTTTTCAAAATTTTTAAAAAATCATTTCTCCATAAAATTATTAATTTTCTTTTCAATTATTCTAGAACTTCCGCCATGAAAACGACCGTTTTTGGGTCTTGGCTAGCCATCCATCACTTAATCTTTTTGCTGCTGGTCATGATAATGGAATGATTGTCTTTAAAACAGAAAGAGAACGTCCTCCATATTGTATTCAAGACAATTTAGTTTTTTATGTAAAAGAACGGCAATTACGTCGACTTGATTTAACTACAAAGTTTGTGATTTTTAATGGAATTTTTCAAAAAAAAAAATTTTTTTTTTAAGTAAAGACACTCCTCTAGCTCATCTCAAACCAAACAAATTGACACAACCTTTTTATTCTGTGCATTACAATCCAGCGGAAAATTGTTTTTTGTTGATTACACGGCCTTCAAATAATATAGAGTCGAGCACCTGCGATTTTTATAAGGTGAAAAAATTTTTTATTTTGTTTAAAAATGTCCAAATTTGAAAATGTCCAAATTAAAATGTTCAAACTTTCAAAATGGGACACGTCCAAGTAGGCGCGCAACCACAACGGCATAAAACCATACTTGCTGGAAGTTTTCTGGCCTTTAGCAATTTCGGTATCAATCTCTTTAGCTCGATGAGAGGAATCGTTTAATACTAAATTTGGTAGGATTCAGAAATCTCGAAGTAAGTTATGGCCGCGCGCCTACTTTAGCGTGTCTATTTAAAATGTCAAACTTTTAAAATGCCAAAATATTAAAATTTCATAATGTCAAAAATTTTTTTTCTTAAAGATCTCCCAAAAAGAAGGAGAACTCGAACCTGTAGACGTCAAACGAGCTCCCAGTATCGCATCAATATGGGTTGCCCGTAACAGATTTGCTGTTCTTGACAAATCCCATCAATTAAGCATTCGTGATTTACAAAACCAAGAAAGTCGAAAAATTGATTATACTGGTCCAATTGATGATATTTTTTATGCTGGAACTGGACTTTTAATGTTAAAAAACCCGGATAGTGTTTCTATTTATGATGTTCAACAAAAACGTGTTTTGGTTAGCTTGAAAGTTAGCAAGGTTAGTTGAGAAATATTTTTGCGTTTAAAGCTAGTAAATAGTGTCGGATTTTTAGATACCCCTTGATGCTGATAAATAGCATTTTTGTGACTTTTTTCCTTCTGTTTTTGGCCCATCCTCCCAAATTTTTTCAGCATTTCAATGGGGCAGACCCGTAACCAGGATTTTTTGGGAGGGTGGAAGCGGGGGGAAATCATTCTAGCGCCAGAATTTTGAATATGTTTTATTTTAAATTTGAATTGTAAAGAGGGTCGGATCTCATTTTTAAATACCCCTTTAATGCTGAAGAATAGCATTGTCAGTTAGTGATTTTTCTCCATTTGTTTTCGGTCATCCTTCCAAATTTTTTCCACCATTTCTATGTAGGAGGCCCGCAACCAGGATTTTTTCTGGAGGAAGGTGTGGGGGTAGGGATGGCGAATACTTCTCGCACCTGAATTTTTGGGCCAAAAATGCCACGAATTTTTATTTTTGGTGCCGCAGGCGAAAATTTTTAGAAGGCCATATTCCCCTCTTCCGGCCCTTGTTAATAGGCATATATATTTTTTCAATTCAATTTCAGGTTAAATATGTTATTTGGTCAAAAAATATGGAATATGCAGCTCTTTTAAGCAAACATACTGTTACTTTAGTTACACGAAAACTTGCAGTAATTTTTTTGTTTAGAAAAATTTTTAAAAATTTCCTCCTTTTCAAGCTCCTTTCATCAATTCAAGAATCAACTCGTGTAAAAAGCGGTGCTTGGGATTTGGATAATGACGCTTTTATTTATACAACTTCAAATCATATAAAATATGCATTGACTTCTGGTGGTGATCATGGAATTATTAGAACGATGGATATTCCTGTTTATATTTTGGCTTTGAGAGGAAATCGTTTGTATTGTTTAAATAGGTTTTCTTTTAATTCTTTATTCGAAAATGTAAAATTTGTGACCGACAGGATGTGCGTTTTTCCTCTGAATAGTTCCCTCCCTCCATTACCTCTTCCCCATTTAATGGATTTTTTTTAAATTTAATTTTTCCTGAAAGAGTCATTAAAATGTACATTTTTCACCCTCACTTCCCCTGCTAAATTACTAAAAATATTATTTTGGCCTTACAATGAGGTTAGTAACAGGGATGTCACGGGTTGAGAAAAATGTCGGGTCGGGTTTCCAAAACTTTTCTTTGATCGGATTTCAGGTCGAGGCTTCGTGTAACTCGTGACATCTCTGGTTTGTAAACTTTTACCTAGTCATTAAACCCTTGAAAAAAATTTTTTTTTATTTAATTTTGTTTTTTAAGAGATGCTTCTCCAATTGAATTAACCATTGACCCAACAGAATATCGTTTTAAACTTGCACTTATCCATCGTCGTTATGATGAAGTTTTGAATATGGTTAGAAGTGCTAATTTGGTTGGTCAATCAATTATTGCATTTTTACAAAAGAAGGGGTATCCCGAATTGGCATTACATTTTGTTAAGGATGAAAAGACAAGATTTGGATTGGCTTTGGAATGTGGAAATCTTTCGGTATTTTTAAATTTTTGTCTAAATCTTGGGGTTGTTTGGTCCTAATTGTTGTGAGCTGAAACTAGGTTAGTTGGTGTTTGATGGCTTTTTTTCTGGTACTATGACCTCGACATCTTTGGATTCGAGACGTTAGGGTCGAGTTTTGTCGTGTTGAACATCTCGAGGTCGGGTTTAGCGCTATCATTCAATGTGGCAATTTAGCCATGGTTAGACGGGATAGGTGTCCAAGACTCTTGAGCTTGAGTCTTGACTCAAGACTTTTTATTGGGTTTTTTCGGTTTTTGAGTGTAATTTTGGTCTGAGTTTTAGAAAATTTCGTGCTATGGACATTTCTATTAGACGAGATCGTTGTCCGATTTTAACGGTTACCTTCAGTTTTTAGTTATTATCAAGTTATCCCTTTTTGGCTAATTGTCAAAGGACACCAATTTTTGATATGATTAACAATCCATTAGCTACTCTAGTTTAACCGCTTTAAAAAAATTTTTTTTCATGTCAGATAGCATTAGAAGCAGCTAAAGTACTTGATGATACAGCTGCTTGGAATGCTTTAGGAGAAGCTGCATTAATGCAAGGAAATCATCAAATTGTTGAAATGGCATATCAAAGAACTAAAGATTTTGAACGTTTAGCATTTTTATATTTAATAACTGGAAATGTTGAAAAATTACAAAAAATGCAAAAAATTGCACAAATACGTAAAGATGTACATGGACAATTTCAATGCGCTTTAATGTTGGGTGATGCTGAGGAAAGAACTAAAGGTTTTTTGGAGGGGTTTTGTAAGGGAAGATGGTCTAGTGTGTATAATAATTTGGTATTTTTCTTGGTACTGTTTGATAGAGGACCCCCGACTTTCTATTGCGAAGTTGGATTTGCTTTTTGGCAAAATGACTTGGGGGCCGACTTTTGGCCATTCAAAGTTTGGGGCTTTGAAAGTGTTGATAAAAGAAATGAGAGAGGAATGGTGTTGCCCTATTAGGAACCCTATTACTCAAGGTTCGAGTGGCTCGGCTCTAACAATAAGTCATTTTGCAATAAAACGGACTTCACTTTGCAATAGGAAGTCGGGTTTTTCTATCGAATTATGCCAAGAAAATTACAAAAAAATTTTTTCACAGAACATGTTCCAGAACATGTTCCCTTAATCGTATTTTTTAATTTAATTAATTTTTTTTAAAGTTCTCAGAGAATTAGGACAAATTTCTTTGGCATATTTATCAGCTACTACACACGGATTAACTGAAGAAGCTTCTCAATTGACATTAGAGCTTGAAAACAAAAACATTCCTGTTCCCGATGCAAATCCAAATGCAAAACCTTTTGTTCCGCCTAAACCGTTGTATCCTCTAACAGAGAATTGGCCTCAATTGACAGTTTCTGTAGGACCTTTTGATACACAATTACTTTCTAATACTACTACTAAAAGTAAGGAGAACTTTTCTTGGGGGGTTTTTTTTTTAATTTTTTGAGGTTATTTTTGGTTTCTTGGAATTAGGATAGGCGGATCCTTATTTCCATATTCAAAAAAAAAAGTTGGGATATCCTGGCATTTTTCGAGTATGATATCGAATCTAAGGTATTTCTCATGTCAGTATCTTTTCCCAAATATTCTCTTCCAGCTGTTACTATAGTGGGTTTCCCCAGGATCTGCCGAGGGATGACCCCAGGATCTGCCAAGGGATTTCCAATGAGCTTCAGAGTACATGATGTGCTAACTTAGTTCAAAACAATTTTTTCTTCATTTTAGAAGCTCCTACAGCCAAAACTCCTGCCCTCAATGCTTTTGCTGCAGAACAAAACGAAGATCATACTGAAGGTGAAGCATGGGGCGTTGATGGAGATTTATTATTGGATGAAGAAGGTAATCCAGAAATGGACGAAATTGAAATGATTGGAGGCGAAGAGGATGAGGAAGGCGGTTGGGATGTGAGTTGAATTTTTTTGTTACGGAAAGATGTTAGGGATTTGCCGAAACTTTTATTATACGCGAAAGACGAATGGCCATACACCAAGGAAGGGGCGAAACTGGCACACCCCTTCCATTGAAATTTTGTATTTTTTTCAATTTTTAGGTTGACGAAGAAATAACTCAAGCTGTCGAATCAATGCGCATCGGTGCTGGAGATGAGGCTGCGGATGATGGGTTTACTTTACCCCAACGTGGACATGCTCCACCATTTTATTGGCCTGGAAATTCTCGTCTTACTGCTGATCATGTTGCTGCGGGTGCTTTCGATTCAGCTGCAAGATTGTTGGAAGAATCACTTGGAATTGTTCAAATTGGTCCTTTTAAATCTTTGTTCCTCTCAACTTATGCCAAGTATTCTAGAAAAAAAAATTTTTTTATTAAAAAATAATTGCTAGGTCTCGTGTAGCATGTTGTGCAATGCCTTTGTCCCCTCCAAATTTTATTTTTCCGATGCGAAATTGGCAGGATAGTTTATCAAAATCTTCACTTCCAGCTGTTTCTTTAAAGGTTTCTTTTAAATTTTAATTTTCTCTAAATTAACATTTTTCTTCTAGTTAAATGATCTTGCGCAACGTTTACAAATTTGTTATAAATTAACTACAGATGGAAAATTTGTTGAATCTGTTCAACGTTTTAGACAAATACTTCTTTGTATACCTTTACTTGTTGTTGATTCAAAACAAGAGGTTTAAACATTTTGGATTTTTTTAAAAAACTTAATAGTGAAATATCCGTTCTTAGCGACTTATAAAAGTCGAGACAGAGAACCTTGTCAAAATATTCTAGCTCAAGTTTTAAGTTTCGACCAAGATTTGCTGTGGCTCTTCCCTTCCTTATATTTTAATAAATATTTTTGTTGAATAAATGTAACTATAAAGATAACCTTTATTTGCGAGTTTGGGTATCAAACCGGATCTGTTTCTCAACTAGAGACCGACGCGGGACGGGATTAGTCGAGATCCCGGAATCACGGATTTTTTTAAGTTTCGGGATCCGGGATTCTTTCGGAATTTATCCCTCGAGATCATGTAAGTTCAATTTTGCCGGTCTTTAGTCTCAACCAGGTTTCGAGACAAAAAAAAATCTTCTAAAATCGAAATTTCAAAACTGTTCTGGTCCTCAACATTTTTTTAATTTAAAAAATTTAGGTTTTGGAAGCTCAACAATTGCTACAAATATGCCGAGAATATTTAGTTGGTCTTTTACTTGAAACGGCACGAAAAGAATTGCCTCGTGAATCAACTGAAGATGCAAAACGAAATTTAGAAATGGCTGCTTATTTTACAAATTGTGATATTCAACCTATACATAAAATTTTAACATTGAGAACTGCTGCAAATTTGAGTTTTAAAAATAAACAAATGAGACATTGTGCAACATTTTGTCGTCGATGCATTGAATTGGGTATTTTAATAATTTGAATTTTTTAAAAAATTATAGGGGAAAACTGATAGTAATATAATAATGAAAGCCTTTCCAATTGAAATATTTATTCCAAAATTAAAATATATTAAAAAGGGTGAATGGAAAGGACCCGGCAGTTCCCGGAGCGTTTTATAATACCAAAAGCTTGTAATACCAAACCCCTAAAAGATGTTGAGATACCAAGTGATTTACTAACGACGGGGATGTTGTTTCGACGACAATGTTTGGTATTTTAAGCTTTGGTATATCAAGCTTTTGGTATTATAACATCATACCTGCTGTTCCCCAGAATTAACCAAAAAGGATTGGGAAGAGTAGAGAGTTGCATATAAAGGGTAAAAATATTGGGAGGAACATTTTAAATGGGTATGCCTTTGGTATGGCATCTTACTGATTGTGAGAGTTTCGGACAGAACTTAAACTAAGAATCAGGGCTTTTTTATTTTGTTTTTGCTTCCCAAAAATTTCGTTCCAATTCCCAAGTTTCGGTTCTCCAACCCTAACGAGTCGGTTTCTTTTATTTGTCGAATTTCTTTTTGGTTTTATTTTTGAGTATTATCACGCCCTATTTTCCTTAAAAATTTTTTTTCTAAATTTTTTAGGTCCTAAACCAGAAGTTGCTGCACAAATGAGAAAAATGCTTTCAGTAGCAGAACGTGATAATACTAATGCATATGAAGTTTATTTTTTTAATTTTTTTAAAAAAATTTTTTTTATTTTTCTTTAAGATAAATTATGATGAGCACAATCCTTTTGTGCTGTGTTCAAAAAGTTTTACACCTCTTTATAGAGGAAAACCACAAGTAAAATGCCCCTTTTGTGGAGCGAGTTATATGCCTACATTTGTTGGTTCTGTCTGTGATGTTTGTGAGGTTTGGAAATTTTTTTTTCTGAAATTCTTTTTATGATTTTAATACTCCACCCGGGAATAGGGTCTTAAAAATTAGTGGTCTAAAAATTATTTTAGAATATTTGGGGGAAGGAGAGGAGAAACTTACCCAATTTTTTTGGTTGGGGAAAAGTTTTATTTGGCCTTGGGAGAAGGGTTACGTGAAACAGAGAAGAGAAGGGTTATCTTCTATGCGAATCGGGGATCGGAAGGGTAAGCTGAAACAGAAGCTCGGACTTTTTCTAGACCCGTAGAGAGAAGAAACTTACTCTATTTTCTGATTGAAATAAAAGCATTTTTCCTGTTTTTTGTGGAGGGGTTACTTAAAGCCCAGACTTTTACTAGACTTGATTCAAGACACCAGGAACCTCGGATTTTTTTTCAACCCGAAACTCAGTCCTAAAAAGGTTTTCATTGCTTGCTTTGAGTTTTTCTCAATTATATCCCTGATTCGGATTAAAATTTGGGCAGAATTCTGACTGAAATCAAATAAAGCAAATTTAAAAAATCGAAAAAAATCAATTTTTTTAAAGGTAGCAGAAATAGGAAGAGATGTTCCAGGATTAAGAATTGCTTCAATTCAAAGTGGAAAATGAGAGAGAGAGAGTGACACTTGGGTGATTTTTTTGTGTATAATTTTTTCTAAAAAATCAAAAAAAATTCATTATTGGAATTGTTACTATGCGCCTTTTTTGGTTAATTTTATTTAATATATTTTATTTTGTTGGGGTATTTTTTTAAATTTATTTATGATTAATGGAAATTAATTTAAAAATTAATTTTTTTATGACTAATAATGGGGGTACAACTAGGCGCGCGTCCATAACGGCGCCTAGCCATAACTTGCTTCAAGATTTCCTAGTCTTACCAAATTTTGTATTAAACGATTCCTCTCATAGAGCTAAATTGATTGACACCAAAATTGATAAGGGCCAGAAATTTTCTAGCAAGTTATGGCTAGGCGCCGTCATGTGCGGGCGCCTACTTGGGCGTGTCCAAGTAATAATTTATTTTAAAAAATACCCCCTACAATTTTAATTTAAAAAATTAAAAAAAATTTTTTTTCCTGTTTGTTCTATTTTGTGTTTTTTTTCTTTTTTTTAGGCAAAAAATGATATTTTAATAGATAAATATTGTTCCTTAAATTATACTCTTTTTTTATTCAGTACATGATTATTAAAAAAAAATCTTTTTATATCTAATATATTTGATCATAATATGATATTTAATATTTGAGCAACGTTCGGACAGGTCACCCCAAAATGGGGATTGGGAGTTTTTTTTTCTTCCTGAGACCTTCCCCCCTCCAAAATACCAAAACTCCCTAAAATCCGTCGAAATACCAAACTGTTCATTTTGTCGTTTTGATCTGGGTAAACAGGTCTTTTGGGAGTAGGTCTTCTGGGTGTAGATCTTTTGGGGTGACTCGACGCTTTGATAACAGAGGCCTATGCAAATTAGATCATATCTCAGATATGACGTGTCATATTTGTGGCTAGAGTCCGACATTTGGTCAATGATGGTCAGTTAGTGGGTTAAATGTCGGACTCTAGTCACAAATATGACACGTCATATCTGAGATATGATCTAATTTGCAGAGGCCCCAGGGCATCATATCATTTTCTCTCGAACTGTCCGAACCTTGAAGAGGAGAAATTTTGAATTTTTTCGTTTTTAGAAAATTTAGTTATTGTTTAAAAAAAGAGGATGCGTCTTGCTTTACGCCTATCCCGCCCAGCTCCAAACCAAAATTTAAAGAATCCACGACTCTGGCAAGATCCAGTATATGGCTATTATGAAACGCACGGAAAGATGGAATTTTTGCCTGGAGAGCAATACAATTTGTCTGATGATGAGAAAAAGGCTGTGTTGTGGCGTTATCGGGTTAAAGAGGTTTTATTTGAATTTAGAAGAAGGAAAGGATTTTTAAAAATTTTTTTCAGATTTTAAAGAAGGAATATTTTCGTCGGGAATATAATCCGCATACTTTTAAATACAAGGTTTGATTAAAAAAAAATTTTTTTGGTTCCTTGGACGCCCTTTTGTGTCTCCTTTCCCTTTGTTTCTTTATGGGTTGACAAGGAGCCAAGGTGAAACCTTTTTCAAGTTACCTAATAGGGTAGCACGAGACCGTTTAATTCCTCATTTATTTTTCCCTGTGTCGGACTTTTCCCTTCTCGTCTCTTTTTGACTCGCCACAGGAAAAAATAAACGAGGAATTAAACGGTTTCGTGCTAGCCTATTACCTAATCTGAAAAATGATTGAAATTTGGCTTTGAAGTTTCGCTTTCTTCCTTTTTTCACTATAAAAGAATTTTTGTTCTATCCATGATGGGTCCTTGACTTTTTTAAATTTTAAAGAAAGGGTGAGGAAAAACATGAGAGGGAGGTTTTGGAGGTTTCTTTCTCCAAAAAGTCTGCCCAAATTACTAAAAAAATTTTCTTTTTAAAGCAAGGAATCATCCTCGATCCAGCAATGTTTCGTTGGTATGCTGCTGATATGACACAAATGGAGTATATGCGATTGACTCCTAGAAGTCTTTTTATGTATGCTGGAATAACTATGTTGGTCTTTTGGTTGATAACCAAATTGGGAGTGATTAGCATGGTTTGTTTATATTTTTCATAGTAAAAGTCAACAACTTGGGGTCATTAAGAATTTTTATTTTTTTGGTACCATTCGATAGAAGGTTAAAAAAAATAATTTTTTGAGGCTTTTAAGTTAATGAGTAACAATTTTATTTTTTATGGGAAATGACTGGGCCGTATTATGGCCACTTAATGTTGGCCCCCACATGTTTTCATTATGTAACAATTTTTTGGGGTCCTTTACCAAAAGTTACCAAAAAATATAAATTTTTGCGAACATTAAGTGTTGTTCCCTTGGGTGGTGTTTACAAAAATTTTCTAGTTTTTTGGGTTTTATTCTTATAAAAATTAATTTCTGAAAATTGTTTGATGGTTTTCTTTATTTTTTTTTTAATTTTTTTTCACTATTTTGAAATTCTGATTAACAAAAATTCAGAAAAAATTTTTTCTTTTTTTTTTTCAGGAAAAAGATTCCGATGATTGTTTGACTGGAGAAATGCTTTGGTGGGATCGGTATAGAAATAGATTCGAATTTGTTGGTGGTAATGCGCCTCCTCGTCAAGTTTTACATGCTCATTGTTAAGACGAATTTTTAGTGGAAAATTTTTTTTGTTTAGGCTAAAAATTGAGAAAAAAATTTTTTTGTGTAATGAATAAAAATTTTGAAAAAATTTTTTGAAATTTTTTACTGGATTTTTTAAAATTCTTAATTATTTTTTTATAATTTTTTTTTATCAATTTTTATAGTTTGCCCTGTATTTTTTTAGTTTTTAAATTTAAAATTTTGTTAAAAAGAAAATGAGTGAATATCCACATGCAAAGAAATTGGATGTTACCAAAGATGTTGAAAAATTTAAAGAAATTAAGGATAGCATGGCTATGCAGGTTTTTACTAATTTTAAAAGCCATTATGATTTAATTCTTGGTCGATTGTTTTTAAAGTAGGGCGCTCTTTTGACTGGACTCTTTCGAGCAGGGTTGTCCGCAAGTTGAATTTTTTCGATTTAGTGGCATTCGATACAGCTATACATTTTGTCGATTTTAATTTTTAAATTTGTATCAGAAATTGCGGACAGCCCTTTTTTCTAGGTGTGGCTTTGACTTCCTTTTGATAGGCTGGTCTCTTTTCTGTACTTGAGTTAAAAATTTATAAGTCGTTTCTAGGTCCCTTTGATACAGCTAGACTTTTCAGTCATAACCGAAATTGACCCTGGTTGTTGTAAACTACGTTGTCTCATGTCGGTCAGGTGTCCATGCTTTAATTTTTTCTTTAATAATTTTTTTAAATTTTAACTTTTTTTAGTATCCTTTTGAACTTGACCCTTTCCAACAACACGCCGTTTGTAAAATGGAAGAAGGCGAATCTGTTTTTGTTGCCGCACATACAAGTGCTGGAAAAACAGTTGTTGCAGAATATGCTGTTGCTCTGTGTAAAAAGAATAGAACAAGGTTTATTTTGAGTATTCAATAGTGTGCGGCACGAGACAGGATTCCGCATGAGATTTTCCCGTGTTTTAAGCGTTGAACGGGATTAATCTCGCGGGATCCCGTCTATTTCGAAAACAAGTAGGTTACGGGATCCCGTAAATGCAATTTTGCCGCACACTAGTATTCATGTATTTATATTCTGATTTTCAGAGTGATTTACACGTCTCCAATCAAAGCGCTCTCAAATCAAAAATTTCGGGATTTTAAATTGACTTTTGACGATGTTGGTTTAATTACTGGAGGTTAATTTTGGACTTTTAACGGGTCATTTAGGGGAGCAGGCCAACGTACCGCGAGCTCAGCTTACCGCTATAACCTTGTTCAGAATTGTCGAATCCGGGACGCCCTGGTGCAGTTCGATTCAGCTCGTCGAGGCGCATCGAATCATTCCAGTACATTCCGGATCCACAAAATTGAACGAAGTTATAGCTCTTAAGTACGTTGGACTATTGGTACGAAAGGTTTTGAGTTTTATTTTCTCCATTTCCTTTTTAGTAATGGAAAAATCTAAAATCTTTAATAGATTTCCCCAAATTCTTAGGTTATCCGAAATCAAGAGCGTAGCCAGGGGTTGATTTCAGTGGGATTTTTACAATATTTTCCCCTTCTTCCTATTTTAGGGGGAGGGGTTCAGAAGTCCCCTCTGGCTGTGCCCTTCTCCCAAACTTAACCAAAGTTTTATGAGTTTTATTTCAATTTGAAGCTAAAAACCCCTTATTGGTTTAATCGGCAGAAACAAGGGAATACTGGCAAAAATAAAAATGGGACCTCTAAACTTAAAAAAAAATTTTTTTTAATTTTTAGACATTCAATTAAATACGGAAGCTAATTGTCTCATTATGACAACAGAAATTCTTCGTTCAATGTTTTATAATCATTCGGAAGTTATCCGAGAACTTGAATGGGTTATTTTTGATGAAGTTCATTATATTAATAATATTGAGGTTTTTTTAAATTTTTTTTTTTGAAAATTTTTTAATTTTTAAGAGAGGTCATGTATGGGAAGAAGTGTTAATTATGTTGCCTAAATATGTAAAAATTGTTATGTTAAGGTATATTTTTGAATAATTTTTGGGAAATAGAATAGTTTTGGGCATAATTTGGATAATGAGGGACATGCTCAACTAGGCTAAAGGAGCAGCATCTCTGACACATGTTTTTAGATGCTTCTCTGCTTTTTTCCAAGGGAAGGGAGGAGGATCTTGAATTTTTGTTTACATACATAACAAGTAGAGACCGGAGCTTTTTTTTCTATACGGGAAATGATCTCTCTTCAGAACTATTGCGATTCGTATGGAACGGACGCAGACCGCAACTGACCGCTGGTCAATTTTTCTGCGTCTTTTGCATACGAGAAAGAAACCTTTATTACAAGCGCTCTGAAGAGACATTATTTCCCGTATAGAAAAAATTCCGGTCTCTAATAGCAAGGATCTTGAAATCTCTTATATGTATTCATGTTTTTTAGTGCAACAGTCCCAAATTGTCTTGAATTTGCTGATTGGGTTGGGTAAGTCTTTTAAAAAAATTTTTTTCAATAAAAAAATTTTTTAGACGCATAAATCACAGAATAATTTATGTAGTTGAAACACTCAAAAGACCCGTACCTTTGGAACATTTTTTATATTGTGGACAGGATGGAAAGACGAGAAATGATATTTTTTTAATTTTTGATACTGAAGGAAATTTTAAAAATTCTGGGTAAATTTTTGGGAAAGAATTTTGGACTTTTTTGGGGTCCCATTTTTAGGACAATCTTTTTTTTTGGTGTCTTTTTTGAACTTTTTTGGGCCCCTCTATGTATCTATAGGAAGCATTTCAATGTACCGCAGAGCTATAACTCTTTTAAAATTGGTCGGATCCGAGACGGTTTGGTATGGTTCGATGCGTCTCTATAAGCATAATAGAACCATACAAGGTCGTACTGGATTCAATAATGCTTAACAAAGTTATAGTTCTGCGGTACATCGGGGGTGTATCCGTATTCTTAATTTTTTCCTTGCTTCATTTTTGGTAAATTTAAACCACCCCAAAAATGAATATAATTTTTGATGGGGTTTCCATGGGGAAAAGTAAAAGCAATAAAAAAGGGCCCCTAAAGCTTTGGAAATTAAAAAAATTTTTTTATTTAAGTTATCAAAAAGCAGTAGAAGCTAAAGACAAAGCTCAAAAAAATCAAAAGTATGGAATGGGACAAGTCGGGCCTGTAGGAGGACATCCTTGGCAGTTGAATAAAAATGTTTGTTTTGTTTATTTTTTTAAGAAAATTTTGAAATTTTTCAAAAAATTTTTAAAAAAAATTTTCGAAAGTTCAAAAAAATTTTTTTTGAAATTTTTTTTTCTGAAAATTTTTTTGTGAATTTCAAAAAAAAATTATTTTTTTTTTTGAAAAATTTTTTAGAAATTTTTGAAAAAATTTTTCAGAAATTTTTGAAAAAATTTTTTAGAAATTTTTCAAAAAATTTTTAATTAAAAAAATTTTTTTTTACTTTTTTTTCAGAACAAAAATGTTTATATCAACCTAATTTCTTATTTAAACACCAAAGATTTATTACCAATGATTGTTTTTATTTTTTCTCGTCAAAGATGTGATGAAACTGCTCAAATATTAAATTCTGTTGATTTAACTAATGCATCAGAAAAATTTGCAATTCATCATTTCTTTAATCGTTGTATTGATAGATTGACTGGTTCTGATAAGGAATTGCCTCAAGTTTGTTTTTTTCTGATTTTTTAGGATTTTCGGGTTATTTTATTAGTGGAGCTCTCGAGATGTTCAATCATTTCCCTCCCAAAATTTTTTTGTTTCTCCCATTTCGGAGGAAACTGGTTCTGATAAGGAATTACCTCAAGTTTGTTTTTTAGGATTTTTTGGGTATTTTATGGATGGAGGACTCATTCTAGCATTTTGTCCTTATATTAAATAGCGTTGTATTCCCGATTGCCTTTCTCATATCCCAGGAGGGAAGAGATATCTGAAGATGGAGTGGGGACAGACAGGACCACGTTTTTGGCGTTCTGAAAATTTTTTTGAATTTTCTAGTGGCTTGTAAGCTGGAATTCCACTAGGGGTATATTCCAAACGATTTTCGGAAGGTAGACATACAGGGAAAAATCCGTGTCGGGATAAAACATGGAAAAGACAAAACAAGGAACGACCAAAATACGGACTATACCAAAACACGGAACAGACAAAACACGGTCTTTCCATAACACGGAACGGACAGAACACGGAATGACCAAAACATGGAATACTTTTAAAATCATATTTTTTAAAAATCAGAATTTATTTGCACCAGAATATTGTTAAAAATCAGTAATTTTTTAAAATCAAATTTATTTAAATCAGAATATTTGAAAAAACAGAATTTAAAAATAATTCTGAAAAATTTTAAAAATATTCTCTTGACCGTGTTTTGGTCGTTCCGTGTTTTGGTCGTTCCGTGATTTGGTAAGACCTTGCTTTGTCTTGTCCGTGTTTTGGTATGGTCCGTATTTTGGTCGTTCCTTGTTTTGTCTTTTCCATGTTTTGTCGTTCCATGTTCTGTCCGTTCCGTGTTTTGGCATTCCTTGTTCTGCCCCTCACCCGGAAAAATCTTCTTTTGAATTTTATTTGGTGATCAAGAAGTCGGTGAATTCCTCCTTTTAGCATCATAGGAAAATGTTTTTTGCTAGTTCCTTTTTAACTTTTCTTTTTTCTCATTTAAAGAAGATTTAACCCTCTATAATTCTTTAAATTAATTTCTTTTTTTAGGTATTATTAATGCAAGAATTATGTAAACGAGGTTTTGCTGTTCACCATTCTGGAATTTTGCCTATAATTAAAGAAGTTGTAGAATTACTTTTTCAAAAAGGTTTAGTTAAAATATTGTTTGCAACTGAAACTTTTGCTATGGGGGTAAATATGCCTGCGAGAAGTGTTGTTTTTGATTCTATCGAAAAACACGATGGAAAGGAAAAAAGAATTTTAAATTCGACAGAATATGTTCAGGTTGTTGAGAAATTTATTTTAGGTCATACCTCTATATAAGGTACACCCAATATTAGATACCTCTATTTAAGAGACACCTTTTAAATTTTGGGTGGTTACTTGGGGGAGGATTGCTGGCTCTGGGACTGTCTAATCAATTGATGCCTTCTATTTAGAATACACCTCTCTATAAGGTACACCCAATATTAGATCACCTCTATTTAAGAGACGTTTTTTTAAAATTGCGTCGATTACTGTGTGGGGAGCTTTTTTAAGTGATACCCTCTATTTAATATACACCTCATTATGAGGTAAACGAGTAACGAGTTTTATTTTAAGGTCACACCTCTCTATAAGGTACACTTAATATTTGATTCACCTCGGTTTAAGAGACGCTTTTTAAAATGGGGTAATTACTTGGGCAAGGGTTGCTGGCTTTGGTGCTGTTTACCCAATTGGTGCCCTCTATTTAGGTCACACCTCTTTATAAGGTACACCCAATATTTGATACACCTCTATTTAAGAGACGCCTTTTAAAATTTGGTTGACCACTGGCTGAGGAGCTTTTTTAAGTGATACCCTCTATTTAATATACACCTGATTATAAGGATAACGAGTCAAACCTCTCTATTATGATACACCCATATATTTACACCTCCATTTAATATACTGTCGACAACTGCTATGATAATTCATACCACACTTCATTATGTGCTTCAATTTCTTAGCCCCGAGTTTAAAACTCTTATAATGAGGTCTGACTTTCATTCTGAATTTTTTAGACAAAAAAATTTTTTTCTTTTTTTTTTCTCACATGACTTTTTAAATTTTAGATGGCAGGTAGAGCAGGAAGACGCGGACTTGATTCTACCGGAACTGTCATAATCTTGGCTAAAGGGTCAGAACCACCTGATATTAGTTCATTAACATCGATTTTAAAAGTAAAAAAATTTTTGAAAATTTTCAAAAAAAAATTTTTTTCAGGGTAAACCAGTCAAACTTGAATCACATTTTCGTATAACTTATAGTATGATGCTTAATCTTTTGCGTATTGAAGAATTAAGAATTGAGGTTTATTTTGGAAATTAAAATTATTTTTTTAATTATTTTTTAGGATATGTTGTCCAATTCTTATGTAGAAAGTGCTTCTTTACGTATGGTTGTTCAACGAAAGGAACGTCTTAAAAAGGTTTTTGGAATTTTTTATTTTTTTTTTTTGAAATTATAAAAAATTTTCCCAAAAATTTTTCTTGGAAATTTTTGAAATTTTTTGTAAATTTTTAATAAAAATTATCGAAAAAATTTCTTAAAAAAATTTTTTTGGGAATTTTTCAAAAATTTTCGTAAAATTTTTTTAATTAAGAAAATTTCGGAAATTTTTTTGAATTTTATAAAAAAAATTTCTAATTTTTTCGGAAATTTTTTTAAAATAAGAAAATTTCCAAATTTTTTTTATAAAATTCTCTATTTGGGGACTTGAAAATTTTCAAAAATTTCTATAAAAAAATTTTTTTTCAGCTTGAAGAAAACATTACAGCATTACCTCAATTAGAATGCCCTCATTGCAATCCTCCACCAAACGGAAAAGTGGACACAACATTATTGGGTTATTTCAATTCTCTCATAAATTATTACAAAACAACAAAAGAATTGTGGAATTTGTTAATTTTAAAAGGAAAAGAGGCTAAATTATTTACAATGGGAAGAGTTTTAATTATTCATTATCCGCCTCTTGGAATTGCTGGAAGGCTAGCTGTTGTTTTGAGGGTTTTTATTTTAAATTTTTTGTGAAAATTTTTCTTGGAAATTCTTTTGAAATTTCGTTGATAAAAATTTTTCGAAATGTCAAAAAAATTTTTTTCGGAATCTCCAAATTAAAAAAAATTTTTTTGGCTTTCTAAAATTTTTTTACTTTTTTTATTTTTTTTTGAATTAAAAAAACTTTTTTTGAACTTAAAACTTTCTAAATTTCAAAAAAAATTCTAATTTCATATTTTTTTAAATTTTCGGGTTTTCTGAAATTTTTATTGAGATTTTTATAATAGAAAATTTTTTTGAGAAATTTTTATTTTTTTGAATTCTTTAAAAGTCTTTGGGAAAAAATTTTTTTTGGAATTTCTAAATTAAAAAATTTTTTTAATTTGTGAAAATTTGTTTGCGAATTTTTCGTTAAATTTTTGTAAATTTTTCGAATTTTAATTTTTTTTTGAAATTTTTTTTGAATTTTTTGAAAACATTTCTTTTGTAAAAAATTTTCGGAATGTCCAAATTTTTTGGTCTTTCTGAAATTTTTTTTTGAGAATTTTTAATTTTTTTTCCAGTCTATTATTGAAAATGGGAGACTTACCTTAACTTTATTTATACCAACTTCAACCACTTCTGCTGCCAATGATGTTAAACTAAAAGCTTTTAATGCTTTAACTAAAGAGGTTTATTTTAATTTAATTAAAAAAATTTTTTTTTATTTTAGGAAAGACGTTCAAAAGCAGAAATTGGATTGTTAGAACATGCTCTTTTACATGGAATTGATGGATTAGATGTAAAAACATTTTCGGAATATACTCCATATACAATTTTGGAAACAACTTTGGATTGGTATAAATTTAGAGAAAAAAAATTTTTTCATTTTTTTTGAATTTTATAAATTCAAGAGAGGAGGGGGGGGGTTAGGATTGGACACAATCGGTCTATTAACTGGTTTTATTAACTGGTATTGACCCAATCAGTTATTTACCCTGTTGTTGATCTTCGGTTTTGTTCCTGTTAATAAGCTTAAACACTAGGTTCGGTTAATCGTAGAAGTCCTTTCCTATTAGAAATCGAAGATCTAGCTGTCATAAAAATTAAATTCCCCGATTTTCAGAAATCGAGAATTCCCGATTTTTTTAATTCTTTATTTTCTGGAATCAGGTCGGCTAGATTTCCTGTGTGATATTTTTTTGGTTAAAAAATTTTTTCTAAAAAAATTTTTTTTCTCAAAAAAATTTTTTCTCACAATCGGTCTATTAACTGGTATTGACCCAATCAGTTATTTACCCTGTTTTTTTTCAAAAATTTTTTTTCTCAAAAAAATTTTTTTTTAAATTCCTTTCCATTAAAAATTCCTTTCAATAAACTTTTTCCTATTAAAAAATTTTTTTTCTAATTTTTTGTAGTCTATTAGCAGTCTGTAAACGTACAATACCAAAATTAGATGCAGAAGCAATAAATCAAGAATATCAACGTTTCAAACAACCATCAAATCGGTCAAATTCTCCTGACAGAAATATAAAAAAAATAATTTTTGAATTAAATCAATTATCAGAAAAAATTGTAAAAAATCAAAAAGAGGTAGAAGAAGAAGGAAATGACAAAAAAATAGATGAATTTGTACATATTTTGGGAATGGATTTGGACAAAAAAGAAATAAGTTTAGTTGAAAGTTTGAGGGTAGTTTTGTATCAAAGAAGAGAACTTGTTAATTCAAATGTTTATCCTTGTATTAAATGCCCTGATATTATTGAACATGTTGGTGATTATTTTAAAATTAATTCTGATTTTTTAAATTAATTTATTCTGATTTTTAATTCTGAAAATTCTGATTTTTTCCTCAAAATTCTGATTTTTTCCTCAAAATTCTGATTTTTCATTCAATTCTGGTTTTGTTAATTCTGATTTTTTAAATTTATTCTGATTTTTGGGAACTAAATTCTGATTTTTATTTTGATTTCCCTTCTCAAAATTCTGATTTTTAATTCTGATTTTTCATTCAATTCTGGGTTCTGTTCTGATTTTTATATTAATTTATTCTGATTTTTGGGGCCTAAATTCTGATTCTTAGGTCCAATAATTCTGATTTTTACTTATTTTCTTTCTCTAAATTCTGATTTTATTGCTGAAAATTTTAGATATTTATTTTAAAAATTTCTGACTTTTATTCTGATTTTGTTTTTAAAATTCTGATTTTAATTCTCAGAATTCTGATTTTTAATTAAAGAATCCTGATTTTTTCCCTCAAAATTCTGATTTTCCTTCTCAAAATTCTTGTTTTTAATCTAAGAATTCTGATTTTTAATTCTCAGATTCTGATTTTTTATTCTGATTTTTCATTCAATTCTGGTTTTATCCTGATTTTTTCTCAAATTTCTGATTTTTAATTTTGAATTCTGATTTTTATTTAATAATTTCCAGATGAATCTAGTCATAAATAGACGCCAAATGGAACAAAACATACAAACACTCGTTCATCAAACCTCTTCACATTCCATGTCAGAAGAATCTGCAGGTCGTTTAAAAGTTTTAAGAACACTTGGGTACATTGATCGCGAAAATGTGGTTGAATTAAAAGGAAAAATTGCATGTGAAATTAGTAATCAGGTGAGGGAATAATAATTCTGATTTTAGAAATTATCAATTCTGATTTTCAAATCACAAATTCTGTTTTTAAAAATACAAATTCTGATTTTTGAAATTACAAATTCTGATTTTTAAAATGCAAATTCTGGTTTCTTAAATGCAAATTCTGGTTTCTTAAATGCAAATTCTGATTTTAAAAATACAAATTCTGATTTTTAAAATACAAATTCTGATTTTTAAAATGCAAATTCTGGTTTCTTAAATGCAAATTCTGGTTTCTTAAATGCAAATTCTGATTTTAAAAATACAAATTCTGACCTTTAGAACAAGGATTCGCAAATTCTGATGTTTAAATTACAAATTCTGATTTTTAATTCTTTTTTCTACAGGAATTGTTAATTAGTGAACTAATTCTCGACAACAAATTTCAAGATAGAAGTCCACCAGAAATTGCAGCAATGTTTTCAGCATTTACGTGTCAACATGGAAGAAATACTTCTAATAGTATTAGAAGACATAATTTGAATTTTAATAAGATAAATTCAAAAAATGGTTCAACTTCACAAAGTACAGAAACCTCAATAAGTAATGAAAGTCAACAACAACAGGAACAAGTTGAAAGAGTGCCTATTGAAATTTTGAGAGAGGTAAAGGAGAGAGATGTTCCCTTCAGACCCATGTTCCCTTCAGACCCACCATATGTTCCCTTCAGACCCATCACATGTTCTCTTCAGACCCAGCACATGTTCCCTTCAGACCATGTTCACTTCAGAACATGGTCTTCACTTCAGAACATGGTCCATGTTCACTAGTGTATAAGGAACACACATTGTTCTTCCTTGAGGAACAGCTCAGTTGTCCGTAAGGGTTTTTAACTACATATAGGGTAGCCTATGTTCTTTTCGGACTACAACCTAGTGTGAACGGTCCAAATATCTTAAACCTTATTAAAAATTTCGTCAATCTTTGTCGAGCTGTGAGTCTTTGATAACCAAATTGAAGATACCATGCCCTCCAATTCTCGAAATTATTCTTTTAAATTTATAGCTAGAGACAGACTTAACTGAAACTGCCATACGTATTGATGACGTCCAAAAGGAATGTGGTGTTTTTAACTCACCTGTGATTGAAGAATTGAAATTTGGATTGATGGAAGTTGTCTATCAATGGGCGAATGGATTGGTGAATTTTTAAAAAAATTTTAAAAAGTGGTCATTTATACATACCTCCCATGTTCCCTTCGGACTACAGACTAATGCGTAAGGGACATGCATCTTAAACATTTTATTCTGATTATAACTTACAAGTTCTGATTTTTAATTCTGATATCGCTCCCATATTTCTTTTTTATTTCTCCCCTTGTTTTTTTCGGACTACAGACTAGTGCGAAAGGTACAAACATATACATTAATATCTATTTCTTATTCAAAATTCTAATTTAAAATTCTGATTTAAATTCTGATTTTTAGTTCTGATATCGCTCTTTTATTTTTTCTTGATTTCTGCCCATGTTCCTTCGGACTACAGACTAGTGCGAAAGGAACAAACATTTTTTTTCAATTTTTTCCCTATGTTCCCTTCGGACTACAGACTAGTGCGAAAGGAACAAACATTTTTCCGATTTTCCCTATGTTCCCTTCGGACTACAGACTAGTGCGAAAGGAACAAACATTTTTATTTCTTTTCATATTTTAAGGAATTTTCCAAAATAATGCAATTAACTGATGCCCAAGAAGGTATAATTGTAAGATGTATTCAACGTTTGGATGAAGTTTGTAAAGACGTTAAAAAAGGTGCAATGATTATTGGAAACCCTGAACTAGCAGAATTAATGGAAGAAACTAGTAATGCTATTAGACGTGATATTGTTTTTGCAGCAAGTTTGTATGTTACAGAGGCTGAGGCGAATGAATAATTTTATTTTTTTTCAAAATTTTTGTTATTATTAATAGTACATTGCAGTGGTGGGTCGGAATTTCGATTTCCAACTTCCGATTTCCGGAGTTTTTTTCCTTCCGATTTCCGAAAAAAATTTTGATTTCCGTGTTCCGACTTTTTAGCCAGTTCTGATTTCCGACACCGTTGACTGTTCCGACCCACCTCTGGTATATAGTATGTATGTATCAGGGTTGTGCCTTTCATGTTTCGATTTTTAAATTGGCTTTCGGTTTTCGTTATTTTTTTACTTTTGCTTTTCGCTTTCAAAATCATTTTTGGCACATCCCTGATATGTATGTATGTAATTATCTTATATAATTGAGAAAAGTTTGTCTATATGTCTGGTTTTTATAGAAATATGGGTTTTATAATTGTAAAATGATTGTAGGAATGATGCTTTTTAAAATCTGCTTCGGCACATCCCTGTTTATATTAATTACACAACCTCATTTAAATAATTTTGTGATTTTATTACAAATTTTATTAAAAAAATTTTTTTTCTCCTTATGGTATATAAAAATCCTGGTTTTAGATATATTATGTACAATTTATACTTGGTTAGAAAATCTTTGAATTTTAAAAAATATCCTTCAAAATTCCTCAAAATTGTGGTGAAAATTTGTCCTACTTTTAATATTATATTTATTTTTTTCTCTTTGTTATATTTATGTTCATGTTTCTATTGTCTCGTCCTTTTTATTGAATAATAAGCTTAAGCCGATTTATGGCCTGCGCGAAAATTATACATTTTTTACATTGTTTATTGTACAAAATACTTTTGAAAACATCTATTCAAAATATAAATTGCACAATATGTACTATTTCAATATTTTTATGGGTTGTAAATTTTTAACACAATTTATGCAATCGGACCTCATTCTTATGTACAAGGATTCTGCCTTCCTAATTCTCACACGTTTTTAGGACCAGGAATTTTCGATTCTCGAAATTACCAACCAATTTATCTCTATGTCGACAGGATCCCTGTTTTGTATGGGAGCCGAGTTCCTTTGCGGCTGAATATAATATACGAAAATTAGGTTTATTCATTATTGGGGATATTGCTTAGACAGCTCCCCTACCTTATGGCCAATTTCAAGCATAAAAAATATTCACTAAACTGAGTGGTACACTTTAGTGAGTGTTCATATAAAAGAGGTCCGATTGTAGTTTATATAATAGGTAGGATGACACAGGTTTTCCGATACCCAAAAATCTGAAACCCAGACAATTTTCGATCCAAAATTCTACCCAACTTTTTCTCTCTACCCGTGACATCCCTGTTGGTATACCTTCAATTTATATTCCTTTAAATTCCATTAAAATTTTACATTTTTTTTTGGGAATAAAATTTATTGTTTTTTTATTTGTTTGTAAAAGTATTTAACCTCTCCCTCAATATTCTCTCGAAAAAAACAAATAATTTTTGCGCAACAAACAATATAGTTGTTGTTTTTGTATTGAGGATTACCCCATTATTGTTATAAAATTGAGGGAAAAAAACAAGTTTATTTTTAATATTCAGTTCAAGGCTTTTCTGGGAATAGGGACATTTTTATTTTAAAAATTATTTAAAAATTGCATTAATCCCCAATAATTATTCTTATTTTCCATTAAACTTGAATTTCAAGTTGGAATTATTTTAATGCCATTATCTGCCTTTGAAAAATATTTTCATCACCTCGTTGCAATGCTTGTTGTTTATGGTCCTTTTACTTATATTTTATGGCTATTTGAGATTTTGTATATTATTCAAAATTAGATGCCGCAAATATAATTAGATGCCGCAAAAATAATTTTGAAAAATTCTGATTTTCTGATCAAAATTCTGAAAAACCTCTAATATAAGCCCAAGCAAAATGGCCTATTGAAAAATATAAGCCCAGGGCTTATATTAGAGGATTTACGGTATTCTGAAGATTGGGCATTCTGATTCCTTGACATTTCGATTATTTGACATTTTGAACTTTTTCTACCCCCTAGGTTATCCATCAGTTGCTCAACATACATTTAATCACTTCCTTTCGCCCGATGACTTCCGTTATAAAATTGATTCTGAAACCTTTACATTCTTAACGAAATTAGATTTTGAAAATGCCAGGAAATATAAAGAATTAATTGGTAAGGGGTTAAATTTAAATGAATGATAAAATTTTAATTAAGAGGTAAAGTCTAAAAGGAATAGTATTTTGACTCAACAAAGGCATTATAGAGGTGATATACACGGAAAGGCCGCGTGGAGGGTTAAGAAATATTTTTTTCCAGAATTAAAAAATCCCTTTAAAGAAGCGAGGAAATTCAAATCCCCCCACTAATACTCGCCGCTACAATGGAGTTTCTAGTTCAGTCAAAAAATGGAACAATGGACGTATTCCTTATATTCTGGGATCGGATTATACACCTAGAGAACGTGCAGTACTTGCTAGGGCTTTTCAGGTGGTTATTCTGATTTTTTATTCTGAAATTAAACGAAATTCTGATTTGAAGTTCTGATTTTAGTTTTTGAATTTCTGATTTCCAAAACAAAAATTCTGATTTTCTGACCAGAAATTCTGAAAAATTCTGATTCTGAAAAATTCTGATTTTCTGAAAATTACGATCAGAAATTCTGAAAAATTCTGATTTCTGAGATTTTAAAAATTCTGATTTTTGTATCAGAAATTCTGAAAATTCTGATCAAAATTCTGAAAAATTCTGATTTCTGAAAATTCTGATTTTACAAAAAATTCTGATATTTAGTTCTGATTTTTAAAAAACTAAAATTCTGATTTCTATTAAATTCTGATTTTCTTTCATAGGAATACCAGAGCAGAACATGCATTAGATTTGTACCAAAAACAGAAACTGATATAGATTTTCTTTACATTGGGAAAATAGACGGGTTTGTAATTATTTACAGCTTAGCTAAACATGCAAAATTTATGAGCGTTTAAAAAGCTGCAATTTAAAATTTTAAATTTAAAATTTGAAAAGGTGTTATTCTGATGTGGGACGTGCCGGAGGAAGACAAGAACTATCCCTAGATGATGGATGTCTCCATTTGGATACAGTAATCCACGAACTTGTCCGTTTAAAATTTATTTTTTACACCTTTATATTATGGGACGTTTCAGTGCCAATTTAAGTAATTTAGTTTTTCATAGGAATGAGACACTTGAAATTTTCTTAAAGGGCAAATAGGGAAGAAAAGTTCTGATTTTCTAATCGAGTATTTCTGATATTTTATTTTTGAGAAGTAGGGAAAGAACATTTATACATATTAATAAGGTTAGACCTTGTTTTAAGATTACCCCTTGAATACCGGAAAAATCGTATCTACTAAAGAGGTGTATCCTACATAGAGGGTATCATTTAGGGAGCTTCCCTGCCCAATGGATAACCAAATTCTAAAATAAACTTCGTTTTTCTTGGGGAATCTTATATGATTTCAGCTCATTTAGATGCATTCTGTCGGTTTTTATCACGAACATGAACGTTGGGATAGAGATAATTACCTTATTATTCTATGGCAGAATATTGATAGAGGTGAGAGGAGGACTTTTAATTCTCTCAAAAATAAGTTTAGAAGCTGTAGACCAGTTTGGACGTGTCGACCTCCTCGAAAGCAGTGTATATGGCCAAAAATATGGTAATATCTCTACAAAAATAAAATTTACCAAAATGACATTTTTCTCAAAGATTACAACTCAATAATGCACTATGACAGTCTAGCCTTCAGTAGAAACGGTAGAGAGACGTTGGTGGCTAGGGAACCTGAAATGACTAAAGTTGGGGGAAGAAAATTTTTTTTAAATTAATTGGAAATGAATTTAGGTGATGGGTTCAGCTACAGATTTTAGTCAAACAGAGTAGGTTTTTGCTATATTCAATTTTTTTATCCCAATTTTTAGTCTGGCCAAAATTAGAGGAATGTATCAGTGTATTGTGAGTTTTTTTTAAAAATTTGACATTTTGAAGTTTTGACAATTTGACACTTTGAAATGTATATCATTTCGAATTGGGCATTTTTGATTATCTGACATTTTGAATTCTGATATCCGTCACAGTATTCGGAAGAAAAATAATTTTAAAAATATTTGGTGTGATTAAATTCTACTTAATATATAAAAATTCAAATAAGCATTTAATTAAGTTGATAAATATTAAGTGAATCTTTACCTTTTTTTCTTTTTTCATTTCAGTAATTTTTGGGCCGGGGTTAAGAGTAGCTTAAGTCTGCTAATTTTAAATTTCGTAGTTGGTAAAATTTCTGAAAATTATAGCCTAACGAAAAATTAAAAAAATTTTTTTTTCAAAATTTTCGGATTCTTCGACATCAACAGACTTTGAGTTTACTGGAGAAGATAATTCTCTAACTACGGAACCTGCTTTGCCTTTATGGCACCCTTTTCCAACAAACTGGTTTTCACCCTATTTAGTGTCTACTAGACCTTTTACAGCCGGCACTCCTTTAAGGCAACAAACAACGCCAATATTATTTCAAAATAATGTGGAAAATTGGGGTCCTAATAGACTTCCTCAGTGTCCATTCTGGGCAGCTTATTGCTCTTTTCCCTTCTATGGGCGTCTACTACAAGAATTGTGTCCACAAACTTGCGCAGCAGCATTTCAGAAATCTGCACTTTCTTATTCTAATTTAAGAATGCAAAATCCAATGTTTAATATGAACTTGAAGAGAAGAAGGAAAAGGTGATACGGTATTTTAGGGTTCTTGGAATTTTAATATTGGGACATTTTGTAAATTACCATTTCAAAAATTGACCATTATGACTATTTATCATTTCGAACGTGAACTTTTTTTAATATTTACAATTTCGAACATTGACCATTTAATTATTTACCAATATGAAAACCGAAAAAGACGTAATTTTGAAAAGTCGACATGTTGAAATTTACAAACTTTACTATAAGCTTAATAAGATTACGGTATATCACGTGAATGTTCATTCTTCTTTCTCGTTCTAGTTCCCCTCTTGATTTGAACAGGCCTTCTCCTCCCAACAGGATTATCTGGTCCATATCCCGGTGAACGCACAACTTCTTTGTGTGTATCCTTCTTCGGGCAAGGACAGTAAAGACCATCAGGTCCAGGGGCGCCTTTGTCCCCTGGAGGGCCTTCTTTTCCTGGAAAGCCTTTCCGACCTCTCTTGCCAGGTTCTCCTTTAAAATGCTTTTATAATTTATTTTCCCGCTACCGTATATTCTCAAATTCAACGTTAATTTCGGACCAGAAAATATTCTTTCGGACTAGAACATGTTCTTTACAGACATGTTCCTTATGTTCCACCTAAACAAGAGATGGCTCCTTCAGACTAGAAAGATGTTCCCTTCAGACTAGAATGAGGTTCCCTTCGAACTAGAATACGGTTCCCTTCCGACTAGAATGAGGTTCCCTTCGAACTAGAATATCTCCCCTTCGAACTATAATTTTTCCCTTATGCCTAGAAAAATGTTCCTTTCGGACTAGAAGGCGAGTATTTACTTTTCCATTCATCCTTAAAGTGCCCTTACTAATAGAGAGCCTCATAAGTCAATACTTACGATACATTAAGTGTTCCAACCTGGTGCTCCACGTGGACCTGCCTCTCCACTTTTTCCTTAAATTAATTTTAAAAATTAATTTAGAAATGCCCACAACACCTTTAATTCCATCCTTTCCCCTTGTACCTCTTCGACCTCCACGTCCTTGCTTTCCTTTAGGGCCAGGATCTCCCTTCTCTCCAATTATTGCCGCATTTCCTGGCGTTCCTTTACTACCCGTCTTTCCTTGAAGTCCTTGACTGCCTGGAGGGCCAGGAGGTCCGACAGGTCCTGCAGGACCGATCTAGCAGAGAAAATGGTTTTAGAAGGATTTTTAAAATTTATTACCTGCCCATTCCTTCCAGGGTTTCCATTCAACCCTTCCAGCCCAGGCAGTCCCGGCAATCCAGGACTGCCCTGCTCTCCTCTTTCACCCCTCGGGCAAGTTCGACACTTTCTATTAAAATCGTACTGAATAGGCAAGAAATTTCCCGGAAGGCCGGGCTGACCAGGAGGTCCAGGCTTTCCTGAAAATTTTTTATTTTTTAATAGTTGAGGATTTAATTTTGGGTCAACCTTTTCAACTTGGAAGGATCGGGGTCCAACCTTTAATTTAAAAAGTCACCGTTCACTCCATCCAACCCTGGCGGTCCGCGTTTTCCTTGCCTCCCTGAAGGACATGCATTTTCAATGTTACAAGTACACAATTCATTTTTAGGAGTATTTATTGGATGAAATCCAGATCCTGAGTTGGGATATCGTCTTTCTCGAATTCGAAAGGAGTCAATTGAAAGCATCAAGTTGTGAATACTCGTCCTTGAAAGTTGCAAAAAATAATCAAAAAACATCACGGTATCATTTAGTGAGATGTAGAGCTTATCACTTTAGAATGACATACCATTGTGTTCCCTTCGGACTATGGCATGTTCCACTTAACAGGAAATATGTTCCCTACGGAATACAAACATGCTCTCTTCAGACTATTCATATGTTCTCTTCGGAATATATGTTCCCTCAGTCAAAAGAAGATGTTCCCTTCGGACTGATGACATATGTTCTCTTCAGACGAGATAAGTTATCCTTATGTTCCCTTCGGGCAGATGTTCCATACGAACTAGAACATGTTCCCTTCGGACTATGGTATTCTTTTCAGACTATAAAATTATTCTCTATGGACCATATGATCCCCACAGATCTCACCAACCTAATATCAAGTTCATCCTTCTCAAACTCCTCTCTATAATTACTCAAAATTAAATCCACATCTTTAATTTTCTTCAAAACTTTGATTGTAAATTCTAATCCAATTAACAAACCAAAAATCGAAATTACAAGAAAAATATTTAATTTAAAATAAAATTTATTATTTTTAAGCATTCAAGTAAAAAAAAAGATTTTTAAAAATAAGAATGAACGTCAGAAAAATGAACGATTAAACGATGATGGATATATTTTATTTTTTGGTTTAATCTGAAAATTGTTGTCTTTTTCTTTAAAGGGGTAAATTAATTTTTGTACTTTTATTGAAAAAATCACAGTAAAAAAATTTATGGATAGAAATTTGTGAAATTTGACAATATGAAAATTGACATTATGAAAGTTGGCGAGATTTATAAATTATAAAAAAATATGGTCAATTTTTTTTGTCCGGGTCCGTCCGGATTTTCCGGAGTCCGGTTCCCAAATCCGGGGTTTTTTCTAGTGTTTCACCGGAACCGAAATTTTGACCGGAACCGGAACCGGAACCGGATCCAATTTAAGTTCCGGTTCCCGGAACCGGAACCGGAACTTTTCAAAGTTCCGGCCCGGAACCGGAACCGGAACTTTTAAAAAAATTTTTGCTAGCACATTTTAAAAAATTTTTATTTTAAGTAGGGGTGCGGTTTCGCCAAATTTTTCGATTAAATTCTGCCAAATTCTTCTGTTAATCGAAACGAAAAAAAATCCAAGTTTTGGAAGACCAAATCCCCAGCTATTCAATCCCTGATATCTAACTTGCACAGCTCATTCCCTGGACATCACACCCAAATCCCTCTATATTACCTATAACCCCTTGAACTCACATAATGTAACTCAAAATCCACCTTCATTCATCCAAATCCTTCGATTTACCATACAACTTCCCTTCATAGCGCCGCAGGCGAAAAGTTTGGGATTTTAGGTGAACCAAGGATACAAAATTCTTCCTTTTTAAGCGCCGCAGGCGAAAATTTTGAGAATTTTGTGACCAAGTAGCTAGATTTCTTCCTTTTCTGGCGCCGCAGGCGAAAATTTTGAGAATTTTGGAAGGCCAATCGGGGAATTTGTCGTCGTTAAGTGATATATGTGGATTAGAGTGTAGTGTATAAACGGATTTGTCGGATATAACTGTTTGATATCGGGCGATAAAAAGGTTCTGTATTGCAAGAAAATCCCATATCTACCTACTCAATTTCTCGATATCACTATTTATAAGTAACTAAGATTCACTATTTATAAGTAAACTAAAAATTTTAAGAAATTTAGAGGGTTCTGAGTTTTTTTCTTGAGTTCTGAGTTTTTTTTAACGAAACTCAAAACTATTATATATATATATATAAATGATATGTTTACAGGAATTTTTGTGGATTTTTCGAACCATCCCTAATGTCGAAAATCTTTAGTTATATAAGTGCGCGTATACTTATGAAACACCCTATTTTGGTAAAAATTTAAAAATAAAAATAAATTACTGAATTTTTCAGGCAAATTGTCCATAGATCTTATTGTTTAGTCAATTTATATCTTATAAAAAATCTAGAAGATATTGACATAAGTATAATGACGGAAAAATCGAAAAATTTAGGTGCGCGTATACTTTTGAAACACAGTGTAAGTTTTTAAGGAAAGAAAAACATGCAAATTAATTGTCCTATGCCTCGGAAGCGAACTCATCTTTAAATAATTCACGCCAAGGGTGAAGTCTAACACCTTAACCACTCGGCCACCCGTTTATATTAGGTCAATTGACAGAAAATAAACATATTTCTTTCGATTTTTTTTAATACATAAGCATGAGAGTACGAGTAGTTTATTAATTTTTCTAAAAAAATCAATCTTTAGGGGTGTAAAAAATTTCCGGTTTGCCCGGAACCGATTTGAAAACCGGAGCCGGAACCGGAACCGGAACCAATTTGAGTTCCGGTTCCCGGAACCGGAACCGGAACCAAAAAAACACCGGAACTTTCCGGAACCGGAACCGGAACCGGAACTTCCGGTGAAACTCTAGTTTTTTCGTGATAGCCGGATTAAAACCGGAACGGATTAATCCGGAAAAATGCGACATATCCATTCCGGCTCAAGTAACAAATCCGGAATCAAGATTCGAAATAAGGGCACTAATGATCAATAGTGCCAGGAGCCGGACCGGATACGTCCGGATTTTTTCGGAGTCGGGTCCAGAATCCGGATAAATTCTGTCAGCTCTTATGATCAAGGACCTGTCTAGAATTTTCAGGGTTTTAAAAAATTGTCTTTGATAAAATAATGTTCCCTTCGGACTATAACAGTGTGAAAGGCCCAAAATTACTATTAAATGTAAGATATTTCTTTCAATTCTACCAATTTTTTTGATATTGTGATGCATGTATTCTGGCTCTAGCACTTAAATTTACTTGTCTTTCAATAATCACAATCTTTGTTTGAATTGTTAATTTCCGCCGTAGATATAAAAATAAAGTGACATTGATGAGTGTGTAGAGGGTTTCGCCCTGAAAATTGGAGGGATTATTAAACAGGGATTTCCCATGTTCCCTTCGGACTACAGATAGTGTGAAAGGTTCAGAATTACTAAGCAAATTACATTCTGTGATAGCGACCTGATCTTTATTAAAGATGAAAGGTCGCTTATATTGAGATTTAACTGAATTTTATTTCTTAAACCTCAGGGCCATCGTCTGGTGTCCAGGAGTGATAAAAAGTCGCTTATAACGAATTTCCCTGTAATATTGGGGTCATTTTACCAAGGACAGTTGACTTATCCATTAAGAATATGTTCTACATATCTGTTTGGACTATAGCTATGTTCTCTTCGGACTACAAATGTTCCTTTCAGACTACAGCTATATTTACTTAGGAATAGACCAGTCCGAACGTTTTTCCGTCCATTTTTAAAAGTCGCTTATAATGAACTTTTAATTTTCTATAATAACTAAGTCTATAATAATGAGAGTTGCTTACCAAACGTCCAACTTCAACAGCAGCTGCATAGGCTAACCCATCAGAATTATCAAAAATCATTTTTAAAGTGACATAAATAATTAAATAAATTGTAAATAAAAGTGAATGGCTGGCAGATAGAGGCAAAAGAAGTTTGATGGAGATTGCATTTTCTTTTAGCTGGAAGGATTTTCGGAGGGAATAATCAGCGGATTTACTGAAAATTTTTAGAGAATTTTGACAATTTTATTGTTTAATTTTGGATGGAGAAAGAACGTTTGTTCCATTCGGACTAGGACAATGTTCCCTTCGGAATAGGACAATGTTCCCTTCGAACTAGGACAATGTTCCCTTTGGACTCGGATTATGTTCCCTTCGGACTAGGATAATGTTCCTTTCGGATTAGGAAAATGTTCCCTTTGGACTAGGACAATGTTCCTTTTGGACTACTTCCCTTCGGACCATGTTCATTGTTCTCTTCGGATAATATCATGTTACCTCCGGACTGGGTTCTATGTTCCATTCAGACTCAAGATTCTCTCTCCGACTACATCATGTTCCCTTCGGACTATGTTCTATGTTCCCTTCGGACGGACTAATGCGAACGGATTTTTCAATCTCTTTATAAAACCCGAATTTAAAACCTACTTAATTTCCTGTCTTTTATTAATCTTGTATAGCACAAATTCGACAAGTACAGCCATAAAATCCAACCCCATTAATATACAAAACATTATAACAAGTCTAGAGCTAGAAAGATTCGAAGACATGCAATAAGCCTTTTCATTAAATAAATCTTCTTGATGGAATATCCATAAATTCCAAATTGTCGGAATTATAAAAATAGGGGCAAGTAAAAATATTCCCAATTTAAAAGTAAATTGTTCATAAGTATGGATACGTGCTGTAGCTATTGTTCTTTCTATACACATTGCTAAATGGGTAAATGTGAAGCCGGCAACTGAAAGGAAAAAATTTGTAAAATATGGGCGTTTATTGGAGAGTGGATAATATTAGAGAGGTATTCCAAGAGAGATCTCTTATTAGAACTTGGAGCAGAAGGAGCTAATTAAAAAAGTTAAGGATAAAATAAACTATATCCATGTTCCCTTCGGACTACAGACTAGTCTGAAGGGAACATGAAGTTTCAGAATTATTGAAATTCTTTCAGTTATTAGGTTTTTATTGATTATTGAGATTTTATCAGTTATTGGGTGTCATTTAATGCTGGGTTGATTTAAGAGATTTGAGGGAAATATGTTCCGTTCGGACTACAGACTAGTCTGTAGGGAACAAGAAGTTTCATAATTATTGAAATTCTTATCAGTTATAAAGTCTTCATCAGATATTGGGCTTTAATCAGTTATTGGGCGTCATTTGATTGTGGAGTCTTTTGATAGATTTGAGAAAATATGTTCCCTTCGAACAAAAGAGTAGTCCGAAGGGAACATGCTCGTTCTTAAGGATCCTCCCTTAAAAGGGCGATTTTGATCAGTTATTGGGTCTTCATTGATTATTGAGATTTTATCAGTAATCAAGTGTCATTTGATGCTAGGTTCTTTTAAGAGATTAGAGAAAAATATGTTCCCTTCGAACTACAGACTAGTCCGAAGGGAACATGCTCGTTCGTAAAGATCCCTCTTAAAAGAAAGAGAGTGGAAGGATATTTTTCAATCTTTTACCAGTTATATAAGCTGTCATTCTTAGTGACACACATTTCCACGTAGTTAAGGTATATATGCAATCATTGATATTTGAGATATTATTAGGTAGATGAAACAATATGACGTAATAAAAGTGATTTGCGAAGATAGCTATTGAGTGTAGACAATATAAGATTAATGCGCCTATCAATACGATCTGAAAAGTTGATGATAAGAATTATGGGACAGAAGATCACTTAATTGCATTATTTAGTTTTGGGGTTAAGACGGGGACCAGCTTTGATCAATTATCACTTTTTAGGCTTGATCCGATCCTAATGAATTTTATATCATTTGAAAGCTCCCTAAGAAAGCTCTCTTTCCAGCTTGAAAAAAGTTAATGGTTATCGAGAGGTTTCTACAATCTAGAGTTCATTCAGATGGATCATGGCTAAGAACTTTATAGCCGAACAGATACTGGCTGGCACCCTACTGGCCTGTTCCGCGGAAATCATTTAATTTGAAAAATGGGCCAAAATGTCATTTAATTAATTAAAGCGCCAAAAATCCATTTCAAACCTACCTTAACATTTTTATGAAACTTAATCGTCCCTTTTTGCCCTTTGCCTAAAGCATAGGCTACATTCAATCCACAACTGATCAACGTTGCCAAAGCTAGTAATGATTGACACCAATGAACTACATAAAGAGGAGTAAAGTCGGCATAAAGCAAAGATGCTGAACAATTATTTTTGGGCATAGAAACCATTTTATTGATTCTTTTTTTCTAGGAGTTTAAATAAATTTATTATGTAATTTACGCCTGCGCCGAAATGACCCCTTATAAATAAACAAAAGAAGGAAAAGCATAGGGGCGTTTTAAGGGTCGTTTCGGCGCAGCCATTTTAATTAATAAAAAAAATATTTTTAAAAATTTTTTATTAAGTAAAACGTGTTATAAAGATATGTAGTCTATAAACAAGGAACTAATTAATAAAGAAAAAAGCAACTATGGAAACACAATTATTAATGAGATTTAAAAGAAGATACAAAATTCATTTACAGAAAAACGACGTAGATGTTCCGCACGCACTACACATAGTGTATAGGGAACATCATTTTCTTGTAGAATTCTCAAAAGTGGAGATAAAAATTAGAAATTTTGCCCATATATTCTTCAAAATGTTACCTAGTTCTTTTGAAAAGTTGTGAAATTTTCCACGTTCTTAGGGTAAACCGTGAGGCTTTAGATTGTATAGGCTGGCAATAGGGGGGGGGGAAGGGGGGGGGGGGAAACTGGCAACAAAACAAAAAAAGCAAATTAATTGGAAAACATATTCAAAAACGCGTAAACTAATAATAAAGCACACCTTTTAGAATAATAAAAAGAATCAAAAAGCACATGAAAGCAAAAATAAATTAGCTAAAAATCATTGTTACGCTAATTGCATTTGTCCTTATTGCTTTTACCCTCATAAAGGCGCGGCCTTACAGAACAGCTAAAAGATAAGATAAAAATGTGAAATTTTGCAGAGATGTAGTCAACATGTTTAGCTAGCTCCACAAAAAATTTTAGAATTTTTGAGGTGTTATAAGTTGGTGAAAAAGCTTTTGGCCTTGACGTAATCTCTTAATTAAACCATCTTAGGGGGAATGGCTAAAATAAGATAAAAGTGTGAAATTTTTGAGAGATATGAACGATAACTCGAGGCTCATCTACCTTGTTATCTACCATCTCTAAAATTTTTTTAGAATTCTTGAAGATTTTAAGTTGGGAACAAGCTTTTGGCCTTAGCATAATCTCTCTCTCTCTCCCTTGGAAATAAAACGGCTAAAAATTAGATAAAAGTGTAAATTTTGAGAGATATGGACAAATAACACATGGCTCAACTACCTTTATGTGTTAGCTACCTTCTCAAAAAATTGTAGAATTTTTGAAAATTTGTAAGTTGGGAAAAAAGGCTCTCGGCATTAGCCTACTCCGTTAATTAGACAGTCAAAGGAACACGGCCTTGTAAAACAGCCTAAGGATAAGATAGAAATTTGGAATTTCGCAGGGATGTAGTTATGAAAAGTATCTACCACCTCAAAAAATTTTTAGAATTTTTGAAAATTTATAAGTTGGAAAAACGGCACTCAGCATTAACCAACCCCGTTAATTAGACCATGAAGAGGCACGACCCTTTAAAATAGCTAATAGCTAAGTTAAAAAAATGAACTTTTGCATAGATGTAGTCAACAAGATTAGCTACCCACATACATAATTATAAATTTTTTGAAGGCTTATAAGTCTGAGAAAAAGATCTCAGCCGTGGCTCACTTTTTTAATGAAGACTACCGTAAACTATAAATTTTTAATCCCTTTATGTCGTCAATTGTTTTGTAAACTCGCATTAAAATGTTTAATTTAAAAATACAAAATATTAAAAATTAAATTTATAGTATACATATACATAATATATATTTTTTTAATTAATTCTAGTAATTTAGTAAAATTTAAATGTAGTTTTCTTAGTATAGTAGTAGTTTTCTGAATAAAGCAAAAATTATTTAAAAAAATAAAAGAATAACGAAAGGTAAAATTATAATTTAATTTAAAAATTATTGGCTGAGAAAAAAATATGCCGGAGAATAATTCTAATAAGGAGATTCAAGTTTTCAAGGTTTGGTCAATTCAACAAAACAGGTATTAAGGTCGATGTTTTTTATAATTTCCAAGTCCTAATAATAAACTAAAGTCTTAAAAAATTTTTTTAAATTATTTTTTAAAATATTTAAGTGTAAATAAACAGGAAATTAAATTAGCCTTTATTTAAAATAAATTCTGAAAAGGGTAAAATTAAATTTAAGAGTAAACGTAAAAGTTATGGGCCAAGAAAGGCATTAAAATTAAATTAAAAATTAATTGAAAGCCTACAAAAACAAGTTTAGAGTCGTAAAAATAATTTATTTAGTACGGAAACGATTTTTTGCTTCCCTTTTTTTCTTGTAAATGACAGATATTGGAACAGATTTCTCAACTTTTTTTTCAAATTTTTGCAAACAGTGGACCACACAAGGTGTGTGTGTGAAGGTACAAAGAATAAACAAACTTGTAAAATTTATAATTTTTATGTTCCCTACACACTACTGTAGTGCGTAGGGAACAGAATTCAAATAGTTCAATTATTACGGTTTTCGATTATCGCCGGATATTGACCCCCGGTTTTCGGTTTCGGTTCGGTTAGCCGACCGCCAACAACCCTAGTAGAAAGATTCAGCAAATTTAAAAATTTATTTTTTGTTCCCTACGCACTACTGTAGTGCGTAGGGAACACAGTTCAAATTTCAAAATAACAACAAAAAATGACTCGAAAAAGGGTACAATCTCTTCTTTACCAATATTTTAAATATTGTTCTGTATGTAGTTGAACTCGAACAGTTGGTTTTAAAGTTGATTCGACTATTAAAAGTTTTGTTGTCCTTGATAATTTGCGTCGAAGATATAAGAATAAGGAGACGTTGATGAGTGTGTAGAGGGTTTCGCTCTGAAATTTAAAAAAAATTGAAAATGCCATGATTTAAAAATGTCCAACCACGAAAAATCTCAAAATGGTCAATTTTTGAAACCACAAAAATTTAACGACAGAATGTCTGTACGACAAAATGTCTGTTCGACAAAATGTCTAAACGACAGAATGTCTGTTCGACAAAATGTCTAAACGACAAAATGTCTACACGACAAAATGTCTCAACGACTAAATGTCTAAACGACATAATGTATCACGACAAAATGTCTCAAACAAAATGTCTCAACGACAAAAGGTCTAAACGACAAAACGCTCAACGACCAAATGCCTGAACGACAAAATGTCTAAATGACGAAATGTCTACTCGACAAAATGTCTAAACGACAAAATGCTCCAATTTCAAAATGCCCACTTTACGAAACGCCCAAACTAAAAATAAACAAACCAGGTGAGCTCCCTCAACAGCTGCTGCATAGCTTAAACCATCAGCACTATCAAATGCAAACTTGAGTGAAGTATATAAAACTAAATAACAAGTAAATAACAAAGTATGGCTGGCAGATAAAGGCAAAAGTAGCCTTATAGAGATATCATTTTCTTTGAGTTGTAGAGATTTTCGAACAGAATAATCAGTTATTTTACTGGAAATGAGTGAAAATGGGAAATTTTAAAGAATTTTTTGAAAGATTTTTTAGGAAAACCTAGATTAGCCCTTAATAATATCTGTAAAATTTTCAAGGTTATATTTAAGTAGAGTTGCCAAAATGGACCGATTCAGACCGAAAGATAGAGTCAAGCCTAGGATATTTTGCCCGAAAAAGATTCTTAGGTCAGCAGTTGGTAGTGGAATATTTGAGAGGTAACTAGAGATTGGTGTCTTCCGTAAGAATTTTCTTATAAACTTTACAACTTTTACGATACGAACCATTTTGGATAATTGTTAACTTTTAGGGTTCGCGCGAACACCCGTCCCAAAAATTATCATATCTATCTAAAAAATTCCATCTTAATCGACTACATACATATTTACATAAATCTAAGCATATTTGAATTTTTACATATTAAGCAAAATTTTGAAAAATATTTTTTTAATTCAAAAATCTACTTGATTTTTTGTTGTTTATTAATTCTGTAAAGAATCATCTCCAAAATAACAGCAACACGTGTCGACGCAGAAGACCCACAGACAGAAGACCCAAGGACAGAAGACCCACAGACAAAAGACCCACAGACAGAAGACTCACAAGGACAGAATACCCACAGACAAAAGACCCACAACTATTTTTTGTTTTCCTTTTATTTTCCATAAATTTTGGCTTGCGAGGAATGTTGTTGGTTCTATTTGTTTTCCACAATAAGAGGGCGATCCAACAATGGGAAAGTTGTTTCCATATTAGCGAAGTTTGTTCCAACAATCAGGAAGTTTATTCCAACAACGGGGATGTTATTTTAACAATGGGGAATGTTGTACAGCAACGGGTGAAGCTGTTCCAACAATGGGAAGAGGAATTTTTTACGAAGAGGAATCTTGATTTCCCGGATTTTCGGGATTTTGATCCGGAAAATCCGGTCCATGTCGAGTCAAAAAATCTGATATAAAAAATACTATAAAAATAGCTAATGGGCCTTCCCAGATTCTCAGAATTCGCACCTGTGTCACTAAAAAAAGTAGAAATCTGGCTTCTTGCCCTTTCAAAATTCTCAAAATTCTTGTCAGTGACGTGAAAGGGAAAAGTAGATCAAAGGGATATTTAGAATCAAGGGGTATTTAGGAGGGGTATTTTTTTATTCAGAATCAAGGGGTATTCCACATGGAGGGATATAGAAGAATTAGAAGCGATCATGGGTATTGGAGATATGCAAGGATATCGAGGATCTTTGGGATAGTAGAGAATAGTTAATTATTTCTGAGTAAATGGAAGGATATCGGTGGATTTAAGCGGAGTAGTGGGATTATAAAAGCTTAAAAGGTTTACATCCCTTGAAATCCCTGACTATCCAATTTACTGGTTAAGAAATATATACTAGGAGTATTCCTTCTCCTGGTTCCTGTTATACACAATTTACGGATAAGAATAGATATCGGTGGTTTTGAGATTTTACCCCTATATTCTCGATATCCCACGCTATTCCTAATCCCAATTAATCACCCGACTCTTCAAAACACTTTCTAATTTAATAATCTAAATCGCACTCATCCATAAAATTTAACGCTAAAAATTTTATTGATTAACTTTAGAATTAATTTTGTGCCTTGAAAAATTAGAAATCTTTTTCAGAAATTTCAGAAAATTTCTTTAAAGTTTTTGTTAAAAAATTTTTTTGTGGGTCTTTTGTCTGTGGGTATTCTGTCCTTGTGGGTCTTCTGTCTGTGGGTCTTTTGTCTGTGGTTCTTCTGTCCTTGGGTCTTCTGTCTGTGGGTCTTCTGTCACTACGCCACAGCAACAATATCAAATCCCATCAAAATATAAGACATAATAACCAATCTAGGAGAGCTTAAAGTGCTTGAAGCCATACAGTAGGCCTTATCAGTAAATAAATCTTCTTGATGGAATATCCATAAATTCCAAATTGTTGGAATTATAAAAATAGGGGCAAGTAAAAATATTCCCAATTTAAAAGTAAATTGTTCATAAGTATGGATACGTGCTGTAGCTATTGTTCTTTCTATACACATTGCTAAATGAGTAAATGTGAAGCCGGCAACTAAAAGGAAATAAATTTTTTTAGTGAAAAGATGAGGGGGTGGTCTATTGGAGAGGGTATAGCACAGGGTAGGTTAGTGCAATAGGTCCACAATTGGAAAGGGTCTCCATCAAGACGGACTTTTATTGGGCTAGTCAATGTATAATTAGTCATGTATAATTGACAAAGGAATTAGGCGTTTATTGGAGAGGTCGTGTATATCAGTAAGATATTTTATGAGTAAATTCATATTATGTAGAAGGGCATATATTTGAATAATCAAACTTTTGAAGGTGATTTGAAAGAACATATGTTCCCTTCGACCTATATAGTAGTCCGAAGGGAACATCTTTATTATAAAAATAATTATATATTTTTCTATTGGAGAGACGAAAATTCAAAGAGGTTTTCAGGGATAGCTAATGGTCCTATATTCGAGAAGGCCTCTAATCAACAAAATCAAAAAATTGTCTACCAGTAATATAAGACGGGATTCTAAGCAAGAGACACTTCCAAGCAGTTATAGAATAAATACAGTAATCAGTTGCATAGTGTGACAAATGAAAGAAAACCTTAAAAATGAGAAAATTTCAATTCCAAGTCTTTAAACCCACAATATATCCAAAATGCATTCCAAACATTACAAGTGAATGAATCATGTAAAGAAACAAGGCCCCCACAAGAATTATCTGAAAAACGTCAAATTTTTTAATTAAAATTTTTAGTCCGCGACGAAATGACCCCACTATTCTGACAAGGAGAAAGGCGCTATGCCTATGATAAAAGCGCTTTTTCGGCGCAGGCTAAAATTGGCTTTTTATAAATAATTTTTTGCCAAAAAATTTTTTTTTTAATTTCTAATGGGGTATTTTGTCAGTTACGTCTAACTGCCATTTTAATTTTTCAAAAAACCTACTTTAACATTTTTATGAAAGCTCATCTGCTCTTTTACTCCCGAATTTAAGGAGTATGCCAAATTTAACCCGCAAGATATCATCGTAGCCAAAGATAGTAAAGATTGCAACCAATGGACAATATAAAGAGGAGTAAATTGAACATAAAGCAGCGCAGCTGTACAATTATTTTCTGGAACAAAAGCCATTTTAATTGAAATTTATTTCTGAAATTGGGAAGAATTTATTTAGAAAATTTTTACGCTGCGCCGAAATGACCCTACTATTTCTTCAGAGGAAGAAGCCGACGTCCTTTATAGTAAAGGCGTCTTTTCGGCGCAGGATAGATATGGAGTTTCTTAAATAAATTTTTTGTTTAAAATTTTTTAAAAATTTTTTTGAGGTGCGTGATACTAATTAATAAAAAATAAAAATTTGAACAAAGAAAAAAATTTGTTTGGAAAAATTAATATAATTTGTATAGAATAAAAAGCACTTTAAATGGTTAATTAAAAATTCTCGAATAATTTATTCTTTGACTACAATTTTGAAATATACAGTCGTGGAAAAAAGTATGGAAGCGCTAGAAAATTTTTTCTTAATTCTTAATTTTTCATTCAAAAAATACGTTCTATATACCAATCGAAAGCTCTATTCGTATCTCAGTTGACATGTTTCTGCATTTTTCATGAAAATGAAAATTGGCCGAGATAATCCGGATCTACCGGATATACCAAATCCCATTTTTTCGGAAAAATTTTTCGGAACAAATTTAACAAACCCAAATGATAAAGCATATTTTTCTGAGTATTTTCCACAAAACCGCTTAGAAATATCTTTTTCCGGGCCAGAGATATGATTTTTTGAAAATGGCATTTTTCCCTTAAAAATTGAATTTTTTGCAAAAATAGACGAAAAATGCCATTTTCAAAAAATCATATCTCTGCTCCGGAAAAAGATATTTCTAAGCGGTTTTGTGGAAAATACTCAGAAAAATATGCTTTATCATTTGGGTTTGTTAAATTTGTTCCGAAAAATTTTTCCGAAAAAATGGGATTTGGTATATCCGGTAGATCCGGATTATCTCGGCCAATTTTCATTTTCATGAAAAATGCAGAAACATGTCAACTGAGATACGAATAGAGCTTTCGATTGGTATATAGAACGTATTTTTTGAATGAAAAATTAAGAATTAAGAAAAAATTTTCTAGCGCTTCCATACTTTTTTCCACGACTGTATACGTCAATTAAAAAGCAAAATGTGGGAAATTTTATAAAGTAAAATAAGTTTATTGGGTTAATTAATTTTTAAAATTTATTTTTGGCTTTATTTTAGCTTGCTTGCGTTAGTGCAGTAGTTTGGCGCCGCGTGGGCGCGAACTTGCATAATTAAAAAAATAGATGACTTTGAGCTGTGAAATTTTGTGGAGATGTTTTTTAAATAGTTAGCTATCTGTTCTGAAAATTTCAGAATTTTCTGATTTTTATTTTCAAAGTTATGATGAAAAATAGCCGAAAAATCGACATTTTTGATGAATAACAAGGGTATTTTTGACCAGAATTTTTTGTAAAAATTCTGAAAATTTCTGAAATTTTTAGATGGCATAGCCAAGTCAATAAACTATTTTTCTGCAAAATTTTACAGCTCTATTAGTTAGATAAGCTATTTTATGGGGGAAAAAGCAGGCGTAATTAGCCTTAATAAGCAAACAAACACCTTAAATTAAAAGTAATTTAATATTAATTTATGTGAAATAAATTTAGCATAAATTTCGTATTTATTTGAGAAATTAAAACACAAAATTTCAAAACAAAAAAAAATTTTTTTTGAAAAAAAAAATTAGAAAAAAAATAAATTTTGACTGAGAATAGAAATAGTGAACTTTTTGAACAAGGATGGGTTATTTTTTGATCAAAATTTTTTGAAGGGACCGAAAATTCTGAAATTTTCAAGAGAGTTAGTCAACTCAATGAAGTATTTTCTGGCAAAATTTTACAGCTCTACTAAATCCATAGGCAATTTTATGGGGAATAATGTAAGCGTTGGTGAGGTATATGTGTCTTTTCGGCGCAGGATAAAATTTATTTTTCTCAAATAAATTTAGTCAAAAAATATTTTACTTAATATTAAATATTTTATATGCAATAAAAATTTTTAAAAAAATTAAAAAATGTATTTAAAAATTTAGATTAAAAAAATATTGGACGAGATATTATGGGAGGAACTTAATTTTGATGGGGAATAAAAATACAAATAGGTACTAGCTGTTAAGTATGTGTATTTCTAAAAATGGAAAAATATAAAAATTAAAAAATAATTCAAAATATTTTTATATAACTATTTTCTAGCTAACAGAATAAAAAATATCTTCCTTGTTACTACAAAATTTATATTATTTTCTATTTTTGTTAAGCCAGCTTAACATCATAGCGCGGACCAAGCCTACTCCAAAGCTCCTATCTCGGTCTAAAAATGTCGAATCTAGCTAAATTTGGTACCATTCTACGCGTATTGAAGAGCTGCATCGAATGGTGCCAAAATTGACTTTCTATCTAATTTTTACGATTAGTTAAGCTTTGTGGAAGATTTGTGACGCGGCAGATTAGCCTGTTCAAGTTATTTGTATTTTAGCTACAAAAATAAATAAGTAAAATTAATTTGAGCAAAGAATAAATAAATTGAGTTCCTTTTAAAGAAATAAACTTAAAGATAAACATATGTTTATAAAAAATAATTAGATTCATGTTTTTCTAAAAATAGAAAAAAGCTTAGTTTACGTCATTAAGAGGACTTGATCTTGGTTTTTAGCCCATAACTTTTTTCACAATCAAAATAAAAATTGAGTTTAAGTCCTATCTTGTAGCAAATTCAATTCTCTATCGAATGGTACCATGCACTAAATTGAAGGTTCATTCATTACTGGGTTATGAATTAAAATGTGGACTTAACTAACACTTAAAAGTTAATAATCTTGAGCAATTTGGAAGGAATACAAATAGAAAAAAATTAAATAAAATTTAAAAGTCTGCCACGAAAGACTGACACATGCATAGACATTTGAGCTTTTAAATTGCATCTTATAATGAATTTTATCGTTAAATAGAGGGTATATCTTAGGCAAATTCCTCATACCATTGACATTTGAAATTAAAAAGCGTATCTTAGAATGGCTATTTTATAGTCTTGTGAGTAAAATATATGAAGGTCTGAGTTCTTATAGTAGTGTGAGAATGTCTCTAATATTTCCAATTTAAATGTGGATAAAAAGGAAATAAATTTTGATGTTTAAAAAAATTTAATTTTACACCATATATTATTTTTGAAATTAAATAAATTTGGAAATTTATTATAAATGTGTTCAAAAATTAAAATTTAATAATATATGTAGTAAATTGTTAAAATTGCAAAAATAAAAAAAATATTTTTAAGAAAATTCTAAAATACGTATAATTAAGCTTAAAATTTTAATTATAGGGACTAGGCATAATGAACAAGGAAGCGCCTATGTGTGCATAAGAGACAGGTAATTACTAACTTAATTCTCATCTAATCTTAAAATTAGCTTAAAAATTTAATCTAAAATTAGGATTTAATTTGTGTGACAACTAACTATTAAAATTTAGATTTTGCAATATTTTTTAATTTAAAAAAAAATTTTTTCTTTCTAATTTTTAAGCTTTAATTGCTTAAAATGCTTCATTTCCCCCTATCCTTTATTTACTCAAATAATTAATTATACTGGATAAATTAAACTTTGTGGATAGGAGGACGTTGTATGGGTAAAAACAAAGGAAATAAAACCCCAAAATCCTTCATCCATCGATTAATCTAAGCAAAAGGATTTTAAAAAATTAAAACAGGTGAGGGCTTAAAGTGCTGTTATTTATGCATTCATTTAATTTTATAAAAGTTTAAATGTAAGATTTTAAATTAAATTAAATTTTATTTTAAAGCCTAGAATCTCCTTTATTTAATGATATATAAACCAGATTTTTAGGTTAATTTAGAATGGAGTTATGAATTTTTAAAAAAGGTTAACCCTTAATAGACCTTTATTTAAGCAGTATAATCTACATATTAAGTTTGTTAATAAAAATATTTTACAATTGCAACCTTTTACAATTTGTAAAATTTTTCTTCTCTCAATATAACTTACTAAAATTTGTTTTACAAACTTTGTCTCCAACCTTTTTTACAATTTAGTAAATTTATTAAAACTTGTTTTACAATTACAAATTACATTCCAACGTTTCCAACCTCCAACTTTTCCAACTTTTTTACAAGTTGTAATTATTTACAAATTAATCACCAACCTTTTTTTTACAATTACAAATTAGTCTCCAATTTTACCAACTTTTTTTACAATTTGTAAACCTTTTCCTCTCCCAATATACCTTCTAAAACTTGTTTTACAAACTTAGTGTCCAACCTTTTTTACAATCTGCGAAATTTACTTAAACTTGTTTTAAATTCCAATTAAATTCCAACTTTTCCAACTTTTTTACAATTTGTAATTATTTAATTTTTTTAAATTTTTCCCTCTTATATTTTCCAACTTTTTTTAAGTTTACAAACTTATTATTTTGCACTCAAACTTATTTTTATAACTAAATGAAAAATGACACTTTTACAGCATTTTTGAGTTTAAACTTGAAAAGTGCAAAATAATATGTTTGTAGTAATAAGCTAAAAAATTAGCTAGATAAAAGGTAATTTGAGGAAAGGGGGGAATTTAGTGAAAAAGAGAGAGAACTAGTAGTATATTGACTTTAGTGTAGTTTAAAAACCCTCAAAACCTCAATCACAAAAAATTTTTTTTAATAATAAAAAAATTGATAGAAAGGAAGAATACCCCCTTAAAGTCCAAAAAATAAAAAAAAGCCTGAAATTGAAGGGAAAAAGCCTTAAAAATTCTAAAAATCCTCAAAAATCCCGATAAATCACCTAAAATCCCCCTAAAAAGCCCCTAAAAAATCTCCAAAAAATCCCCCTAAACTTTCAAAAAATCCTCCTAAAACTCCAAAAATTCCTCCAAAAAAATCACATAAAATCCTCCTAAAATCCCTCTAAAAATCCTCTAAAAATCCCCCAAAAATGCAAACCAATAATTTAAACAATAAAGCTATTTATTGGGAACAAATTGCCAAAAATCCCTCAAAACTTCGTTTACTTCGTTCCCCATCTTCTCCATTAGAAGGCACTACTACAGCAACCACAACTACTACAAACTCTTCTTGGGTAATACCTTTTAATCAGTCTTTAAGACATCCATCACAACAATCGGTTGGGGTACATTCAGCGTGGAAAGCGGCCTCTCCGAGGTTAATTTTTGAAAAATAAAATTTTTAAAAATTTCAAAATGGTAAAAAATAAAAAAATGTCAAATTGACACATGTCAAAGTGTCAGATGTCAATCAAAGTGTCACATTGACACATGTCAATTATAAATGTCAAATCGACACACCCCGAAATGTCCAAATTTCAGAATGTATAAAATTTCAAAATGGTAACATTTCAAAATGTCAACTTTTTGAAATGCCCAAATTTTAAAACGGGAGCAGCCCAAGGTACCGCAGAGCTATAAATTCGTCCAAAATTGTCGAATCCGGGACACCCTGGTATAGTTCGACTCATCCCATTGAGGTGTATCGAAACATGCCAGGGCCTCTCGGATTCGATCACTTTGAACAAAGTTGGTACCTTGGGGTATACCCTTTCAAAATTTCCAAAATTTCAAAATGGTCAGGTCAAAAATAATTTTTTTAAATTTTTCAGTCGTCGTCTAACAACCAAACAACCTAAAAGAATGCCAAAATTTAAAATTCATTATTTAAATCTTCGAGGGCGGGCAGAATCAATTCGGCTACTACTTAACTATGTCCAGCAACCTTTTGAAGATTTTAAAGAAAATTTTTTGGAATTTACAAAAGCTAAAGACAGTAAATAAATAAATTAATTAATGAATTAAAAAAATTATTTTTTAAAGAACTTCCATTGCCCCACCTCCCCAAACTTACAGTAGATGGACAATTTGAGATATGCTACACTTCTGTTATTTTAGCCTATTTAGGAGAGAAATTTGGTATATTTATTAGAATAAATATCAGAATTTTAAAAGAAAATACAAATTTACAAATTAAACTTGAATTGTAAAAATATACAATTTACAATTACAATTTAAAAATTAATTACAAGCGAAGGCTATATAAATTAAACTTTTTTTACAATTAAAAAAAACTTGAATTACAATTTGTAAAATAAACTTGATTAAATTGTAAAAATTTAGAAATTGTAAAATTAAAAAAATAAACTTGGATTGTAAAAATAAAAAAATTACAAATGTAAAATAAACCTTAAAAATAAATAAACTTTATAAAATTACAAATTGTAACTTGAATTACAATTTGTAATAAACTTGCTTAAATTGTAAAAATTGCAAATTGTAAAATTAAATAAACTTGAATTGTAAAAATGAAAATAAAATTGAATTACAATTAAGAGAAAATAAACTTGATAAAACTACAAATTGTAAAAATAAACATAAAATTCAATAGGCTTAGAATCAGATACAGCAGAAGAAAAAGCACTCTGCATGCAATTAGCTCAACGTATAAACGATCATTTTGAATATATCAAACCCTTTGTAAATTGCCTTTTGGGGTTAATACCGGCTGACAAGGCAGGGAAATAAATTTAAAATTCAATTTAAAATTGAACTTTTAGTTACCCGTGCTGGCAGAACAGTGTTTCTGGCCGTGTATTATTGAAGATTTTGGTGCTGTATTTGAAAGACAGTTGGAAATAAATAATACTGGATATTTAGTTGGGGATAAGGCAATTTTTATTTATTTTTAGAATTAAAAAAATTTTTTTTTGAAGATTACTTGGATAGATTTTTATGCGGCCTCATTTTCTGACTTGGCTTTGACTTATGGTAGGGAGGATATGTTAGATAGATTTCCGAGAGTGTTGCATCATTGTAGAGGTGAATTAAGAATTATTTTAAATAGTAAAGGGGGGTATAAAAAATTTTGGGAAATAATAGAATAAGGGGAAGAATCAGTTGACATTCAAAAATAATTTTAATACCCTTAAAAATACAAAAATAAACCTGGATTGTAAAAAATAAAAATTAACTTGAATTACAAATTGTAAAATAAACAGTTGATTTTTTTCAAAATATAAAAATAAACTTGCTTAAATAAACTTGAATTGTAAAATATAAAAATAAACTTGGATTGTGAAAACTAAAAATAAACTTGAATATTGATTCAAGTTTATTTTTTAATTTGGGGTAATTATTAGGATTGTAAAAATAATTAAACTTGAATTACAAATTGAATTACAATTTGTAAAATAAACTTGCTTAAATTGTAAAAAATAATAAACTTGAATTAAATAAATAAACTTGAATTGTAAAATGAACTTGAATTTTAAAATAAACTTAATAACAAGTTTATTTTCTAAAAAAAATAAACTTAAATTACAAATTGTAAATTAAACTTGAATTGTAAAAATTAAATATAATTTAATTTTTAGCTGTCCATTCACTGCCACAATTACAACAACATATTAAAACAAGACCAGATACACTCTTTTAAAAATTTTTTTTTATTAATTTTTAAAATAAAAACAATTAAAATAAAATAAAAAAATTTTGCTTTCATTTTTTCTTTCCACCTCCTGCTTGGGGTGCATTATTTGCTGGGGGTGGTGCATTTCCACAATTACAGGTTGCGTTACACCATTCTTCAACAGTCTGTGGGCTATAAAATGAGTTTGTGCAGAAATTATTTGGGTCTTGTTTCCAGTATGGACATCTGTTGGAAAATTCAAAAAAAATAAATTTTTAATATGTGGATAGAGTTATTTTTAATTAAAAAATACCCCTAAAATAGAAAAAAATAAACTTGGAATAAAATAAACTTGAATTACAAATTGTAAAATAGGCAAACTTATTTTTTTTGAAAATATATAAAAATAATCTTGATTAAATAAACTTGGATTAAAAAATAAACTTAGATTGTAAAATATAAAAATAAACTTGAATATTAATTCAGGTTTATTTTTTTTTGTTTACAATCCAAGTTTATTTTTTATTTTAAAGGTAATTATTTGTATTATAAAAATAATCAAGCCTGAATTACAATTTGTAAAATAAGCAAGTTTATTTTTTTAAATATGAAAAATAAACTTGCTTAAATAAACTTGAATTAATAAAATAAACTTGGATTGTAAAACTTGAATATTAATTCAAGTTTATTTTTTTTTAGGGTAGGTATTATAATTGTAAAATAATTAAACTTGGATTACAAATTGTAAAATAAACTTGGATATTTTGTAAAAATAATTATTAAAAATAAAATAACAAACAAATCAGCTCTCTTGTCAAAGCAAGCATTAGCCCCACATTCAGACAAACAGTGTTTTTGCATCATAGCCTTGTATACAGCATTATCACAATACCCCATACTTTTCAATTCAAAACACATTTTTGAAAAAATTTGTGGAAATAATAAAAACAAAAATAAATAAAATTTAAATAAAATTAAAGGAATTTTTAAATTCATTATTTTTAAATTTATTGAGAAAATTGGTGGAAAATTAATTTTAAAATTTTTCCCAGTAAAGAAAAAAATTTTTTTACTTAATATTAATTAATTTTTTTAGTAAAAAAATTTTTTTATTTAAAAATAAAAAAAATATATTTTAGCAAACATTAGTGTGTTTTGGAAGACTTGAAATAAAGGGTAAAATTGAATTTTTATTTTTAATTTTTATTTATTATTAAAGTGAGTAATACACAACTACCAATTTTTTTTATTTATTCAGCTTATTCCAAATTTTAAGGTAGAGTGAGTGACTTTTTTAAAATTTAATAAAGTACAAATAATTGTCTTTTCTAGGGTAGCTCCCCGAGCCTTCGGGGTAGGAAATGTCGGGGATCGGGGTTTGCCGGGGTAAAGCCTTCGGAGTTTGGGTCAGGGTTTTTGCCAAAAAAATCGTCGGGGTCGGGTAGGGGTTTCGGGGGACAGGGAGCTACCCTAGTCTTTTCGCATTTTTTCATCAAGTTGAAATTTTGAAGGATTTTAAGGTTGACATTTTGATATTTTTTTTCGATTAATTTTTTGAAAATTTTTGACTATTTGACATATTCCTGTTAAGTTGACATTTTGAAAAGCTTTTTAAAATCCCCATAATTTTATTTTATTAAAGCCTAGTCTTTTTTCGTTAACTTAATTCACATCACAGCCAGACATCTTTTTTTCTTATTATATTCTCTTATGGCAAAACATTTAAAAATAAATATAAAAAAAATATCTGGTCATGTGGAATTTTTTTTATATACATAAAAGATTTATTAAAAAAAATAATAATTATTTTTTGAATAAATTTAATAGGACACTTAATGTTCTTGCCCTTTAAAAGGGTAATGCTTGGCAACAAAATAGAAAAAAATTATTTTTTTGAAAGTTGGAAAAATTTTTTATAAAGCCATAAAGCCAATTTTGAAGCTTATTTTTATTATTTTTTTTCAATTTTTTTGTTATGTTACTGTCCGATCTTACCCTTTTTATAAGACGCACTCATGTCAGAATGCTCCTTTCGAGAGGAACACAATAGTAGAAAAATAGAGGGAGTAGAGACCGGAATTGGAATGATTCATAGATTTATCCAACCCTACGTAGATATCTCTCCAGTAGGGTTGATATCTCTCCAGTATTGAGAAACCGAACCGAAAATCTTCAGAGTTTTGGTTGAGGGTTGAAGCCGACAACCCGGTCTCTCCAGTAAGGTTGGTGGATAATTGGTAACCTTCGGGTTCTCCATTCGAAGATGAGTTCGAAATCTCGTCTCTGGCTGGAAAATAATTTTTTTTAATCCTTGGGAATTAAAAATTTTCATTAAAAAATTTTTTAATCAAAAATTTTAAACCAAAATCTTCTTCTTTTATTCCCCCTTATTTAATGTGATATATTTAACACACTCCCTTTCCACGCCACACAAAATCCTTAAAAAACATAATTTCCTTTTACAAACTTTTTTGGAATAAAAAAGACTTGGCAAGGGATGCTTAAAAAAGAAAAAAAAATAATTTTAGTCGCTTCTTTAGAATAAATAATTTATTAAATTTAAAAGGATGACTGATTTGCATTTTTTGAGAGCTTATTTAATTTAAAGAAAAAAATTTTTTTTGGGAGAAATTTGAGGGTTAGAAAAAAGTTTTTATGTCCATTCATTATTCAAATAAAAAATCTTTAAAGGAACAAAAGAATTTTTGAGCTTTTGAATTTTTAAATATTTTATTTTTATATTTTAAGTCCTCATTTTGAAGCTTTGTGAAGCTGAACTAAGCTGCTTCCAAGGCTTATAACTATGGGTTGCCTGAACCAATTCCTTCATTCTATAGCTCATTTAATAGAGAATTAAATTTGCTACATGATAAAATATTAGCAAAAAGTATTAATCGAATTGGCTTAATATTTATTGGCAAAAACTCATAGGTTTTTAGTTAAGTAAAGCTGAGCTAAATAGCTTCCAAGCCTAATAACTTTTGAATGCCTGAACCGATTCTTCTAAATTAAAGCTTATTTAATAGAGAATTAAATTTGCTTTAAGATAGATCTAATGATAAAAATATTAATTGAATTAGCATAATGTTTATTGGCAAAAAACACAAAACTTTTTACTTATGTAAAGCTAAACTAAGCTGCTTCTAAGCCTAATAACTCTGGGATGCCTGAACCGATTCTTTCAATCTATAGCTTATTTAATAGGGAATTAAATTTGCTTTAAGATAGATTTAATGATAAAAATAATCATTAAACTGATAAAAAAGTTAAGAGCAAAAAACTATCATTTATGTAGAAAAAATCTGATTTTTTAATATGTTTTAATGCCCAGAATTTAGTTAAAATTAATTAATTAAAAAATGCACCCTCTTCTGGACAATGTAAATAGTATTGGTAATGCAATGACTTCAACTGATCAATCAAGTACTGATTTGCTTGACTTCCTTTTTGGAGGTTATGATAAAAGAATTCGCCCCTTCTCGGATCAACAACGCCCTGTAATTATTGAAATGACTATTGTGTTGGCAATACTTACAGAATTGGTAGGTAAATTCTAATTTGTAATGAGTTAAAGCATTTTTAGAGAGAGAATCAACAAGTAGCCTCATTTGTAATATCACATATTCAGGTGAAGATTTTTATGATTCAAGCTAACTAGGTTCGGCCAAGCCTCGTCGGGGAGACTTTTCGGAATGGGGTTGGGGAGTAAGGTTGGGGGATAATTGGAAATCTTCGGATATCCGGATCCGGTATCCGAACCGAAAATTTCCGGATATCCGGCTTTTTTTCGGATACGATATCCGGATCCGCCAAACTTATTGGGGAGAGGAAGTTAGGAGTCAAATATAGGAGTCAATATAGGAGTGTTGTCAGGTAAAGGGGATCGGTCTTGGGTTTGCTGGCAGGGAACGGGCATGGTCTAGGGCACCAAGCCTAAATTTTACAATTCTCGAAATTAGCATACACTTGTTTTAAAATTTTAAAATAATTTTTCTTTATTTTCAAAAGAAATGGAAGGACCCTCGTCTTATTTGGGATCCAAAATTATTTTCTGGCCTAAAACAAATTGTAGTACCACATTCTACTGTGTGGCTGCCCAAAATGTTTATTTACAATTCTATGGACAACAAGGAAATGCTTACAGAAAATCGTTTTGATATCAGAATTAGTAGTGATGGGCATATAAAGGCTAATATTCCTCATTATGTTAGTCAGAATATTTAATTGTAAAATAAAATATTACCATTTGTAATTTTTAAAAATCAGAATTTGTAATTTTAAAATATCAGAATTTGTAATCTTTAAAAATCAGAATTTGTAATTTTTAAAAATCAGAATTTGTAATTTTAAAATATCAGAATTTGTAATCTTTAAAAATCAGAATTTGTAATTTTTAAAAATCAGAATTTGTAATTTCTAAAAATCAGAATTTGTAATTTTTAAAAATCAGAATTTGTAATTTTAAAATATCAGAATTTGTAATCTTTAAAAATCAGAATTTGTAATTTTTAAAAATCAGAATTTGTAATTTCTAAAAATCAGAATTTGTAATTTCTAAAAATCAGAATTTGTAATTTCTAAAAATCAGAATTTGTAATTTTTAAAAATCAGAATTTGTAATTTCTAAAAATCAGAATTTGTAATTTCTAAAAATCAGAATTTGTAATTTCTAAAATCAGAATTTAATGCATTACAATATCAGAATTATAAAAAAATACAAATCAGAATAAATAATGTATTTTCTGTTGTGTCAATTCTGTTTTGTAATTTTCTTCAAATTCTGATTTGTAAAAAACTTGATAATTCTGAATTATTTTACAATAATTATTTTAATTTTGAATTATTTTACAATTCAGAATTAAAAATAATAAAATAATAAATAATAATAATTAAAAAAATAAATAATAAAATAATAATAATAATAATAAATAATCAGAATTAAATAATAAATAATAATAATAATCAGAAAAAATAATCAGAATTAAATAGTAATTGTAAAATGGGGATTGTATAAAAATCAGAATTAAATTTTTAGAATTATTTTTTTTTAATATTTATCTATTCTGATATTTATTCTGATAATAATTACCTTTGTAAAATAATCAGAATTAAAATAATTAAATCAGAATATTTTTTTACAAATTCTGATTTTTAAAAATTATATTTGTAAATTACAATTGTAAATTTTTTCAGGTTTCTTGTATTTGCAGACTTAATATTTCTGTAAGTTTTAATTAAAAATTACAATATTTAATTAATTAAATTCACAGTTATTCCCATTTGACACCCAATTCTGTGCTATCGCGCAGGCGTCACCATTGCTTAGCATACAAGAGATGGATGTTAATACAACAAAGCCTCCGAAAGACTCCTATTTTTCTGTAAAAAATTTTTTTTGATGAAAAATATTAAAAAATTTGTACAGGGTAATGCTGAATGGGAATTATTAAATGTTACTGTGAGAGCAACAAAATTTATGGAGGATGGAGAGGAGCGTGTTGAAGTATGTTAAGTAACCCGACCCCAATAACAGGCATATCCGATTCCAGGCCGAACCCAGGCAGAACCCAGGAATCTCTCTCTCTCCTATAGGGTTGGTCCCGCGATCCTCATAACTCCTCCCATCCCGACGATAATCATTGTGATTTCACTAACACCATTTCTCCGAGCTGCTATCCCCATGGATCACCTCTTCCCGGAAATATTCCCCCAGCTGAGGAGGGATCAATCTTAAATATCTAAAAATATTATTTATTATAGGTCCATTACATCATTCATTTACGCCGTAGACCTGTTTATTACATTACCGTGATAGTTGCACCAACCTTCCTCATTTCTGCATTGAGCATTTTGGGGATATTCACGCCTGGTACGAATGATGGACCTCGTGGAGAAAAGGTAGCTAGATTGATATACTTGTAATATCTCGAAGTTAAAGTCAAACAATTTTTCCTTAGGTGTCCCTCGGACTTGGCTCACTCCTAGCAATGTCTGTACTTTTGGACATAGTTTCGGCAGCCATGCCTAGATCAAACTCGATACCTCTACTTGGCCATTATATTATTTTTACGATTGTTTTGTGCGCGGTAGGTGTTGGAGTTAGCATGTTACTGTTGGCTATGTCGAGGCATTTTATTCAAAGTGGGGAATTGCCGTCAGAAAAGCTTTATAGGTGAAGGCGATTTTATTACAATTAAGTTTCTGGTTATAAAAAATCAGAATTTTATATTGTAAATCCAGAATATAAATCAGAATAAAAATCAAAATCTAAATCAGAATTAGAATCAGAATGATAAACCAGAATAAAAAAGTCAATAAAAAGTCAGAATAAAAATCAGAACAAAAATCAGGATTAAATATCAGAATTAAAGATCAGAAAATGATCAGAATAAAAATCAGAATTAGGAATCAGAACAAATATCAGAATTAAATATCAGAATTAAAGATCAGAAAATAATCAGAATAAAAATCGAAATTAGGAATCAGAACAAATATCAGAATTAAAATCAGAATTAAAAATCAGAATCAAAAATCAGAATTAAATATCAGAATCAAAAATCAGAATTAAAAATCAGAATCAAAAATCAGAATTAAATATCAGAATCAAAAATCAGAATTAAAAATCAGAAATAAAAATCAGAATTAAAAATCAGAATCAAAAATCAGAATTAAAAATCAGAACAAAAATCAGAATTATTATAATTATTTTTTCAGAAATTTATTACTCAATCCTTACCAAGAAAAACACTACCACACTTTTTCTTCTGCCTACAAAAACTATAAAGACAGTCGAGAACCTTTAAATAACAATTGTGAATTGGATTATTATACAAATAATAACAACAAAAATGGGCAGCCGACAAATTTTATTTTAAAACCAAAAATTTCCTACGAATTTCAAACGATACAGTCACAACTACAAATTATTGTAGATGCCCAAAAAAAGTTTAGAGAAAAAATTGAAATGCATAAGGAGAGACAAATGGTTAGTTATGTAGCAGGGATATAGGTGACTCGATTTCTGATTCCAGAAAACACGGATTCTATCTAGTCTGGGATAAGGATACAGGCCAATCATTTTTGGTAATCCTTATACCTATAGGCCGGCACAGTTTCCTCCCTAAAATTGAAGATAAAATTAAAAACGATTAGTCGTGTGATGGTCGGGGAGATGATTAGTCGGGGCTCTCCTTTAGCTAGTGCAAAAGGTTACTCGGCGGCTGGGTGCGAACCAGCATCTTCAGTAGACCGGACTGGTGTGTTAACCATTACACCACGCCGCCTACTGTACAGCCTTAGAAATTATATAGCCACATGCTTTACATCTACGTGAGCTGTTAAGCATTGGAGAGGTCTCAGAATCATGCCCATTCTATCCTTAATTAGGTTTGGCACTCGATACGTTATAGAAAATCTTTCTCGTGGAAGGAGATACACGAACAGAAATTTTGTTGGGGGTCGGGGACCATCCCTATTTTTAATTAAAAAATATTTTTCAGATCCAAAGAGAGTGGAATCGAGTATTTGCCAGATTTGACTACCTCTTCCTTTTTATATTTTCTGGAGCTAATTTACTATTTTTAATTTTGTTTTTGCGCTATATGTGGCACCCGGCAGCAGAATTGCCTGTTGATTTTGGACTTTAAAAAAATTCAATTTTTTTTTATTTTTTAAAAATAAATTTTGTAAAAAAATGTATTAAAGAATAAAATTTTTATTTTAAGAAAAGGAAGATTATGCCATTTCCTGCTTAACATAAATTAATTATAGTAATATCGTTGCTTACCCAAATTAAAATAAAAATGCGCGCAGTTAATCCCTTCATTAATTATTTAAATGTACTTAAAATCACAGACTTAAAACTCATTTAACGTCAGATTTTTTTGTAAAGGAGAGGGTGTTCGATATCTATTTGCCTTTTAAAAATACCAACGTTGATAATCGAGACTAGTGACGTATAGGTTAGGTAACCACTCACGGTAGATGTCCGGTAGATGCCCTACCTAGCCGCAAAGAAAATGCGCACATTTTCTTCCTTTCATGTATTTTTCTCGCAAGGGAGGACATCAATCGAACATTTGCCACTCCATACCCGAAAGCCTGGCACTTTTCGACTAGAAATACGATCTGAATGAAATTCGACTCGAACCCAAAACGAACTCACCTTTTTCCAGGCTTGGTAATGTATACGGATATGTACAGATAAGTTAAAAATGCCAACGGATATCTGTCTGTATGACTAGTGACTAACTCGGTTCTTCGGAACCAAACCGAAGAACCAAAGATTTGACGGTTCAGTTTCGAATATCTGAAGGTTCTCTATGAACCGAAAACCCTCGCAGGGACTATTAATATTACCCTAACCAAAATCCAAGTCCATCGCCTGGTCTGCATTTTTCAACTCGGCCCATTCTAGCTGTACAACCCTAATCCTTTAGTATGTTTTCCCCAAAATAATTTTTATTATAAATTATTCAACGGAAACCCTTGCTATGCTTCTTCCCCTTTATTTTTAATTATCCAATCCTCCTTTTCCCAATCCAACAAAAAAAATCCAAAAAATTAATATAATCGTGTTCACTTATAAAAAAGCGAAAAAAAAACACCCGTATCCCAGGCAATAATAATTTGAAAAAAATATAAATATATTTAATCCCCATAGAGCATCACCACACTTAAAGTAGACAAAACAACAATTTTTTAAAAGTAAATATATAAATATTTTATTATTAAAAACTTTTTCTCTATTATTTTAAAAAAGTCTTCACACCTTTTTAAAGACAATGAATTTTTAATATTTCGCAAAAAATGTTTCCAAAATCTTTTGCTAACGAACGCTTAGAAAGGGAAAGATTAAGGGTTAAACCACGACCAAGAATATACAACGAAATCTCAGCCCAAAATTCCGCCTCCGAAATTATCGACCCCGAAGTAGAACTAGGGTTGTAGGTTGGAAACCGCCTCGAAAAACCGAAGATTTTTCGGTTCTGTTTCGGATTGAGAAAGGAAAAGTTAAGGGTTAAAATATGACCAAGAATACACACCTTTTCTTTTGGCTAAACCCTTACGATGACAAGAAAATCTTATCCCGAAACCTCACTCCGAACGTGTCGATCCCGACGAGTCGGGGTCCAACCCTGGAGAAAAACATAATACCAGAGAAATCGCTGTTTATATATAAATAAGCTAACAGATGTCTAGGACTAGGGTAGTTGGTCCTGAAATCTCACCAAAAAACCGAGAACGCTTAGAAAAGGTTAAGGGTTAAACCATGAACCAGAATACACACCTTTTTGAATGAAACCCTTACGATGACAACGAAATCTTATCCCAAAACCTCCACCTCCAAACTTTTCGACCTCAACGTGTATCTAAAGATGACTAGAATTAGGGTTGTAGGTTGGTAACCGCCCCGAAGAACCGAAGATTTTTCGGCAGGGTTTTGGATATCCGAAGATTTTCTGAGAACCGACAACTCTAAAAGGAACTATTAATATGGCCCTAATCATCCTACACGATTTTATAAAGTAAAAAAAACTAAAAGAATAAATTAATTTATAGCAGTTAAAAAATTATTTAAAATAATTGAGAATGAGTGCTACTCGAGAATCCTCTACCGAAACAGCTGATCGTTATCCTTTTGGGTATTTTCTGTTTAACTTTTAATTTCTAAAATATTACCCTAATTTAGCTACTCTACAGAGCTTACCTCGAATCATGAATCCTCCATCTGTACAGCTAAAAGGCTTAGGCAACGCTTACAACGACAACAATCGGGACAGTCGGGAAGGCGGTATACTGGTGAAAGTAGTGAAGGGTCATCCTTGGTGGTATAAGATAAAATAAAATTTTGAATAATCAAAAAAAAATTTTTAAGGGTACCCCAACAGAATCAGGCCGTTGCTTCACCTTTACTGCAGCACAACGTGTATTACGAACAGACCCAGATAGAAAACCTTCAATGAATCAAAATTTGTCTGAAATGTTGTTAGATGTATATTTAATTTATTTTTTAAATTTTTAGAAAATTTTTAAATTGAAAAAATTAAATTTATAAGGCGATACATATGGATGATGCTAGCCTGGTAGATAGGCTGTTGCTTTCACACTGTGGAAATAAGGTAGAAACACTGAATTAAAATGTTTCTAGGTTTAATCAAAAACAAGTTTATTTAAATAATTTAAGTTTTCCTAAACAAGTTTAATTAAAAACAAGTTTATTAGAAACAAGTTTATCCAAAACAAGTTTATTTTAAAACAAGTTTAATTTTTAATTTAAACTAGAGTTGATCAAAACGATACTGGTATCGGCCAACCCGAGACCGAGATTGACCGATACTCAAGAACCCGATATCGAGACCGATACCAACATTTTGAGCCGAGACCGATACCGAGAAACGATACTGACCGAGACTAACAGAAATTTTTATTTTATGTCAAAAAATACGTGTAAAAATAATTTATATATTATTTTCATCATCCAAATCATCAGATAAATACTCTTCATCATCTGGATCCGATCTGGCTTGGCAATGGATACTAATTTATGTGTCAGTATCCGAATAGGTATATCCGTGAGGTCGACATCCGTATCCAATTATATCCTTACAACTTTTGAGGCAATCCGCAGATGGCCGAAGTGAAAATTTCGGTTAACCAAACCATTATTTCAGCGCCGCAGGCAAAAATTTTTTGAATTTTAGAAGTGCAAGTCAACAGATTTCTTCCAATTTTCATCGCCGCAGGCAATAATTTGTAGTTTTGAAAGTCCAAGAAGCCAGATTCTTCTCATTTTCAGCGCCGCACACAAAAATTTGAGAATTTTAGAAGGCCATGAAACCAGATTTTTTCCAATTTTTGCCCTCAGATACGCAAAACTTAATGCGCTCACCCCTGCTTCCGATCGCTTCAAATCCCCTTAATCCAATGGTGAGAACAACAGTTGCCGAAAATCGGAAGGCTCTGTAATCAAAATCTTGAAAATCTAACGGCCGAGGGCTCGGAAAATTCAACATTTCAGCGCCGCAGACGAAAATTTATTAAATTTTGGAAGGCCAAGTCACCAAATTTTTTCCTTTTTCAGCGCCGCAGGCGAAAATTTTTTGAATTTTAGAAAACCTTATTCGAAAAAAATTCACTTTTCTGTTATGGACGGATATCCTAAAAAAATTATGGACGAAAACTTGGACAATATTGAGAATTTTGTTTCTTTGAGTCAGTATCGTTTCTCGCCGAGAAATGGGCCGAGAATATCGGTATCGGTTTCGAGACCGAGAATGAAAAAACCGAGACCGATATTGGAAAAAAGCCGAGAATCTCGGTATCGGTCTCGGTATCGGTCTCGTCTTGATCAACTCTAATTTAAACATACGCTTTCTAAACATGTTTTGTTCAAAACATGTCTTGTTTAAAACTAATTAATCACAAACATGTTTAATTTCCCAACATGTTTTCCAACATTTTTAAAAATTTTCAACAATTTCTCAAACATTTAAACAAACTCAAAACATGTTTGTTTATTTCAATTTTTCCAAACATGTTTAATTTAAAAATTAAACTTGTTTTGTTCGTAAAGTTCATTTCAGAAAAGTTTAATTAAAACAAGCTTTTAAAACAAGTTTATTTAAATTGTTTTATAAAGCATCAAGCTACACTTTCATCATCACCATCTATAACCAGCACAAACACGTTTACTGACCTAGCTCAACGTAGGCATGGGTAAGTTTTCTTTGTACATTTTCAATAAAAGGTTTATCTAGTGGAGCTGCTACAATGCAACATAGGCGTTCTAATGCATCGAGTACTTTATCAACACATTCTGGTGGACGTTCAAATTGTGCTACTATGAGTACATTGTGGGTTTAATAGGAAAAAATTTTTTTAATTAAAAAATCTTTTCTAGACACATGGCAGTAGCCCACAAACAACGAGATATTGTCGAACTCCTCCTCAAAAGCGGCTATGATCCAAACACAATAGCTCTGTGCCACTGTAAAGGAGCCTGTACAACATCGGGAAACATTCCACTGGCTTCTGTTCTTCCTTCTAAAAATCATTCTGCAACACCTGAAATGTGTGCAGTCTGTACACAATTACGTGTTGTTTCAATTCTTGACCAAACACCGCTAGCTATTGCGGTGAGGGCACAGAGTCCAGAAATGGTAAATATTTTTATGTTTATTTAAGCAAATGAAGTTTATTAGTATAAACAAGTTTACTTAAAACATGTTCATTTAAACAAGTTTCTTCAAAACTTTTTAATTAAAAACAAGTTTGTTTGAACAAATGTGTCCCGAACAAGTTTATTTTAAACAAGTTGATTTAAAAAAAGTTTTATTAAATCAAGTTTATTTAAATGTATGTTTTCTAATAATCCGAACATGCTTTTATCCGAACATGTTTCTTTAAAACAAGTTTAATTACAACATGTTTATAAGTGTTTAAACATTTTATAAAAATGTTTTTTTGCCAAACAAACATTGTTTATTATTCCCTAGATTAATTTGCTTGTTTCTTATGGCGCTGATGTGAACGCTGTTGATGAGGACGGGAATTCCCCTTTAATGTTGGCCGTCCGTGACTCTCCTTTGAGTTGGCATTGTCTTCATATACTCATCCTCTTCGGGGCTAGAATTCAACAGAAAAACAGTCGAGGAATTTGCCCTCTAGATTTGGCCCCCGAATTAAGAAAAATACAAGAAACTTGTGTTGAGAGCCTTTTCCAAATGGCCTGTGTTCGGCCAACAAATTCAAATTCTGGGGGTAATCACGTCAGTGGCAGTCAAGTTCACTTGAGTGGAGGAGGGACGGGGAATGGAGAAAAGGAAGAGAATGGAGGTGGAGTGGTTGGAGGAGTAGGTGGAGGACAGACCAACATAAACATGGCTGGTAGTATAGGTGGAACTGTAAGCACTCAAGAAAGACTAATGAAAACGGCAGCGATGATTTCTGCTACTAAACATTTGCGTAAATCAAATGTTGATGCTGGCAAGTGTTTAAATTTAATAAATCAAAACATGTTAATTTTAAGAATCGCTTCTGCTGCCAGCAAGTTTTTGCGAGAGGGGAAGTCTTAGCAAGTAAGTTAAGAAAACAAAGTTTATTAAAACATTTTATTTAGACATGTTTTAAAACAAAATAAGATGTTTCAAAACATGTTTTTATAACAAAGTTTATTTATTGAAAACAACCTGAACTAAAACATGTTTCTAAAACGATGTTTATTTACGCAAAACATTTGTATTAAAAACATAAACAAGTTTATTATTAAACAAGTTTTATAAAAACAAAGTTTATTCAAAACAACATGTTTAAAAACATGTCTGAAAACATGTTTTTAAAATAGAAGTTTAATTAAAACATGTTTATTTAAAAAAGTTTTATTAAAACATGTTTTAAAACAAAATTTATACATATCTCAAAACATGTTTCTATAACAATGTTTATTTATTTAAAACAACCTGAATTAAAACATGTTTTTAAAACAAGTTTATTTATGCAAAACATTTGTATTAAAAATTCAAACAAGTTTAAAAACAATGTTTATTTAAAACAACATGTTTAAAAACATGTTTAAAACATGTTTTCAAAACAAAGTTTAATTAAAACAAGTTCATTTACAAAAAGTTGTATTAAACATGTTTTATTCTCCAAAACAACTTGTTTTCTTTCCTACAGCAAATCTCCCCTTTCCCCACGAACATCGGCTGCTTTATCAGTCTCAAACTCATCAATGTTGGAAAGTTTAAGTGTTAATAAAGATCGAATAAGTATGGGTGTACCTGCAACACTAGTTGACTCTTCAAGGCGAAAGTCGTTTGTTTCGCTCCAATTACACAGAAGAACGAAATTAAATAAAGACTGTATGAATTAAAAAAATTTAGATAAAATTTAAATATTATAGCAGCTATATTTGAAAATGTTAGCAGGGAACAGGCTTGGGAAACACTTCAGAAAATGAGTTCTAATCCTGAATGTATTGAAAGTATTATGGTAATTAAAAATGATTTTTAAAACATGTTTTAGGAGAATATTAGGAAGTTTAATTAAAAGTTCAAAACAAAGTTTGTTTTAAACAAAGTTTGTTTAAAACAATGTTTGTTATAATATAGCATGTTTTAAATAAGAAGCTTATTAACAAGCTTGATTAAAACAAGTTTATTTTATTAAAACATGTTTGTCTAAAACAAGTTTATTTAAAACTTCCTTTTCAAAACATGCTTATTTATTTCTTTAATAATTGTTTTTAAACAAATTATGTTTGAAACAACGTAGCAAAACATGTTTTGAAAAACATGCTTATTTGTTTTAACAAACAAGTTTATTTACAACAAGTTTAATTTATAATTCTATTATAGCGATCCCTTCACAAATATTGTGCCCAACAATTGGATGACCATGCAAATCCTTTTTATGGGGCCGAAAGGGACATTATGGATTCTCATTTGGGTGGATTGCTTCATCAAATATTACTAACTTCTATTGTTTCCTTCTCTTTGAGTAAATAAATTTTAAATAATTTAAAATTTTTTTTCAAAGCCCGGCAACGTAGTCGAAGCGGGACAGACTTCCAAATGAGCGCTCCTGTCCAACAAAAATGGAACCGTCAGAGACTGGTCGGTGTCCTTGTTTCTGTAGTCAATTTCTGTTATTTGTGTCTACAAAAAAGTGGAAGTTGTAGACAATTTGCGGCGTTGAGCACGTTAAATAAAGTTTGGTTTAAGGGTAGAAATCACTAAAATTTCAATTTTCAAGGTAATAGATGCCGGTTTAGTAAATTCTGTATTTGGCTGGCCTCAAATAGTATTCCACTCCTCCCGGTTATTAAATCGTTCACATGAATTTCAATCTCAAGATGATTTTGAAGCTGGTCTTTCCTTTGTGGAGGACCCGTTACAGGCAAGTTTTGGGTAAAAACAAGTTGTGAAACATAAACACACTAAGAAACAATTTAAAACACAAACATGTTTTCGAAAAATAATTAAAACAAACGAAAAACAAGTTTTTGTTTTGTTGAAATATAAACATGTTCGTTTAAATTTTTTCCGAAAAACAAGTTTATTTTAAACACTTAAAACATTACCAAAAACAAGTTTATTTAACAATAAACGAAACATAAAATGTTAAAGTAAACATGTTTAAATAAACAATTTTTAAATAAACTTGGTTTAAAATAAACTTGTTTTAAATAAACTTGTTTTAAAAAATATGTTTTAAAATAAACTTGATTTAAAATAAACTTGTTTTACTTAAAAATAAACTTTATAAAAATAATTTTAGACACCCAACAAAACATCAGAAAATGAAAAATCTGATAGACGTGAAACAGGCGATAGTAGTTCAGCGCCCGCCTTAATTCTTCAAAGTTTTTATCGGAAGCATGGAGTTAATGTTGGATCGCAACATAATAAAGTAGAAAAACTTAGAATTAAATCATTTAATTTTTGTATTATTTGAAAGGTTCGGCTAAGCGATTTACAAAAAGCCTTTTCTAGTATGCAACCTAGTATTGTAAGTCATAAAATCTGATTTATTAAATATTAAAACTAGATTATTGCTTATCTACATAACTCAATTACCATGCATAATCGAGAGGCTGGTAATCGCTCGGTATGCTCGCCTGCGCATAGATGGAGACAGTGTTACAACGTAAGTTTGCTTGAAACATGTTTTTTAATATTTGTTTTTATGAACATGTTTGTATAAGTAAAGCTATGTTTTAATGAAATACAAACAAATAAACTTTGTTAAAAACAAACAACAGTAAAAAGTAAACATTTGTTGGGAAAATAAAACTTGTTCGGGAAATAATAAAACTTGTTCGGGAAATAATTAAACTTGTTTGGAAATAATAAAACTTGTTTGTGAAAATATTTGTTTGATTGAACAAAACATGCTTTTTCTATTGAAACATTATTGAAACACAAACATTTTTTGAAATAAACCTTAAAAACATTGAAACAAACATGTTGATTAGCCTGAAACTATTGATATTCTTTCAAATAAACATGTTTCATTGATGATTTTATATTATAATTATAGCATTGCACACATATCCTGGTTGCTAGAGTATGTTTGCGCAAATTTTTTACATTTACCGAGTGAAATATTTTAAAATTATTAATTTCTATATTTCAAGATTTTACTCTTCCTCGCCAGCTTTAAAGAATTTCGACAAAAAATTAGTGAGCGTTCCCAGTTAAGAACACTTATTCAACTACTCGAGCCAACTCTGGATCCGGTGATAATAAAAAAATTCTTTTTTAACACCAAAAATTTTTAAAGCAACTGCTCTGTCTTTTGCTTCAGACTATAGCACTTATAGCCTTGAATCCATCAACACACCGTCATTTTATTGAAATGCAGGTGGATAATCCGCTTATTCAGATGCTTCTTCCAGCCGATGATTGGTCAGAATTTGTTAGATATTCCATTAAGATATTCCGTTAAGATATGAATGTCCATTAATGACCAGTTATGTCAAAGTTCCAGTTCCAGAACTAGAACTACGGAACTAACGATTATCTGGAACTAGCTTGGAACTAGTTCCAGAAATGGAACTAAGGAATTACAAAAATGGAGTTCCGGAACTGGAACTGGAACTACAAAAATTAAAAACCTAGTTCTGGAACTGGAACTAGTTCCAGAGAAATTTTGGAACTTTGACATCACTGTTAATGACCCGTGGTTATTGAACGTAGCTTTAACAATGGTTCATGGCCATAAAGTCTCAAGAATAATAATTTATTAAAATATTTTTTCAGGTATTATACAAATCATAGCACTAAATTTGGCCATTTTGTTAAACACCATGCCGCTCGAATATTAATTTATATTGGTCTAGGGGAGAGAGTTGGAAATCGGTAGCTATTTTCAATTAAACATTAAAAGAAAGTTTCTCGATCTTCCAGAGTTTCTCTGTTCGATGACTCCCTTTTGGCAACCTCAGTCACTCGTAGATCCTTAACTAGCAGTCAGGGTCAAGCAGCAAACAATTCCACCTCGGCAAATGAGGACGACTATATTTGTGAAACTCTTAGACCGGCTACAATGGCACAAGAATTTAGGTGATTGAGAGCGTTAATTGAGACATTGAATTTATTTTTTCTTTTAAAGCCGAACAGCAATGTCAGTAGAAGGCATTCTTCTAAAAATAATGCAAGAACTAAGCAGAAACCAGGCTTCAAATGGCACTGGAAGCGGAGCACAGGAGCCTATTAGCGAGGAAACGTAAGCAAAAGCTTTTCAGGAAAATATAAGAGTTAAGTGTCTGCCATGAAAGGGATTCACTGCCATATGTCTGCCATAAAAGGGATTCACTACGAGATTTTCTAGAATGTCAGTAGAAGGGTGGGAGTAGTAGTCCATTTATTAAGGGCTTATTTTGGGTCTCCTCCAGTTGAAATTTTTTTTCGTGTTCTTGTCTCTACACCTACCTAGTATATTTAAGACCCAGTGCTTGTGCGAGCGTGATCGCTTCACCTACAGTCCAAGTTCGATCTATTGTTGTTGGTCAAAATAGTGCAAATTGTATTATTGAGGAGTGTGAAGAGAAGCCTGTATGTATTATTCTTGATCTGATTTCAAAAATTATTCATAAAGGATTCTCCACTTCCACCATTAATAATGCCATCACCAGCATTTATTGATGATACACCTACTAGTACACCTCCAACTTCTGTTGAGGCAAATTTATGTACGGCTCGGAATAGTTCTACATCTAACCCGTTTATTTCATGTAACAAATTATCTCTATATAAATGCGCAATTAGGGTTGCCAGAATGTCCCGACTCGGACTGAAAGATCGGCCCGGCTCGATAGTTAGGCCTGAAAAAGACTCGTACCTGCTCGACCCCGACTCGATAAAAACAAGCCCGAAAAAAATGCCTCGACCGTCGGCCCGACTCGAAAACGGCAACCCTATTAGCAATATAACACCACTTCTTGTATAGTTGATAGATGGAGCTATAACCATACGCCAGGATTTTGGGGAACCTTTCAAACCAGCAACGTTCAGTGCCTGGGTTTATAGGAGTGGAAATATTTAAAGGGGGGTGTGGATTATAACGTCCTGTATGGTTAAAATTCCATTAACATCTTTATGAATCGACCAAGATTTTTCAGCTACGTATTCAAAATCTGCTTCTACTAGTCCAGACACTCCTTCAACTTCTCCTCACAATTTATTAACAAACAGACAATCAACTCCAGTTTTGGGGCCGCCTGTATCCCCATCCTCTACAACAACCTGTTCATCAACACTTACAAGGGCAACAACACCCTCAACATCATCAAGTGGGTCAACACCTAGACAGATTAATAACATTCAGCTTCAAGGCAATAAGACATTTTAAATATATTTATTTCGGAAAAATATATTTATGTTCGTGTTTTAGTTAGTTAAACAATGTTTTCCGGAAAACATCTGATTAATTTTGTTTTTCAGAAAATAACATTTAAATTAATATTTTCCGGCAAACATCTAATTAAATTAATGTTTTCCGGAAACATCTGTTAATTTGTATTCAGAAAACATCTAATTAAGGAAAACATTTAATTGATTTAATATTTTTCCGGTAAACATCTAATTAAATGTACTTTTTCCGGAAAACACCAATTAAAAACATCTAATTAAATTCACTTTTTTCCGGAAAACATTTGTTTAGGGTAATATTTTTCCGGAAAACAACTACTTAAATTAATATTTTTCCGGAAGTTATAATAAAATTAGTTAAAACATATATGTAATTCTAAGAAACATCTATAAATAGGTATAATCCACCAACAACAACAACAATTAACAGTTCCCGGGCAACAACAACAAATCCATCAACAAATAGCACAACCACAACAGCAACATAAACCTACTCCTACAGTAAATAGCCAACCTAGACCAACTAGTGTTGTCGTTCCTGAAAAACAAATACAATCTCAGGCTGTAAGACTATAAAATTTTAAAACCATTCAAAAACCATTTAAAGGTGAAGCGCGCCCCTTCTTCCCCTCCTGCTTCTGTTAGTGCAACAGTAGCAAGAGTGTACAACACATTAGTTTGTATAAACAACTTGGAAACACACTTATGCAAATTTTCACTAGTACTTGATCCAATGTTGTTGTTGCGACTTTTGTTACACAAACTTTCATGGTAAAATATAGAACAACAATAAATAATAAAAACATCTATTAAAACATGTTTGTGTGGACATACCATTAAAACATGTTTATCTGTTGTGAAAACAAGTTTATACAAAACAAACATTTAAATATAGCTATAAAAACAAACGTGTTTAAAACAAACTTGTCTACAAAAACACAAACTTGTTTTGAAAAAACTTGTTTAGAAAGCCAAACATGTTTATAACAAAGAAAAACAATAAATAATAAAAACATCTATTAAAACATGTTTGTTTGACATTAAAACATGTTTGAGTGGGAAATAATTAAAATATACGAATATTTGTTGAGAAAACAAGTTTTTATAAAACAAACATCAAAATGTTGCTATAAAAAAACTTGTTCTAAACAAACTTGTTTAGAAAAACACAAACTTGTTTTGTAAAAACTTGTTTGGAAACAAACTTGTTTATAACAAATAAACTTGTTTTTATAAGATAATCAAAACTTTGTTTAAATAAATATTAACTTATATAAACAAAAACATGTTTTTGTAAAATAAACAATGTTTACATTAAATTTTAAATAAACATAAACATGTTTAAATAGTTTCTTTGTATTAAAACAATCTATTCTGTAAATTAAAGGGATCTTTCGCTTGTTGCTAAAAAACGTCCAACAATATATGGACAAGTTGGCAGTGCGAATGCGACCCCTACAGCAACACCTATTATTACTTCTGTTGCCGATTCCCGAAGAGCACATTCAAGTTGTTCGTTGGGAAGTTCATTTAAAAGAGGATGTGAGGAACAAAACAGTAAGAATAGCATAAAAGACAGCAAACGTTTTTTACGGGTGGACTACGCCGGAGGCTCTTCGAGGTTGTCAAAACGTGTCCATATTAGGAGATCAAGGTTGCTTCGATAACGAATAAATATACCCTTCAATTTATTTTAGTTCTGTCGAAATTCCTCGTCCCAAACGCTTCAGCAGTGGCGCTAAAGAGTTGAGAAAGGAACGCAACCGAAAACGACTTGGAACCGATACAAGCAGTGGAAGTGGAAAGTCAAAGAAAACAAATTCTTCCTCAACATCCAGCGTTCAGAAACATTTACCCAAATATTTGACAAATCTTTTTCGAGGCCGAATGGGCACAGATCCGTGTAAGAGGCATCATAGCCGTGCTAGTCGAGAATCTAGCCCCGACAGTCCTTTGAGTGGATCTGAGGCAGTTTTGGAGTTTACCAAAAAACTACAGAATATTCCACCTACAAGGAGAGATACGCTCAGGATGGCTTATAAACAGGCAGGACAACAGGATAGTGCGGGGACTGCTGGGAGTGCTGGGGAACGGATTCAGCGACATATTGGCTATGGGCACTTACCCGAGTTGGAGGTAACAATGACCAATTAATTGCCATAATAAAACCAATTAATTCATTCAGGTAAACAGTGCATCTCCTCCCCGTTCACCCCTAATCAGCACGGCAATAGTAGCAGCAGCAGCACTCACTAGCGAGAACAACAGCGCTTCATCTTCAGTTGCTGTAGCCAGTGGAAATGTTGTTGACTTACGCCGTCCTTCCAGCCCTCCTGTTTTGCCGGGATTACCACTTATCGAGATCCGTCGACCCTCAGCTTTATCTCAATTTGAATTTGGCTATTTTGTCAATTCACCAGAGGTTATGTCAAATAGTCAAGGTGGAAGTGCGACGGGGAGTGTGTCTGATGATTGCGCGCCTTTGTTGTTGAGTGGTGGACCAAGTCAAGTTCAAATTTGTTCCAGAAAGTCTTCAGATGGTGGGAGATGATTTTAGTTTTTGGATAGGAAATATTATCTGGAAAGCGAAATTTTGAGTTAAAACGAAATTTCGTCTTTAGAAATTTCGTATTTTTTGGGTACTCAAAATTTCGTTTTCGGTTATTCAATCTTTCATTCCTTCTCACACAGTACTCTAATATACCGTATTTTCTCTATTAGAATGCCATGGCATTCTATTTTTCAATCACCTTCGGAAGTGGCATTATATTAGAGACTGGCATTCAACTGGAGAGTGGCATTCTATTTTTGCGATGTCTGAATTTTGAAACTAAAAAATTTTCATCTAGCAAATTCAATTTGTCTCAAAATCTAGTTTCATCCTGACATGGGAAAAATGCCAAAATCGAATTTAAGTTGAATACGAAAATTATTTGCTTTAGAATAGTTTTAAGGTTCGACAAATTCGAGGGATAAGGAGGATTTTGAGGATTAAGTGGGATTTGGTTGATTTTGATGTATTAAGAGAGCTGGTATCGATTTTTTTTTTTGCTGATTAAGAGGATATGGCGGAGATATTGAAGATTTAGATGATTAAGATGGGGTGAGAAGATTTGGAGATTTCCCCTCTATGCCCCTCTACTCTCCCTAAAATAGAATTCTTTATTCCCTATAATTCCCGATATTTCTCTAAATTCCGTCTAATTCACTGATATCTCTTTACCTCTCAATACTCTCTTTTTCCTTTGAATCCACTTATATCCTTATTAATCGCTACAAATCCGCCAATATCACTCTGAATTCTTCTTAATCCCTTCACCCCACTATATCAGTAATTTAACTCAAGTTCACTTTATCACTGTCTCTATTACGTAAAAATATTAAGGAAAAATCCTTAACATTTTTAGAAAATCCCGTTACTGGATCTCGGATTTGCAATTTTGCCGCATTTTAGTTTATATAATATTACTAAATGAACAGAAAATAAGAAGAAATCAATGGAAATAGCTTTAGATAAAGTATTTTATTATACTTGGAAAATTTTCGTTATTAAAGAAGGGTGTCATTCTATTAGAGACTGGCATTCAATAAGAGAGTGGCATTCTATTTTTCGATCACCTTCCAAAGTGGCATTCTATTAGAGACTGGCATTCAACTGGGGAGTGGCATTCTAATAGAGAAAATACGGTACTCTCTTTTAAAAATCAGAAAGTTCAATGTGTGGCTGGAGTTCTCGCGCAAGCTCTCGCCTCTCCCAACGGTCATCATCTGGCGGCCTTCGACTCTCCACCTTCTCAGGAGGCACTTCAATTGCTTCAGACAACTCAGGCCCATTCATATTCAGCTTCGTCCTTCGAAAGAGAGCATCGACCATTGGAACACGCATACCTTTACCAAAGAGAGCCATCTCCCGTTCAAGCGGAGATAGCAGTTTGAGAGTGCCTGACAGAGAGAGCCCCTTACAACTACTTTGTGGAATCGAAATGAGTCCCGATTTCCATTGTGTAAGGCAATTATTGTTGGATTTAATGTCTATGTATAGGTGAAGATTTATATGAAAATAGGAAGAAAATCCCCTCATTTTTAGCAATAAAGATCAAAATTTTGTTTGCACACTGCGATCATGTTCTGACATGCTTCGTCAAGTAACCCCCCTTAGGAAAAATTTTTAAAAATAATTTTTGAAGGTTTTGAATACTCCTCAACACCCAGGAGTTAAAAGCTGGTGTGCTGATATTTTAAACGTGATTAATAGTCAATTAGAAACTGAAGAGGAGAGCAAGTTGGAGAGCGAGGAGAGGATTAATGATGATTATTTGGATGTGGGTTTTTGGGGTTTTTTTTTGCCAAGGGAGAGGGGTAGCGGTTCTCACCGATAGAGTTCAATGATGTAATATTTTCTTCAAAATATTTTTTCAGCTTCAAGACCAAATAATTTCCGGCTCCCTACCCTGCCCCAAAGAAGAAGCAGCATTACTCGCAGCAGTCCAACTCTGTGTAGAAGAGAATTGGCCTAACAACAAACGAACACAAACAATCCGTCGGCATCTTCTAAAAGGCCAATTTGGTCGGATACGCGATCTGGCCCAGAAAATAATGATAACTCCTTGGGAAGTTGACCAGGCCCTTTACTGCACCCCTCCTAGAGCTCTAAGCGATTCTGCTGCAAGCAATCGAAAAATCTCAACAAATCCAAACGTTAAAGGAGGAGGGGTATTAGACCTACAAATAACCGAACAACAACAACAACATGGTAATAGAAGAAGAAGATCTCTGACACTTTTCAGTTGTATGTCTGAAAGGGACCCAATGCTGTCTGAAGATGTACAGGCACAGTGTTTGCCGATGGACTTGCGTGGGGATAGAAGAACTGTTAGATTGATTAGGGTGAATATTTTGAGGGGATTTTGGACGGAATTTGGGGAGCTACGGATTTTTGAAAATTTCAAAAAATTTCAAAAATTTTTTGAAATTTTTTTGAAAATTTTAAAATTTCAAAAATTTTTTTTTCGAAAAATTCGAGCCTCTCCAGAATCCAAATTTCAACATCAAAAAAAACATAAAAATCTCTTTAAGGAACGCAAACGAAAACTTTTTCACAGTCAAATATACGAATCAGAACAGGCTATGAAACGCCTTTATGTCCAAACAGCTCGAAAATTGCCCGCCTATGGTTGCAAGGTTTACCAAGTAAAAGAATTACTGCATGGACGGACTTTACGCAAAAATGTCCGATTACTCTGTTTGTCAAAGTATCGAGGGGATTTTGTAAAAAATTTAAAAAAAATTTAAAAAGCTCTCAATTTTGCCTACTTGATGGATGCTCCAAATTCGCCTTGAGACGGCAACACGCTGCAACTCTACAACAATGGAGGGTGGGAGGTGGTGTGAGTAAACACCAATTGCTACTGGAATTTAGAGGAACAAAGTGGCAACTGATTGGTAGAAAAACTGAAAAAAATTTTTTTTCAAAAAAATTTCAAAAAAATTTTCAGAAAAATTTTCAAAAAATTTTCAAAAATTTTTAAAATTTTTAAAAATTTTCTGAAAATTTTCAAAAATTTCTCAAAATATTTCTCAAAAAATTTTCAAAAATTTTTTCAAAAAAAATTTTCCAAAATTTCTTTTAAAATTTTCAAAAAATTTTCAAAAATTTTCAAATTTCCAGCCCCCTCCTACAATATACTCAAATCAATATCAATGACCCTTTGGGAAATCATGCAATCTCGCACAAGCCTCTTCATCCAAAAGACGTTCAATCGTTCAGCCAGAACAAGTTTTGGACTCTTCGATCGGCCAGAAAGCCGAGAGGGGACGACAACCACAAATCATAGTGGAGGGTCTAGAACAACCTCCTACTCATCTACATGTTCTTCTATAAGGAATAGCAATGGATTGTTATGTAATAGGGATGAGCCGATTACTTTATTTAGATTGGAGCTTGAGAGATTACAGTATATTCTACATTTCCCAGAGGAAGTTGCTTTTCAGGTAGCTATAATAAAATAATAGCTCGAATGTCAAACAACCAAAAATCGGGTTTTCAAAAATACTTAGGGCCGTGTTTCGAGTTGAACAAAGTCCGCGCATAGAGTTACGAGAATCCCGAAGAAGTATGTAATCTCTCTCGTACAAGCCTCTTAATCCAAAAAATTTTCAATCGCTTAGCCAGAACTGCGAGTACCCCGTCCCATCCCTGCTTGAAAAATTTCAATCTACAATAGGGTTTCAAATTTAGCTGGCTATTGGATTGGAGAGCTTTTTAAGTATGCCTTAAAAAACCCGTAAGCATCAATTTAAAAAATTAATTATTTTTAAAGCTATCCTCAACTGAATATCAAATGTTCTACGGCATTGCACCCATAGATTTTGTACGCTATGTGGGATGCGATTTGGCCAATATAGACATTCAAAATAATCCTAGCCCAGTCAAGAATTTAGTGAAACGATTATCAGAAGTCTCTTCATGGATTACACACGTAATAATCAGTCAACCTACCCATGAGGAGCGTAAAAGTTGTTTGGCAGCGATTATAAGGGTGGTTGATACTTGCTGGAATATTGGAAATTTTAATGCTGCCGTGGAAATATTATTGGGATTGAAGAGCCCTCGATTGCGTAAATTTATTTAATTTAATATTCTGATTTAATTTTGAAATTCTGATTTGTAAAAATTTATTATTTCTGATAGTGCAATTTGTAAATTCTGATTTTTAATGCTTATTGTTACTTGTAATTCTGAGTTGTAATTTATTCTGTATGCTGGTTTGTAAAATTCTGATTTTTAATAATTCTGATATTGTAATTCTGATTTGTAATTCTGATATTGTAATTCTGATTTTTAATTCTGAATTGTAAATCTGATTTAATATTCTGATTTATAATTCTGAATTTTAATTCTGTTTTAAAATTCTGATATTGTAATTCTGATTTTTAATTCTGATTTATAATTCTGATTTTTAGTTACTCTTATTTTTATTAATTCTGATATTCTGTTTCTGAATTGTAATTTTAATTTGTAATTCTGATAGTTAAATTGTTTCTGTTCCGCTTGTAATATTCTGAATTTGTAATTTCATTTGTATTTTTCTACAAATTGTAAAATTAATTTAAAATTCTGATTTACCGTATTTCCTAAAATAGTACGGCCTGCTAAATTAGTACGGCCCCCTGAAATAGTACGGCCCTTTGGAAGAGGGTTGAAAAATAGTACGGCCCCCTAAATTAGTACGGCCCCCTAGAATAGTACGGCCCCCATTTAAAAAATATAAAAATAGACAAAATTTGATTTTCTAATCATAGTAATTATTCCTCGCAATATTTAATTAATTTATTGAATCTTAATATCTATTGGTATAGAAATAGGAGTGCTTAAGAGGATATCGGGGATTAATGGGGATTTTATCGGATTTGGAAGGATATTTATGGACTTGGAGTGATTTAAGTATGGATGAATTTAAAAGGATTAGTTGGAATCAAGGTGAATAACGAATATACCTGTTTATAGGGTTCCGTGACTTTTGCGCCGAGAACATTTGCGCTATCATTAAAAATATATGAATAACTACAGTCGGACCTCTCTATAGTAGGGTTGTCGGATATAGTAGGTTGTCGGATATAGTAGGGTTGTCGGATGTCGGACTCTGATATCCCTATCGATATCAGAGGTTCCCCATCGTTCTTGATTATGGACAGCACCATAATTTTTCTACTCTCTTAATACATCGAAATTAAAAAACTTAGCTTGATACCGATGTCGGCAATCCCGGAGAATCGTGGTCCCTACGGAAAAAAATCTTAAAAATAAGAAAAAGGATTTTTCTAGGGTAAAAAAATATGCTTTGGTGTCATTCGACTCAACTCGTCGAGCTCTTTCGAATGAGCTATTATTTGACCAATTTGCGCTCTGTTTATTATTCGAAATTTTTCCAAAAATGTCAAATGTTCGAATTTCGGGTTCGGGATTCGACTTTTTCAAAATCCGAGTTCAGATTCGTAATCAGCATAATTTTTTACCCTAGAAAAATCCTTTTTCTTATTTTTAAGATTTTTTTCCGCACGGACCACGATTCTCCGGGATTGCCCAGATGTCATTATAGACGGGTCTTAAATAATTTTTAAGGTCTGCTAATTTTATGTTTGGAACAAGCTTTTGATTTGGGATAATTTCCGAGCATACTATTGTGGATACTATAAAAAAATTTAAGCAAAAAATGATTCAGATAATTTTGAAAAAGGGTTGAAATATAGTGCGGCCCCCTAAATTAGTACGGCCCCCTGAAATAGTACGGCCCTTTGGAAGAGGGTTGAAAAATAGTACGGCCGGCCGTACTATTTTAGGAAATACGGTAATTTCTTTTATTTTCACAAATCTTAATTAAACTTAGGCCCTTTCTGGCTCTCTCTCAAACAAGAAGAGCGTCAACGTTTCGAAGAGTATGTTGAAGTCCTCTTGCCCCATGACCAAAAAACTGGGCAATCTTCTTCAGAACGTGGAAGTTGTACACAAAAGCAACCTTCCTCTCCCCATCCTTTATATGTTGAAGCAATGCAGAGAGCCTTAAGGATGGTTCAGTGTCGAGTTATCCCTTTCTTTGGCACTTTTTTGTATGATCTGTTTACTATAGTTAATGATTTGCCTAATTTAACTGTTGTTGGGCACAATGGTGAAGCAGAAAAATTAAAGGCAAATAAAATTTTTATTAGGGAATTGAAATTTTCTGGGGTTTATCAACCCCATTCAAAAATAAAGACGATGCCAATAAGAACATAATAATGTTTTTTCACAAAATTTTAATAACTAATTATTTTAATGAATTATTTAATACGGAGTAAAAAGGTACTGAAAAACCTTAGAGATCTAATATTTAAAATTTTAATTAGAGAATTATAGTTATTTTAAATTTCTGGAGTTAATAAACCCCATTCAAAAATAAGCATTCCAAACAAGACTACATGGCAATTGACAATAACATAATTTCGCACAATATTTTAATAATTATTTATTAGAACTTTTAAATATGGAGTAGAAACCTACTGAAAAAACTTGAGTCTAATTTTTAACATTCTACCGTAATATTTTTTATTTTAAAAATTTAAATTATTTTTCCAGTTTCTACATGACATGAATGGAGATGACCATTTTTCGTCGAAAATTAGTGTTGGGGGATTGTTGAATACTGATAAAGTAAACCTGGTGGGTAGTATTACAAATACTTTCCATTAATTTCACTATTTTGAAGGTCTGTCTAATTCTTGACAACCTCGAAATTTACCATAAACACCATCGCCAACTCCTTCGCTATGTCCCTTCTGAGGCTGCTGCTCAGCTTTGTGAAGGGTCTCCAAATGGAGCTGCTGTAGACGTTCAAAATACTAATGATGTTCATGCTGTGTTTGTTCAACAACATGCGCAGCCTCCTGGAATTTATTGCAATAATTTACAGGTAGGTATTCAATTAAAGTTGATAAGTGACGAAATGGTGTTTAAAAAGAGAAAATTATAGCATTTTATGTACGAATGTTCTCTTCACTCTATAAAAATGTTCTCTTCACCCTACTTTAGAATGTTACTTTCACTCTACAAAAAATGTTCCCTTCACCCTACATTTAGATATTCTCTTCATCCAACTTTTGAATGTTCCCTTCACTCTACTTGTAAATGTTCCCTTCACTCTACAAACAAATGATCCCTTCACCCTACCCTTGAATGTTCTCTTTACTCTAGTTCAAAAATGTTCCCTTCATCCTACATTTGAATGTTCCCTTCGCCCTACTTTTGAATGTTCCCTTCATACTACTTTTGGACTACTTAGGTTTACCCTACTGATAAAATTTCTTTAATTTTACAGCCTATTTCCATTTCTACATGGAACAACAGTCAAACTCCACCATCTTCTCTACCTTTACCAATACTTCCACTTCAATCTCCACAATATTCTCCCGAACCTAAACTATATGAACCTGCCCAACCAATACCTGGAGCGGCACACGGAGTTCAGTTAATTCCATTAAACACAACAATCCTGGATTTGGACGTTATACAACGTATTCAAGTAAAACAGACTCTCTATTTTTAGACAAGCACTAATTTTTATATTTTTTAAAGCATGGAACTACTGTCATGTAAGTTGATTTTAGTAATATGTAAATTTGCCGATCTTCTAAAGATTTTTGGGGTGTTAACCAAAAGTTCTAGTATATCTATTAGAGTTTCACCGGAAGTTCCGATTTTTGCATGATCTGTTCACTATAGTTAACAATTTGCCTACCTTAACTGTTGTTGGGCAGTGGTAAACCCGAAAAACTAAAGGCAAATCAAAATTTTAATAGAAAATGTTTCGGTAATTGAACTTTTTTGGAGTTTATGAACCCCAGTCAAAAAAAAAACCGTAACGAATATCAACATAATATTGTTTTTTCACAAAATGTTAATATATAATTATTTATTAGAATTTTTAAATACGGAGTAAAACTTAAATTTTCGGAAAACATACTGGATCCGGTTCCGGTCAAAATTTCGGTTCCGGTGAAACACTAATATCTAAGTACTAGTATCGGACTGGAGGAGTCCTCAAGACTATGTTTGATATAATTCGAGATAACGTCTCGATCCGATCACGATATAACACTATTATAATACATAAAAACAACAAATGTTTTTAAGCCATTACGATCCAGATTCTGGTCGCAGTATTCTATGCCAACTTAGATTAGATGCTAGCTGCGCAACTGTCAGTTGGCAGAGGTACTATAATAAAATTTGATAGGAAACTTAAAAATACACTTGAAAATATAGAATTTTCTATGGCGGACGTGATGGGCGTGAGAGAGAATTAATTGCTGTAGCAAAAGCTGCCAACATACAAAGTGCCGATGCTGCCTCTGGAAATAGATTCCAAGGAGGGTCTTCGTTGACTCCACGCCCTCAGGGCGCAGGTCACTCGAAGAGATTTTTAAATATTTTTTGATACTTCCAGGCCATTTTACGCTGGATGAAGGATTTTTAAGTACTAGCTACATAAAAGCGATTGAGTCGGTTGATTCATACGAGCTTGACATTGAAGCAATATATCGTAGACACAGTGTTGAGGAAATGAGTGTTCCGGTTATGTGTTGGACTATTAATTTTGGATGTTCTTTAAATGATAACGAGTTTCTCTACTTTCTTGCTCCTCAACAGATTGCTCAATATTGGATGGGGTTGGAGAAGGTATCTATAAAGCAGTGCTTCCCGGTTCCAGGAACAGAGAAGCTCTCCAGTTACAAAGACAGAGAACCTTCAACCTCGGAGAAATCAAGAGTCGGGACCGATTGACCATAACCATCGAGCTCGGGTTACTACTCAAAACAGCTGTCTCGGAACTGAGTTGACAGAACCATAAGTCTACAAGAGTCCGGAACCGTGTAGAACAGAAACCGGCGGCTCTGGTTTCTGTTCCAAACAGCCGTTTCAGTTTGGTTCACGGAAACGGGACCCTCCAAGATTTTGAACAAGTCGGAAGCGAAGCTGTTCGATTTTTTGGAACTGGAAGCATTGTATCTATGATCAATAGCCATAAATCTAGTTTCCTCTCAACTACCTTATATAATCATGCCTAACTCTTTAGGTAGTCAAATTCATCCACGAACAAAACAGAAATCCCGACAGGCGTGTAATATGGCTCAAACGTCTTTATCTTCAACTATACAGCGAACAGGAGAGAGAACAATCCGGACTAACATCAAAAACCTCCATAGCTTTTGGAGCTCCAACACCCTCACTCGCTTCAGTTCCTCCACTCATCTCTTCGAGTAACAACAACAATAACAGTCCCCTCTCCACCGAATTTCCAACAATAACAACACGCCGAATCGGGCCAAGACCCGTAGATGCTCTCCAAGCATTTGGTGGGCGAGTAGAAAAATGGAAGAATTTAAGTGTTAACCAAACAACCACAACCTTGTATTCACCTCATGGCCGCCAAACCGATTCTTCCCCGTCTACTGAATGCGGTGGAAGTCGTTCAAAGAGTAGACTACGTCAAATGACTATTGCTGTGACTAGGCGTGTCAAAGGAAGCAGCAGTAGAGATTGTTCTAGAAGTACAAGTCCGGCACCCCATTCTCCAATGGTTTTGAAATTTTTTTTGATTTTTTAAAAATTTTTTCAAGGTACGCCCACCTTCAATTCGAAGCCAACTGAGCAGCCAAAGTGGCCCTCCCGGTCCGCATAGTCCATTACCCTATCTCCTCAAACCTCGTGTGGGCATTGAATCGGCTAGTGCTTTATCGGATGCAGGAGATCTCGATTCGTTGTATACACCTCGTTCTCGAACGCCTACTTCATCGTCTTATGGAGGCCGTTCTGTTGGCGGCCGTTCGATAAAGGTACTAGAAATTCTTATTTTTTAGTTACCTCACTATCGGATCTATCCTAGTCTTGGCGTTCACGTGGCGGCGAAACGCCAAATTCCGGCTCTATTTCCAGCAGTGGTGGAGGCGTTGGCGGTCAAATGTCCGGCGCGTTACTCAGCAGTTCTGGAAAGGAGTATCAAGAAAGGCCTATAGCGTTTACGGTAGTTGGAGAGAAAATTAAAGCGAAATGCTTTTATTTTTCTAGGAGTTTGTTGAACTTTTCCGTCTGTTTAACACAAGAATGAGAAAGGCAAAAAAATAAATTATTAAGGCAAAAAATATTTTTTCGTTAAGGATTTGAGGGATTTATTTAATGAATTTGTCATTGCAACACATTCAAGTGCCAATTCCCACGTGCCGAAACGGGCAAGTAGTGATAAAGCAACTTGTAGTCCTCGAGTACAATCACGTCTTGAATCGGTAACATTTTTTGGGATTTTCTCTACAAATATTGACTCTGGTCTAAGCTATGAGTCCAATGATCCTTGTGATCCCATGAAGCTTTAAGTGCCCTATGAAGCTTTATAAGAGTAAAGGAAGTCTAAGGAAGTAAGTCTAAGTCAAGAGCATTAAGGAATTATTATTCCACAGGAGTCCACTACTTTTAGGATCAACCCGTTTTCCTTCTTACTCTTCCACTATTCCTCAGGCATTTAACACAAAATAACAAGTATCCAGGATACTAAGCTTTATAAGGATTATGATTGCACAGGAGTCCTTAGGATAACCCTGTTTCCTCCTAACGATTTTTCTGACCATTTTCAGCTCTTTTCTTTCTATCTTCTTCCATTATCCTTCCTCAGGCATTTAACACAAAAGATAACTCATCCAGGGTACTATCCTATTATCTCCCCCATTTCCTTCCCTTCACCGGTCTTCTTCTCTCCTTTCCAAAATTTTTAACTCTCATTAACACTACTAGGTCAACAGCTGCCCTCCCAGTAATGAATTTGTACCAGACGATGTACTCACCAGAAACACAGCTTACCACCTTTGCCAATTAAATGATAAACAACAGAAAATATATAATGCTTTAGCATTAGCTTGTGTTTCCTCTTCAGGACCCATGGACACCTCAAGGAATGCTTTTTTAACTCCGGCTTCCTTGAAACACTTTATATGTACACAGGTGTTTGTGGAGAAAAAATAAAAAAATTTTTAACTCTTTCCAGCAAATGGAGTATATTGACGAGCAATATGCTGCCAGACTGATACAGGAACATGAACCCGATCCTGGCTACCGTGCCAAACAGTTGATGTCCTTTGAGGGATTTGTGCGGTTCCTTTCTGGTGGGCATTAAATTATGCGTCAAGATAATCTTTCTCTAACCCCTATAGACTCAACCAACTTTGCCTTTGTCCCAGAACAGATTCAACCTTCTGAAGAACAATTACAGTATCCTCTCAGTTATTATTACATTTGTTCGAGTCATAATACTTATTTGACTGGGCATCAATTGAAAGGGGAGTCCTCGGCAGAAATGTACAGACAGGTGGGGATGTGTGATGTTATTTGTTGCTGGGTATGGCTACAAAGCCAAATCACGAAGCTAGGATTCTAAGGTGCCAGGACCCATGATTTGAAAGGTCGGAGCCGAAGCCATAAAATGCGTAATACCTAGCACTGTTAACCTATCCCACTCATTCTGTTTATTCCTTATAGGTCCTCCAAACAGGCTGTCGTTGTGTAGAACTCGACTGTTGGGATGGAGACGATGGTTTGCCTTTGATCTATCACGGACACACCTTAACTACAAAAATAAGCTTTCGCTTAGTTGTAAATATAATCAAAAAGAGTGCATTCCAGCAAAGCCAATTACCAGTTATTTTGAGTATTGAAAATCACTGCTCCCTGCAGCAACAGGCAAAGATGGCACAAATGTTTAAAAGTGCTTTTGGAGATCGTCTAGTTACTTCCTATCTGTTTGATACTGATTATATGGAGAGCCCTAGATTGCCGTAAGTTCAAGTTTCTTTATGAAAGGGCATGAGAGATATACTACCTTCGGAGTTGTTTTTATGGAAGGGCATGAGAGTTATGCTATCTTCGGACACTTCCGAGGGGTATGTTCCCTTCGGAGGATATGTTCCCTTCGGAGGGTATGTTTCTTTCAAAAGGATATGTTCCTTTCACAAAAGGATATGTTCCTTTCACAAAAGGATATGTTCCTTTCACAAAAGGATATGTTCCTTTCACACAGGGACATGTTCCATTCGAAGGGGCATGTTCCTTTCACAAGGATATGTTTCTTATACAAGGACATGTTCCTTTCGCAAGGACATGTTCATTTCGCAAGGATATGTTCCTCTCTAAGGGTAATTTACAAAAATATGTCCACTCGCAAGGGGGTATGTCTCTCATTATTTAATTAAAATATCCCTTTCAGCTCCCCATGGCAACTTCGTAACAAAATCATCATAAAAAATAAGAAAATGATTGCCGAGCCTTCTGCCGGTATTTATGCCACAAATATTGGGCATTTTGATTCACATTACGGTGGTGACATATTAATCGGTGGTAATGGCTGCGGTGCTGGCGGATATTTACCTCTTCATCACCGACATAGGGGCGATTTAGTTGCCGAGGTTGCCCATCATGGAAGTTGTTCAAGGAAAGGATCTTATGAATCTTCCTCCATCGATGATATGGAAGATGATGAGTTGGAGTATTTGGATGATGAGGATGTTGCAACAGAGGATGATCCGACTGAGACTGATGTTGAAATAAGGACTGAGGGTGAACTGATAGTTAAAAGACAAGTAAATCTTCCCATATTTTCAGGCGATACAGCCTCTCCAATGAAAGGAATTCCAATTATTAGAACCTCATTTTCATCTAATCGGCACTCCAGTAAAGATTCATTGAATAGCAGTGTTTTTGCCAATAATGACAGAACTAGGGGACTTAGCCAGGTTGCTGGGGCAATAGCTTCTATTGCAAGTCCAGCAGCTAGTAGACGTTTACAGAACAGGAAGAAGCTTGGAGGGGAAGATTTGGTCGTTCTACCAAGGCTGGATTTGAGAAATGAGGATGATGCGATTTCTCAAATTGGAAATATATGGTGAGTTTTGAAGGAGTTTAAGAGTATTTTTGTTCCCTTCGAAGGGCTATGTTTCTTTCAAAAAGGCGGTGTGTGGCTTTCAGAGGGGCATCTTTCCCTCTAAGGATATGTTATGTTAGAAAGGGTATTTTCCATTCGCAGAGAACATAAACTTTCACGCCTCAGGTAAAGCAGGTGTATGTCCTCTTAGCAGTGATGCGCTCTCTTCACAAGGATAGCAGGGATATGTATCACAGGGTCGTTTGTTTACGTCAAAGCTTTTCTGTAAAATGGCTATGAGTCCAAAAAATAAAAAAATTTACAGCCAACGTCATTGTCACCATCACCATGCCAAAATTGGTCGTCGTGGTTCCACATTCACTACCACAACAGCTGCAATAACTAGAGCTTCTAGCAGTGGACATCAAATAGCCCAGGAACTTTCAGATTTGGTTATATATATGCAAGCTGTAAAATTCAAAGGATTTGTGGTTACAACAACAGAGATTCCTATAGGGTTTAGAGAGATTGGAGGGACTAATGTTGGATTTGATACCATTGGAAGTAGTGGTATTGGGAGTGGAGAGCTGAGGCCATGCTCTAACAGGTGTGTGCCTCTTAAAAACAACGAAGGACGGGATGGGAAGAAGTCTTGTTTTGGGGCTGGTTTCCGAAAATTTCTCGAGTTCGGGTTTAGTGATTCAGGTCGAAAAATATTGAGATAACCCGTCCATCTTTTAAATTCAAAAAATAATCCCCTTTTAAGCTTTGGTGGAACTCCTCGAATGCGTGCTCTTGCCCCTACAATGTTGAGTTCCTATTCAGCTACAGTACCCTCCCACATCGAGGCTAACATCCAACAGGCTCATCAGAAGCGTCCAAAGAGTAGCATACAGATTTCAACAGCAGAATCAACTAGATGTTTACAAGTATAGTGATTAACTTGCTTATCTTCTATAAGTTTTGATTAAGCTGGTCAGTGCCCAGTTAAGCAATGGGAGCGACAAAGGAGATTCACCATCTACTCTTCAGCCTGTACAACAACAGCCGTTACCCCAACAGCAACAACCCTCAACTAGCAATGTACAGGAGCAAACTGCTTCAACTTCTACTCAAAATAATGCGACAAATTTACTATCTTCCTCTAATACAAATAGACAGCAATCGCCAAACTCTCAAGCTTCATGCTATCAAGTTGCTAATATTAATGAAACATATAAATAAACTTGAAGCAGACATGGAACAAAATTAAATGGGAATTCTCAAATCCACCGATATTGCTCCAACCCCCCTTACCCCCCTCCTCCTTCTTCTACTCCTGACATATCACCTGATATCCCTCTTAATCTCCCACACAAAATACAAATTTTCCGGGGCGGTAAGTTGGTTAACGTTAGGATTTGTTCACAGACGGATTTTCCGACCACTCATGGATTGTCCACGGATCCCTTGACACGAATTAAACTGGAAGAAACTTAACTTAAAAAATTTAAAAAATATTGAAACTTAAAAACATATTGCTACGTTTAATCTAAAGGTAAGCTCACTAACTGAAGCATCAGCTAGAAAGTTGTGTCGGAAATATGCTCAAAAATGTATTAGCTATACTAGGAATCATATAATGTAAGGACAAATTTTTTACTACTAGAATATTAAATATAAGGAGAACATACCCTGGAGGGATGCGAATAGACTCTTCCAACTTTAGCCCACAACGGCTTCTAGAATTTTGGCAAAGCGGGTTGCAGGTAGAAATTTATTTGTAAAATGTATTAAGAAATTCCCTTCTTAAGATGGTAGCTCTCAATTTCCAAACTGCAGATGTGGCTATGGCTGTAAATACTGCAATGTTTGAACAGACCGGGAATTGTGGATATATCTTGAAGCCTAGAGCTTTGTGGGATGCTAACCACCCTCTTTTTGGGAAATTTAATCCTTATTCTAAGGTACGTAACTGGTTATTCCCACACCAGTCGTGGTGCTAGACCCTTTGTTCTATCAACTGCCTTACTCAAGCAATTCTATTTCCGGTCACCGGAATATGTTTCATAATTTGTGGTTCAGGAAACGGGTCATGGAATCTTCAAACTGAACCACTCAGAAAATGCGGAACACGGAAAAATGAATCATGAGAACGGGGACCGTTTCTGGATCCGTGAACCATTGACTGCAGCTTCTAGACCCTCTAGAGGCACCTTCTAGAGTGTATCCTATAATAACTGGAGTCTATTAAATCCCGAATATACCCTAACATTCATTAATCCATTAAAAAGGAAATTTCATCGTGCCCAGCAATCATTCTTCAATTAACTATCATTTCCGGACAATATGTCAGTCCAGGATCGTTCTCAGCCAACCCAACCCTTGAAATCGAAATTATCGGAGTCCCAGCTGATTGTGTAAAAGAAAAAAGCAAATCTTCTGGATCAAGTAGTGGACGCAACTCTGTCAACCCTATATGGAATCATTCCTCTACTTTTCGAATCGTTTTTGTTGAACTTGCTTTTTTACGGATTTCTGTATATGATGGGGACAATGGAAAATTGCTTAGTCAGAGGGTTGTTCCTGTAAGGTGTCTAAGACCTGGTTATAGACACTTGCCGTTGAGGACACCGAATAATCAACCGTTGGAGCAATCTCTACTTTTTATACGGTGAGGATTTTTGAGGATTTCAGCAGCTCTCTCAAGTTATAAGAGCATTCCTTCGGAACACCCAAGTACCTTCATTTCTTATTTTGAGGCCATATTCATATCCAGTTATATTTTAATAAAATTTTCGTTGAGACCTTCTTATCTTGGGGAACCTCCTATGGGTCCATTTGGGACCTTATATCTTGCAAGAACCTGTGGAGCCTTTTTAGGGAACCTTCCTTACTATATTCCCTATATTATGATGCTATCTGGAGTTTAACAAAATTATTACAGTACTCGCTTCGAACAAGAAGAACATATCTATCTTCACGAGGAAGATCACCCCCTTCCTTACGGCGCTCCATACTCCGCCCAACATTCCCCTCACTCAGCATGTTCAAACTCACAACCCCATTCTGGTTCAATCAGTATGGGAACAAACAACAATTATGAGCCAGAAATGCTTTACCAAGTTTTGAAAATTGACCCTGAAGCGAACGTTAAGCCATTGTTTATTTTGAGACGGCAAATCTTCATTATCAGAATATTGGGTCTTTTTCCAGATGATACAACCAGCGTTGTGGTAAAAAGATTTTATAAATATATTTAAAAAATGTAGAGATAACATAACAAAAATTGGCATTTTAGAGTGCAAGGCTCAGAATTTTAAAAGTGTTCTGTTCATACAATACACATGTTCCCTTCACACTACCCATGGCCCCTTCACACTACACATGTTCCCTTCACACTACCCATGGTCCCTTCACACTACAAATGTTCCCTTCACACTACCCATGGCCCCTTCACACTACACATGTTCCCTTCACACGATACAGTGCGAAGGGAACATATGATATGCTTCATCAGACTTAAATGGGCTTAACATTATTTGAATAATTACCAGGTCCATGCCGAATCAAGCAGCACCGTTCGTTCAGTAATAGCAAAAGCTCTCTCCAACGCAGGCAAACAAGCAGAAAACCCAGATGATTATATTCTTTTCGAAGAGAATATTCCTTCTATCCCAGTACCTCCAAACTCAACTTCCCCTTCTGCTTCAGCTTCAGCCACAGCATTATCTTCGGTTTATCCATTAGATGCTTCTGCCAATATTTTTGGTCAACAACCACCTTCAACTAGTGAAACAACCACAAATTTCTTCTCTACTTCGACTTCAATAGACCAGGCAACGAAGCTACATTCTCAATCACAGCATAGAATATTGCCGCATAATGAGCCTATATTAGATGCTGTAATGTGTTGGAATGGGGCTTCTAGACGGTTCCATTTGAGAAAGAAAAATGTGGTAAGCAACAAATTTTGATTGATGTTTACATGTTTCACCCAAGAGTTGCTTCCTTAAATTCAAGCTTTGTTAAAGTTGAAGCATTATTAATAAACTGAAGCATGCTCATTTTTCTTATCTCGAAGCAAATGTCTGAAGCAAAATTTGTTTCAATGCTTCAGAAGCATGGTCATGATTCAGAAGCATAATAATGATCAGACATGATCAGAGGCATGATCATCTATCTCGGGAAATATTCCAATTTTAAACATATTACTTTGCTTCATTCACTAGATTAAAACAAAATTAGTTGCCACGGAGTACTTAATTTTCTCACTATAGGACCCCGCTACAGGTCGTTCCTCACTATTCTCGGCAATAATGAAAGGAGGAGGAATATCCCAACAACAACAATCTCATCAAACACCCTTAGCTCCTCGAAAGTCTCTTGGTCAAGGAGCAGAGGATGGTTCTGGTCAACGAACAAAATCGCCAACTGGAGCGATTAATTTAACATGTAGATCGTCTGTTGATGTTATCGAGCCATCCGGGGCTCATGCCGGAGAGAGTTTAGAGCCGGGTGAGGGAATGGAATTAAATTGTGATTAAGCATCTTTTACCTTACAGGCATGCATCCACGAGCCAAATCTATGGGGGAAACCTTCATTGTTTGCATTCACAACATTAGCGATAACCATCCTTATGCTATATTGAGAACAAGGTTGATATTGTCATTGATTATTTGATTAATTTTTAATTTTAGTGTGAACAACACTGCTAAAGACGTGATTAATCAGGTAGCTAATACATTCTTCTAACCGTTAAGTATTTCTTCCACTAACCATATGTTCCCTTCACACTACTTATGTTCCCTTCACACTACTTATGTTCCCTTCACACTACTTATGTTCCCTTCACACTACTATGTTCCCTTCACACTACTTATGTTCCCTTCACACTACTTATGTTCCCTTCACACTACTTATGTTCCCTTCACACTACTTGTGTTCCCTTCACACTACTTATGTTCCCTTCACACTACTTATGTTCCCTTCACACTACTTGTGTTCCCTTCACACTACTTTATGTTCCCTTCACACTACTTTACGTTCCCTTCACACTACTCAAACTTTTTATAGATCTTTGCCAAAACCCAACGTTTCGACATTAAATTGGAAGAATACGCTCTCGTTGAGGAGGTACACTGTAAAGAAGGGACATCAATTCCACACAACACAGCAGCTCAGTTAGCTTTTGGAGGAGGCAAAAAGTCTGTAGGTTCGAGTGGCACTTCTGCCCCCGTTAGATATCGAATGCTGGATCCAAACGAGAATATCTGGAAAATTCAGAGTAGATGGACTAGCGGTTCAGGACGCTTTTTATTGGAAAAACGAGATCAGGTGCCCGGGAAGTATTTTGACAAGGTACCCAAAATCACCCATCTATCCAACCTAAAAATTTTTTCAAGAGTCGGAAGCCTTCTGAACGTCCAAGAAGTCCACTCTTCTACTATTCAATGCCCTCCTGCGCCATCCCTTCAGTTTCCGGCTCAAACTCTCCAGTGACTGGAGTGACTGGAATAACTATTGCACAGCCCTTCTCCAAGCCCCCATCACACCATGCTTCCTCTTCAGCAAGTACACCGCTAAGAAAGATATCGTTGTCGAATATGAGGCCGATACAAATCCAGAAGAGGATTAGTCGATTTGGGAAATCGTTTACACTGGTAATTTTTGAGTTACCGTATTTTCTATAATGGAGCCTCCGGGGCTGTATTTTGTAAGCAAATTCCAAAATCACCTTTTAAAAGAGTAGGGGTCTCTAAATCAGAGGGAGGGGCTCTATTTTTCAACTATCCTCCAAATGAGGGGAGGGGAATTTATTTTAGAGGACGGGGGCGCTCTAATTCAAAGAGGCCTTAATATAGAAAATACAGTATTTAATAAATATTGAATTATTTCAAAATTATTCCCTTTATCATTTATAGGATAGCGGTGCAAATAGACACAAAGACTCTTTGGAGAGAAGCTGAATTTCATAATTAAATAAACAAACTTTTTTTACAAATTAAATTACGCCTGCTTCTAAATTTAATTAAACTTGTTAAATAAATAAACTTGATGTTTTAATAATTCCGTTTAAAACAGGCGGAATTAAAAATCGGAAACAGGCGGAATTTACAAAACAAGCAGAATTTAATTAAACAGGCGGAATTAAATAAAACAAAACTAAACAAAACAGGCGTATTTAAATTAAACGAACATTTACAATTTTATAAAAACAGGCGGAAATAAAACAACAAATAAATAATTAATTAAAATAATTTTTGAATAAACAGGCGGAATTAATTTTTAAACAGCATTGTTACGTAAACATAATGTTTTTTATTCAAGTTTCATTGTTTGCACAAGCTTTGTTTCAAGTTTTATTTTGTTTCAATTTTTAATAAATAAATATATATTGTGTAAAATTTAATTGAGCATTTTTTCAATTAAATTTAAAAATTATTCTTTTATTTTTTAAAATTATTAAAAATTCTTTTCCCGATATTTAATCATTTAAATTTTTTTTAAATATTTAATTAATTAATTTTTAAATTTTTAAATAATTTTTTTCACATTTTAGCATTATATTTTATTAAAATTAGCACCTTTAAAAGTCTATAATTTAATTAAAATTAATAAAAAAATTTTTAAAGTAAATTATAAGGTCTGAAATAAATTTTTTTATTAATTTTAAATTTTTATATTAATAAAGAAATTTTTTTTTTAATTTTTACTTGGACAAAATATGAATAATAATACCCTTAAAGGTCTATAATTTAACTGAAAATTAAATTTAAAAATTCTCTTTAAAAAATTTTTTTTAATTCTTATAAATTTTAAAAATTATTTTAGACATAAAATAATCAGAAAAAATTATTTATAACACAAAAAATAATTTCTTACTAGACAGGAAACGCGTATTCAATTCCTTGAAAATCCCAAAAATGTAGTCAAGTATTTATTAACGGATATGAACCAAAACTTAATTTTAAATATCAACAAAATACAAAAATCTAAAAATGAAACAGAAAAAAAATATTTTTCTTTTAAATTCAAAAGAAATTTAAAAATGCCACAAATTTATTATTTAAAAATAAAAAATAAAGTTTCAATAATCACGCAATAGTATAATAAAGAATGGCATTTTTTCTGTCATTTTTGTGCCAAAAATTTTTTTATAAATGAAAGAAAATTTTTTCCTTACTTAAAAAAATTATATTATTTATTTATGAAATATTTTTTTAATTTTTTATTTTTTCTATTTTTTGCTAATTTTTGCTAGCTCGATGGTGGCTTAGACCAAGCGTCGTTTAAATTGAATTTTACTTCTTTTTTTATTTTTGCAAATTAAATTTCAATAATTTTAAAAATTTATTTCTGTTATTTCGTAGTGAATTAAATTTGACACAAAAGAAATAAAAAATTTTTAAATTTATAAATAATATCTGACATAATAAAATCTGACATAAATAACGTATTGTCTTAAAACAATGCCAGTTTTATGGCCATACTTATTTTAATTAGTTAAATAAATATTTTTCTTTCATAAATTATTTTTAACTCATTTAATTCTTTATTAATTCCTACAAAGAAAAACCGAATCCGTCGAGGTTATCACAAGTTGCTGGGCTTAGACGCATTCAAGGCTATACGGATGCAGTCAGTTATAAGGCCCTAATTATTTTAGTTATTTAAATAAAATTTTTGCTAACAGCTTGTCTTGTAGCCCACTTAATTCTCTATTAAACGACACCAAGATAAGCTCAATCCATTTAAGAATTCAAAAGTTATAAGGCTTGGACTCGTTCGATGTCAGTTTTATGGCCCTTATTATATTAATTGCGTTTTTTGACATGGCTATTTTCTCAATTCCTATAAAATTTCATTTCATTATTAACCGTGAAGCCCACCAAATTTCTTATTAAATGACACAAAGATAAGCCGAATCGGTTCAGGGATTCAAAAGTTATAGAGCTCGGACTAGTTCGATGTCAGTTTTATGGCCCTAATTATCTTAATTGAATTTTTTTGACATAGCAATCTCCTCAATACTTATAAAATTTCAACTCATATTTTATCTTGTAGCCCACTCAATTTCCTATTAAACGACACCAAGATGAACTGAAACGGTTCAGGGATTCAAAAGTTATAGGGCTTTGACTGACCCAAGGTTGCCTCCACCTTGCATAACACATTAAATTTAAAACTTAAATAAAATTTGAAATTAAGCATAAGCTTAAAATTAACTTAATTATTTTTTAAGAATAAAAATGTCATTAAATAATAATTTTTTAATTGAAAATATTCAAGACAACAAAAGCATATCTGACGATACAAAGGTATGAGAGGCTTATTAATTAAAATTTAAGTTAATTATTTTATAGTTATTTTATTTGTTGTCAACTGAACCAGGGCCTAAATTTGCTTTAATTCTACCTTCAGTTTTATTAACGTTGATTGCTATTATTGGGATTCCGTTAAATGCTGGAATCATTTATGTGTCTGTTAAATATAGGTAAATTATTAAAGGGTTAAAATTGTAGGGCGAAGGGAACATACAAAGTAAGGTGAAGGGAACATTTAAAGGTAGGGCGAAAGGAATATCCAAAGTAGGTGCAAGGGAACATTCAAAGTTGGGTGAAGGGAACATCCAAGCTAGGATGAAGTGAACATTTAAAGGTCGGGTGAAGGGAACATTCAAAGGTAGGGTGAGGAGAACATTTAAAGGTAGGGTGAAGGGAACATCCAAAGTAGGGTGAAGGGAACATCCAAAGTAGGGTGAAGGGAACATCCAAAGTAGGGTGAAGGGTACATTCAAAGTAGGGTGAAGGGAACATCCAAAGTAGGGTAATGTAATGCTAAAGGAACATTAAAATAATTTTTTCTATAGGAATAAACTCAACAGTACAGCCAACTTTCTAATCGCATTGAATGCTTTTTTTGATCTTCTTCAATTAACCCATCCTTTCCCCTTCTTTTTTGTTGCAACTTCTTCGACTAATTTTATTGGCACTTTTCTATCCATGCGTTTACTAATTCCGGCACTTTTTGGCATTCAATGTTCATTGACTTGTATTGCTTTTACTGCGATTGATAGACTTATAGCTGTTGTTATCCCGATTAAATATAATCAGGTATCTTAGTCTGCTTTAGCAAGCTGGGAAGTATAAACAATGGAGGGACTTCTTAAAGTAGCTAGTGTGAAGTGACATTCATAAATAGGATAAGGGTAACCACCAAAAGTAGGGTGAGAGGAACGTCCGGAAGTAGGGTGAAGGGAACATCCAATCGCAGGTTACCGGAAACATTCAAACTTAGAAGAAACGAAGCAAGTGAATAGGCTGCCATTAACGCCATACTCAACCTTTCTTAAATGAATAGAAGTAATCAAAGGAAGTGTTATTATTGATAATTTTACTCTATTATAAAAATTCGACATTCTCGAGTATTTTAGCTTCATATTTCGAAAAATAAGGTACAAACTACCACTATTCCAACCACAAATAACTTTTTTTTTGTCAAAACATCATTTTGCGTGATGTAAAGTATAATAATTAATGCCACTCAAAAACATTTTAAAATACAATTTTCAAACTTTCTTTAAAAAAATGAATTAAAAGTAAACTTGTCAAAAATGGAAAGTGACTCACTGAGTAACCAAAGAAAAATAAATTATGTCAGCCTTTTATACGGGTACAGCCCGAATAGTCGTGCGGCCATAAGGTCGCCAAGCCATAACTTGCCAAAAAATTTTCTGGCCCTTTCAATGTTAGTAACAATCTCTTCAGCTCGATGAGAGGAATCGGGTAATACTAAATTTGGAAAGATTCGGAAATCTTAAAGCAAGTTATGGCTTGGCGATCTTATGGCCGCGCGAATATTCGGGCGTGTCCCTTTTATACTAGTTTTATTCCCCCACAAATTTCAGATGTCTAAACGAACTCAACGCAGGTATTCATCAATCAACGTACTTCTTTGTACGTTTAATGGCTTGTGGAATGTTGTTGAATTGTGGAAAAAATGTGAATTGGAGGAGAACAGACCCGTTACTGGATTTATTGGGCAAATCGGTTGGGATAGCAAGAATCATTTGGGGCATTATTTGGTTGGGCCTGTGCTGATTGGGATTTCTATATTTTGCTATATTTTGATTTGTATTATTTTGATTGTGAGGAAAGGTTAGACTCGTTAAGATATTTTGAAAAAATATTACAAAATGATGTTTCCGGAACCGGATTCCAGATTTGCAACTTGAGCCGGACCGGATCCGGTCGGATTTTTCATGATTAATCCGGTCAGGTTTTAGTCCGGAACTCTCAAAAACCCCCGGATTTGGGACACATATTCTGGAAAAATCCGGTCGGTTCCGGTCCGGCGCCGAGTACTAGTAATATGGAAAAGATTTCAAAATGTCAACTAACACAAATATTTCATAATACCAAAAACTAACAAAAGTACCGTAAATTCTCTAAAATAGGCCCTTCTGTGAGGGAGGATTGAAAAACTATAGCAGAGTCCCGCTCTATAGGGGAGGATTGAAAGGAGGATTGAAAAACTATAGCAGAGGCTCTTTATAATAACCTCTCTCTCAAAGGGGAATACAAAAGATAAGAGAGCCTCTTGTGAAGGATTTACGGCACTAATTTAAATTTTTTAAAAAGTCAAAAAATGGTACTATAATTCAGCTATTTACACCAAAAAGAACGTTAACAACTTGGAAACCAATTTATTCCAAAATCAACTAAAATTATTAAAATCCCTCTCTTTAATTGTTTCTGTCCACGTGGGGACTGTCTTGTTTGGCTCTTTATTGCTGGGATTTACTTCTGATTTTTCGGCCATTTGGAATTGGTATTTGATGAATTTATCTGTTTGTATTATTTTAATGGGCCCGTTGACTAATGCAATTGTACTTTATATGAACAGGTATTTTTGGCATTTTTCTGGCGTTCTGAAAGTACACTAGTTAATGCTGGGACATGTTGGGAAATCTTTGGTTCTCTTTTTGGAACGTGAATGGAATTCTACCATGTTCCCTTCAGACTACCCACATTCCTTTCAGACTACCCATGTCCCTTCAGACCAGTGCTGGGTATGGCTCCGGGACTAGCTCCGGAGCCCGGCTCCGGCTCCGGCTCCGGCGGAGCCGGACTACCCGTTCCCTTCAGACTACCCATGTTCCCTTCAAACTTCCAATGTTCCCTTCACCCTACATATAACTTTCTAATAAAATGACATGATGCTAAAATTTAAATTTTAAATTAAGTATCGACTATTACGATTTATTCAAAATATTACTAAACGACACAAAAACTGTTCTCTTAAAATTCCTAAATTTAATATTAAAAACATGCCGAATTTCCATACAAATTAACATCCAAACAACTAAAACAGCAACAGTGAATCCACAGCAAAATCAACAAATGTATTGCTTATCAAATTCAACTAGGACTACTGTTAGAAATGATCTAGGATCACCTTCTATTAGAGTCACTCCTGTAAAGAATACTCTCTAATTGTAAGGGAATTTGTGGTCCTTTTAGACTAATCATGTTCCCTTTGCACTACTTCTGTTTTCTTCACACTACGATGTTCCCTTTGCATTACCCATGGTCCCTTCACACTACACATGTTCTTTTCACACTACCTATGTTCCCTTCACATTACTTATGTTCTGTTCACACTACTCATGTTCCCTTTACACAACTTATGTTCCCTTCACACTACTTTATGTTCCGTTCACACTACTTAAGTTACCTTCACACTACTTTATGTTACCTCACATTACATAGTTTGCTCCTTTACTCGAATATTTTTACCACACATGTATTTTCACCACACAATCTAATCTGTTTAAGGATCCAGAAAATCCAATTCCTGGAATTATTTAAAAAGATGTCGATAGAAATCATAAAAAATCTAAAGAATTTTTCAAAAAATTTTTTTTTTAATATTTAATTTTTCTTTGAAATTTATTTCACCCAAAGTACAAATTTTAGTTAACAAAAAATATTGTGTAATTGCTACTTTAATTAAATTTACTGATAAACTTTTATATTTAATTTTTGTGATAATTATACTGAATATTTTAATAAAAATATAAGGCAAATCAAAAAAATGAAAAGTATTTATTATTTTATTTTACGTCAATCTTATGCAAAAATATTTTAAAAATTTGAAAAAGATAATAGGAAATTTGAAGTTAGATATGCTTAAAGAAATTTTAATGTTTATTATCTGCATATATTGCACAATTTTAGTGGGGTGGAGAGAGTATACTCTCCCAAAATGGGAAAGGTAACACTTCGGACGCGAAAATCCGAGAAAGACGAAACGCGAAACGGGCACACCCTTGGAATATATGCCCTTTAATGAAGAGAGTTCCATTCTAAGGTATTGCTCACTGCATAGTAGTGTGTTACTTTAAGAGGTTTAGGTTATCTTCGGGATGTGATGAATGTTTCCTTCGTCTTCTCAAAGTCCTAAACCTAACAACCATATCTTAGGGAAAAAAATCTCAAAAAAATTTTTCAAGTAAAATCTACACTATTCTAGTCCATGTTCTCCGTTTATCCTTGTTTCCCTAAAAACTAAGGGAGTTTCTAATTAACACTCAAAATTAACACCTACAAATAAACTTCCCTTTAAAACTCTATCAATTCCACTCAAAAATAAATTTATTTTCCCATAAAAATTTTATTAAAATAAATTTGTAAATATTTATTTATTTTTCTTATCAAAAATTACCCAAAAATGAAGGGGAAAATTTAGACCATAAAAGGATATACGACCGCTACAATTTCCGTCGACTGCACGAGAATGGGGGGGAAAGTGAAGAAAATTTTATTTTATTTTTTTTTTTGTTAAAAGAGGTAAAAACAGCCGATAATTTTTGTGTTTTATTTTGTTAATTTTTGCTATTTTTAAGCTGATTTTAACCTTAAAAATGTGACGGTTAATCAATAAAATTATTTTTTGGGGGAGTTTGGGGTTAAATAGTTAAGGGGTTTTTAGGGTATAACTTTTTTAAAATTACCTCGAATGAAAGGAAAATAAACTGGATTTTCTCCATTTCAACCCCGAAGCCCTTTATAGACCTTTAGGGAGCGTTAAATAAATTCATTTCCTAAAATTATGCTTTTTACAATGAGAGAGGATGTTTCCTTCGAAGGGTTATGTTCTCCTTCAAGTAATATATGTTCCTTTCAGCTGAGTATTTTTACTTTGAAGAGATCCATTCATATGTGTGTTATGTTCTCTTCGAAAGGAAATGTTCCCTTTAAAGGACCTAACCAGTTAGAGGTGAAAAGGATGTTCCATCAAAAAGAGATACCCCGTTCGGAGAGGTCTTCGCAGGGGTGTATTCTCCAATAAGGGTTAATCCTCTCCCATGGGTATGTTACCTTGAAGTCAGAAGGATAAATATTTTAGAGATGATATCTCATTGAGAAATCTAAGTAATCCAGACATTAGGTGATCCAGACTCATTCAAAAATCTATGTAATCCAACTCTAATCTCCATCAATCCCAAACCTTCAATTCAATTTTTTAGTCGATTTTCATTTTCTAAATTTTTTTTCTATTCCTTCCTTCCAAAATATTTTTAAAAAATAAAATTTTTAAACAATTGTTCAAACAAAAAATTATTTTTAATATTCCAAATATCCCTCCATTGATTTTAATTATTGCAGAGAGACGTTTTTGTTGGGAAAACGTGGTTTTTAAATAAAATAAATTCTCGAATTTTTAAATTAAATGTCTGATTCAACCAATATTATAATCGAAAAAACAACAAATCCAGAAGAAATCGAAGAGGATCAGAAGAATGGTGGAAATGATGAAGATAGTATTTTAATAAAGAATGGAGGGAAGGATGGAAATATGGCGGATGTTGAGGATTTGGAGAGGGGAGAGAAGGGACGAGTTATGAGGAAAGATAGAGAGGTATGGGGGAAGGAATGGACCGTGCTGGGAACTAGTCGGGGCAGGTCTCGAGCAGGTCTCGAGTCGGATTTCTCTTCGGGTCGGGTTTCAGACAGAAAAAGGTCAGGGTTTCGAGTAACCTTCTCATCCTTAGTATGGGGTGAATACTTTCAGAATTTATTAATTCAGAAAAACTATGGGAGAGAGGAGGAATCGAGGTTGATCAGTTATGAGGAGTTGAAACAATACAGAAAAAGCCCTTTGTGGAGAGGATTGAGGTAGCTTTTAAAAAATTTTTTATCAAAACGGGGTGTAGGAAACACAAAAAAAGGGTGATGTGAGTATTTAGAAATAGGATAAAAGAATATTCAGAGATCGGACATTCAGAAGCAGGTTCAAGGGACATCCATATATGTCTGATGGGAACATTCTTAAGTAGAGTAAAGGGAACATTTAGAAGTGGGCTAAGGGTCTTCAGAAGTAACGTGAAGGGAGCATCAATTAGTAAGTTAAAGGGAACACATTCAAGGGAGGATAGAGGGGTGATTTAAAAGCAGGCTGAAATGAAGATGCTGAAGAAAACACCTAAAGGTAGAGCGAAGGGAACATCTTAAACAAGAATGGAAGGAAAATTCGAAAATATTCTCAAATCAATTTTCAGATTTTTACTTTTTGGAGGTGTTGCAGTCATTTTTGTTGCCCTAATTACAGTAGCCGTTTTAATAGTAATGATGAGTTCAAGATGTGAAGAATTACCTGATGGAGTAGGGCTGGTTATGCCTAAAGGTCTGAACTTAATTCTTAAAAATTTCAAAATGGTATTTATTTTTAGAGGAGCAAATTCCAAAAGTCTATCCACGCCAATTGACAGTTCTCACTGGCCAAGAAGCCATTTTCCATTGTGAATTCGCCACTGGACAGGTTGAATGGAGACGGTTGGATCCTCACGGTCTCTTTGCTGAGTTTCCTTCGGGAGTTGAAAAAACAGAAAATGGACAACTTAAAGTCCCTGTAGCGGATACCAATCATCAAGGAGAATTTGCGTGTCAAGTAAAGGATGAAAGCAATACCAAAAATATGAACACCCCTCAAGTTGTTCGACTTTCTGTGTTAAATTCAGCAATAAAAGAGAATGAGGGAGAGGTAAAAAAATTTTTATTTCTGGGTGGGCCAAAAAAAGTATTTAATTCAGAAGCCTCCTATAACTAGTCGAAATGGACGAGAAGAATTACCTCCACTAGCCTTAAAGCCTCGTGTAGACTCGTACCTAATGATTGCTTCTGCCGGTGAACCTGTTCACTTTAGATGTTGGAATTGCCAATTTGCTGAGTGTAGGACAAGCCATCGCCTTGTTTGGCAAAAAGTTAACGGCAGCAAAGACGGGGAAAATGAAAGTAAGGTATTTTGGGGGGATTCTTGGGAGAGTGTGTGAAGTTGTGAAAGGAAATTAGAGTAGGGTGAAGGAAACAGTCAAAAGTAGGGTGAAGGGAACATTGAAAGTTAGGCTGGATAAAACATTCATGTCGTGTGGAAGGATTATTCAGAAATAGGGCGAAGGGAATATTCAAACCTTGATGAAGAGAACATCAAGGAAATGACCTATTATTCATTTAATACCTCAAATAAACCTTTATTTAGTATTAAGCACTAATGGACCTCTAGCAATTGAGCGTGATGTTCAGTCTGTATTTATGATATTCCAAGAGGTGAGGCAAACTGATGCTGGCATTTATGAGTGTCTGGACCAAGGAACAGGGGCTACCTCATCCCAAGTTCACCTCCAAGTGGAACCACGTGAGTCTTAGAGTTAATAACCCTAAAAAGTTTAAGAGGTTCACATGCCAATTTTTCAGCAAGGACACCTGTCATAATTCCAATGAATCAAACAGTTCCCGGCAACACAACAGCCTTGATACAATGCACTGTTCCAGGCCGAACAGATGCCAAACTAAGCTGGCGTTTAGAAAATGGGGTTGAAGCGGAGGAGCTAACTGGGGTTAGGGATGATGGAAGGGGCCTCCTAAGAATAGAACATGTTAGAGCTGAACATGTACGGCATGGCTATGTGTGTTGGGCAATGTATCCGAAAAGGGCAGATAAGCAGGTAGGAGAGGGATTTGTTGAACTAAAAAAAGAAAATTTTATATCAGGCTTTGCATGCCGGTCCAGCAAAAGTGTATATCATTGGAGGTGGACAACCGCAAGGATGGGTTATTGAAGAAGATCATTCAGCTGTAGAACCCCAGGAAGAAATTAAGGAAGAAAAGAAGGAGGAAAGGAGTACAAAAGAAAATCTTCCGGAACTTCAGACAACCCCAGAAAATAAAATTGTGGCTGGGGGACAAATTGAACATTTTGATGAAGTAGAAAATACGTCTAAAATTGCTGTAGAAGATATTGAGGAAGAGAGGAATAAAATTGAAGATAAGGAAGAGAAGAAAAATGATGAAGCAAGCGGAGAGAAGGATGGGGTAATCGGGGAATCGAAAGAGAAAGACGTGGAAAAGTTGGGTGAGAATAAAGAGGAGGAGAAGAAAGTTATAGGAAATGAAGAGAAAAAAGAGGAGGGTGATGATGAGAAAAAGAAGGATGAGAAAGAAGAAAGTTTAAGGGATAATAATGAAGAAAGGGTTAAAGTTGAAGAGGATGGTGAAGAGAAGAATGAAGAAAAAGTAAAAGAAGGACAGGAGGAAGAGGAAGTAAAAGAGGAGAAGAAGGAAGAAAAAGTAAAGGAAGAAAAGGAGGATGAGGAAATAAAAAAAGAGAAGAAGGAAGAAGTGAGAGAAGGAAAGGAGGAAGAGGAAGTAAAAGAAGAGGAGAAGGAAGAAGAAATGAGAGAAGGAAAGGGGGAAGAGGAAGTAAAAGAAGAGAAGAAAGAAGACGATGAATTAAAAGAGGAGAAGAAAGAAGATGAAGTAAAAGAAGCTAAGAAGGAAGAAGATAAAAAGGATGATAATGAAGCCAGTGAAGCTAAGAAGGAAGAAGTAAACAAAGTTATTGATAACGAAAAAGGGAAAGAAATAGAGGATAAGGCTATATTGAAGAATGAACTTAATGTTAAGACGGATAAAGATGAGATCAAGGAAGCAGAAGCAGATAAAAGGAATGAGGAATCGAAACGATTAGAAGAAAAGGAAGAAGCTAAAGAAAAAACAGAAGAGACTGAAGAGACGAAGAATAAAGAGAGTGCAGAAGAGAAAAAAGAAGGAGTAGAAGTGAAGAAGGAAGGTGTTGAGGAGAAAAAGGAAGAAGAGAAGAAGGAAGTCGTTGAAGAAAAGAAGGAAGAAGAGAAGAAGGAAGGTATAGAAGAGAAAAAGGAAGAAGAAAAGAATGAAGAAGAGACGAAGGAAGTCAGTGTAGAAAATATTGAAAAGTCGAATAAAGGCGTTGAAGAGAAAAAGGAAGTAGTAGAAGATGAGAAGGAAAAAGGTGAAGAAAAGAGAAAAGAAGGAGTAAAGGAAAATGAGGAAGAAATTGAAGGAGAAAAGAAGGGAGTAATTGAAAAGAATAAGGAAAAAGTAGAAGAGAAAATTGAAAATGACAAAGAAGATGAGAAAGGAGTGGAAGAGAAGAAAGAAGAGATGGAAGAGAAGAAAGAAGGCGTTGATGATAAAAAAGAAGAAAAGAAAGAGGAAGGAGTTGAAGAGAAAAAGGTGGAAATAAGCAATGATACATTGAAGGAAACGAATAAAGAGAAGAATGAAGAGAAGACTGAAGAAGTCTCGACTGCTAATAAGAAAGAAACAGCTTTGGAAGAGAAAGAAAAGGGAGTTAATGAAGAAGAGGATGAAGGAAAAGAAAAGGAGCCAAATGAAGAGACTGACAGAAAACCCGAAGAGGAAGAGAAAAAGAAGGATGAGGAAGTAAGTGGAGAAGCAACGATTCAGATAGAGAGGTTGGTCCATTCAATTAGCGCCTCTGGATCGAAGACGAACGAAACTAAAAATAATGAAGGAAAAGAAGAGATTGAAGAGAAGGGAGTTGAAGAGAAGGGAGTTACCGAAAAGGACGAAGAAGATGAAAATAATACAGCTTCAACAAACAATTTTTGGCAGGTTTTGGATGCATTGATGGGGATAATGCCTATTTAATTATTATAAATCTTCCAATTCTTGTGATTATTTTTACCTCCATAAATACTCTATTTGTGTATTTAATTATGACTGATTAGGAAATTAATTAGAGCTAGGAATTTGGAAATAATAGGAAACAAGAAATGGGACTCGAAGAGGAATGGAAGGGACGGAAGAAGCGAAAATATAGAGAGAATCCAGGGCTGAAGAACCCACGAATTTATAAGCAAGCCCTTCGGTTCCATCCTGAAACCTCGATGAATGCTAGGAAAAGAAGACTGGGAAAAGGGAGGACGGGGAAAAGTAAAAAGAAATTAGGAAAGTGTATAGGGACAGGGGAAAAAGACAACACTTCTTTAAATCCGGTAACTAGGAAAGGGAAAAGGAACATGAAGTAGTCATGTTCGGGTATCCCGATCCCGACTTCCGAAGTCATTTGCTGACCCGACTCCCGTTTCCCGGGTTTTTATTCTCCCCAGCATCACTAGGAAGGGGGACAGTAAAATGGATATGGAGAGCAACATCTTTACATAAAACACAGATCCCGTTCCTAGCTTTATTCTATTTATGTTGATTAAAATCATCATATTTTGCATTCCATTATGTGATTAAATAATAAATATAATTATTTGATTATTTTTGAATTTTACCAAATTTTAAACAAATTTTAATTACCTTACAATTTATACAAATGAATGGAAAATATAGAAATTTTTTTGACAATTTAAAAAGAAAATACTGAATTACCGTAAATCTTCTGATTTTCGATCCTTTTTTAGGGTGTGCTTCTATTAGAGACTGTGCTTCTATTAAAGATTTACGGTAATTCCTCTGAGGAGTTAGGATAGGGAAGTCTTTTCAATCCATCCTTAGGATGGAGAATTATTTAAGGTATGAAATTTTTACGCACAGAGGGTATGGTGGTGGGGGATTGTTATTTCAACCTCTTCTCAAGGATAAAGGAAGAATAAAGAGATTTGAGGGGTCTAGCGAGGGGTTATACCTCTAGCGAGGGGTATTTTAGAGGTAGGGGTTATTTTGGAGGGTGAGACTATTTAAAAGGAAATACGGTATATTTTACATCATTTATAGAGGTGTTAGCGAGGATAATGAGTAAAAACAAATCTAAAATTTAATTGAAAGGAAGAAAGCTAGAAAAGCGTGATTTGAGTGTTGCAGCAGATTTAAAAATCACAGAAGACACACTATTCTGTCGATCATTTTCTGGTTCATTTTTCTTTACTTCAACCGATTTAGCACGATTAATTTTAGGCTTGCCACTAGTCTTCTTTTTTCCTAACATTTTAGTAAAATCCACAGTTCCTTTCTTCATAAACTCTTCAAAAATTAATTTTTTAATTATGTATTTCTCCTTATAGAGCATTATTAAACAGTCATTTTTTAGTTCAAGTTCTTGTATGGTATAGGGATATGATAAATCCTCCTCTTGCTGTTCTTCCTCACTCTCTTCCTTTACTTCATCCTCTTCCGACTCTTCGTTCTCTTCCTCATCTCCATTCTCGTCTTTCTTTTCTTCGTCCTCTTCCACCTGTTCGTCTTCTTCTTCATCTTCTTCATCCTCTTCATCGTCCTCCTGACCTTCTTCCTTTATCTCTTCCTCCTGCTCTTCTTCTTCTTTCCCATTCTTAACTGCATTCTCCCCCTTCTTCTTCCCTTCATTTTTTAACTTCTCCTTCTTTCTCTCTTCACCACCTTCCTGCAATTCTTCCACTTCCCTCTCTTCATTCTTCCTTTCATTCTCTTCCTCCTTAACTTCATTCTTCCCTTCATTCTCCTCCTCCCTCTCTTCCTTCTCCTCATCTTCCTTCTTCACCTTCTCAATAAACTTTTTAATTTGATCAACAAAACTAAGCTCCCGTTTTTTCATAAATTTATAGAATTTATTGGCCAAACTCTCTTCGGGTTTTCCTCCATAAGAAGATATTTTAATAAGATAATCTAAATTAAACGTTTGTGCATTTAAAAAATAGAGTATTTTCCCATCATTTTTTCGGTTTGCCAAATTTGAATAAAAATTTTGAATATTTTTCATTTCCTTTTTTGGAGTTGTTATCTTTTTTATTTTATCAATTCCAAGCTTGCGCTTATTAACAAATTCCAAAAATGCAAGTGATGATTTAGCTAGTTTTAAATTGTTGTTGGCATGTTTGTGATTCTTTATGTGAATTGTTTTTACCTAGGAATGTTAGTATGAAAATTATTAGTATGAAAATAGTCCTCAAATGGCATGTACAAATGTTGGGTAAGCTCAAATGTCGTGGACTTAGGTATCATGCACTTAAATGTCGAGTACTTAAATGTATTGGCAAAATGTCGTTATTGCCAAATGTCGTGTTATCAAATTTAGGTCCATAGGACCTCAACTTGATGTCTGAAAATTCTTCAACGACCGGCGGCCCTACTTATAAATAGGCGTGCTTCAATAACAAATTCACCTCTTTAATTAATTCAACCACTTGTTCATCATTTTCAAAATTACATAATTTCTTCCCAACTTCAAATATTTGTTTAATTTCATTGGATTTAATAAATAATTTTTCTAGTAAAATTTTTATTTTTTTCAGTCCCTCAATTTTTGTATTATCTACTGTTTTTAAATAATTTTCATAGTTTTCTATTTCTTCCTTCAATTCATCTTTCAATTTCAAATTAATACGTTGAATTATTCCTGATTTATTTATTCTGTCTAGTTGAATATTTGTTATTTGAATATCTTCCTCTTTTTTGATTTTTTCGCGAAGATCAACAAATCTGGGGGAAAATAGACATGTTATGTGAAAATAGACATGTTACGTCTGGGGAAACTTTAGAAAGTTAGACTGTGGCCTTTTTTGGTTAGACTGTGGCCTTTTTTGGCACACCCCTGTTACAAACGGAGTACAAACGTTACTGTCGCGAGTGGACATTGAGACAAAGTACAATTTCTTTCCCATGCAATAATTAATATTATATGTTCTAACTAATTTTAGTCTTCTTTCTTTTGCAGGCTAGGAAGATAACTATCGCCAACAAAGCCAAGCTACCTTTCCCAGACTATTGGACAGAAGAAAAAATATGACTGCCCAGCCCCCAAGTGGCCATTCAATATACAAGAAAATTGTTTAACCGTTTTTCTGTCATCTTCAGTTTCAATTAATTTTATTCTATTTATTTTAAATAAATTAATTTTTTATTAGATTTAACTGATAAATAAATCCTTTTGTATACTTCGACTATACTAGAATGTGTAAGACGGGGATTGTCAACAGGAAAACCCCCTGGATTATACGTTGGGATCCGGACTAGCCCAACTCTCTTCAACATACAATCGTATCATCAATTGTTAATAAGATCCAATCGTCTCATCGATTGTCAAAGCCGTCAAGCTTTAGTAAAACACTAATAAATCAAGATAAACATTTCGATTGCTGACAACTAATTATTTTTGCTAATTAATATTCAATGTTCAAAATAGAACAGTAACTAATCCGTCGAGGTTAGTAAATTGCGCCTAGTTATCGAAAGCCAGAAAGATTTAATATATAAAAAATGCCCCAATTTTAAAATGCCCAAACTTTAAATTTCCAAAATCAAAGTGTCCTCAAGATATAAATACCTATTTAACTTCCGAAGATTCTTTCTTTCTTCAATATTATAATAAAATGAATCCTTTTTTGTCAGTAAAAGATCCTCAACATTTCTCTCATTAAAAATAATACAAACATCTCTTAATTTAATCAGACTATGTATTATGTTTCTTAGCGAATCTTTAGGGGATGCTTTATTTTTTAAAGCAAAAGTCACAGCTTTTTTCCATTTGTTTGCAGTTTTTGGTTGATTCTCCGTTTCTGCTTGCTTCTCCTCCTCCTCTTTTTCTTCATTCCTTTTAGTCTTCAAAAAATTTTTAAAAAGTCTGGCCCTTCTTTCAATCCAATCTTCATCCATTAAATCAACACGTAACAACCCTGGAAGTGAATCTAGGAAAAGTTGTTCGGGTAAACAATTAAAAATGTCAGCCTCTTTCAATTTTTTCCCTTTATTTTTGTAATAGATTGTCTTGTATTCCAACTCGTCCTCTAATTTTTTAAATAATCCCTTTTTGTATAATTCCTCCTCAAATTGTTTAATTAACTCTTTGAGTTCTTCTACTCCAGCTTCTGAAGCCTCGAACAATTTTAATAACACTTTATTTTTTAACTGTAATTTATTTTCTTTGTTTTGGAATTCACTTTGTTGATTTCCGAGTAAATCTGAAAGAAATTTTGTGCTTTCCAAACAGGCTTGTTGAACATCGATGTGAACATCGAATTCAACTATCAAATCGTTGATACTGTATTCTTTTTCCGCTGAAAATTTAAAAATGTCAAATAACCTGAAAAAAGTCAACATTACCAATACCCCAAAATATTTCAAAATATCTATTACCCAGAAAATATCTCAAAATATCCATCAACGCATAATGTTTCAAAATACCAAAACTCAAAATATTTCAAAATGTCAAGAACCAAAAGGCATTTAAAATTTTAAAAACCCTTAAATAATTTCAAAATTACCAATCGGCGGTCGATTTTGTTTCGAAGAACTTTCGGAACTAGGACCAGCCAATGCCTTAGTTGGAGGGATGTTGGCTTCTTTCAAGGGGGCGATTTTGGGACTAGACATGACAAATTCTTTGTTATATGAAGAAGCCTTGTGGGCCGATTTAACGTATGAGACAAACAAAAAAATTAAAATAAAAACTTTCATATTCAATTTAGTTTGGACAAGTTGTTGAATAATTATCGTTAAAAGAAGGGGTAATTAGTAAAAAAAATTTATTTTTAAGGCATTAAATAAATAAAAAATTTAAAAAGTCGATGTTGAGAGGGGAGGAGAAAATCATATGTCTAATAAAAGGGCAAGAAAAGGGAAAAAATTTTTATTGACAAAATTGTCAAGAGGGGAGAGGGGGGATTTTTAAAAAGACAAATAAATGAGGAGGATAAAGGGCAAGAAAAAAAATTTTAAGAAAACAAAAATTAATGAGTAAAAATTAAATTAAAATACAGACTACATAAATACATATACGCGCTTCAACTTTTTGTAAAATACTGCCGGCTTTGATCTTGAGAAGTTGTGGTGAAACAACTAAAACGAAAGTGAGTTACAATTCTATAGATCGGTCAAACAGAGTTGATTAAATACCTAATTTAAATTTTGATGGAAATTACCTTTCTAATAATACAGATCCAGTTCACAGCTACATATATTCTACTAATGTTAAGTAAAATCATTTTTTGCTTCCATTATGCAAAGCAAACAAGCAGGGAAAATAGATGGATTGAAACTGGTTAGGCGGGTAAGAGCGCTGACTAAAAAGTCGGCCTGAAATTGGGTCACGGGTTCGTTCCCTACGGTTTAAAAATGATGTTTTTAATGAAACAATTTTATGATATAAAAATAACAACTTATTGATTTTAAAATTATTAAAATAACTTCAAATATTTATTTTAAGTAAAAAATTATTTTAAATCAAGAATTCAACCACCCTTGCGTTCGAGTCTGATGGTCATTTGGTAAAAGTGTTTACGCGTGAATGATTTTGCGTTTGATAGATTCCATCCAAAGTTCTTTTCGGTTTCATCTTTTCGCATAATTCAGTTTTGGATGATTCAAATATCGAACAAGATATCGGACAGCTGATCCTTGATGCTCCATAAAAGACCAAATGAACTTAATATCGCATGTTAACATCATTAATTAAGAATAAGCTAAATAATGTTGTCTGTCTGTGATGCTACTTCGATAGTTCTTGGTTCGGGAGTAGATGGACGAAGGGCTGTTAGGTAAAGAACCTAAAAATTATTTTACAAAACACAGAAAACTGATTCCAACTTCTTTGCTTCGACATAATTGGCTTTAGTTTTATTTCATTTGTTTTAATTAAATTGTTAACTATTTCCCTTGCTAGTCTGCTGTGATTTTGTGATTAAGTAATTATTATTTTCAATTATAGTTTTGAATTTTACAAAATTTTATAAACTTTACTTCCCTTAAATTTATACAAATGGTTGAAAATTTACAATTTTTAAAATAATATATAATGTGTTGTAGATTAAAATTTAAATTTACACAGTAAGGTAGCAAAATTTCAGATAAAATAATGGATAATAATGAATGATAAAAATATAAATAATGTTAATAATAAAAAATAAATAATGAATTGACAATTTTCGGTTCAATTTTGGGTAATGGAAAATCTCTATCGAGAGGTAATCGGTATTGGAATGGACTGGCATTTTAATGGAAAAGACATGACATCGAGTGTCAAATAATGCTAAAATTTAGTTGAAATAAAGCCCCTGGTGGTTGTTTTCATTTGCGGTAGCTAAAATCGTAAAGAATGGATGATAAAAAGGGGTGCTTTACTATTCTTATAGTAAAATGATTTGGCTATAGCTATTTCTAGAGTTCAAACCTGGGCAAAAACTGGGTTTACCGGGCAAGGTAGTAGTAGAACTAGATATTTTGACAAAATCCAGGTTTTCAGGATTTAACGAGTAAAAGCCCTGCCCTGTCATTCTGAAAAAAACTACATTGTGCCGGCAACTTGGAAAGTTCCAACTCTAGCACGCCGCCCGCCATCTGCACATCTTTAGGATTTAAATAGCTATAAGTTGTTAATAGAGAACAAAAAAAATGGATGGTCTTATAACTTTGAAACGAACTTTACGAGAAAAACAAAACTGAAATTTAATGGAAAGGCAAAACGCTAGATAAGCGTGATTTTACATCTGGAACAAGCGAATATGCATGTTTAGTAAACACAGAAAACACACTATTTTTCCTATTATTTTCTGGTTCATTCTTCTTAGTTATATGTTCAGCCGATTTAACGCGATTAAGCTTCTTCCCATTATCCTCTTCCTTTTTCTCTACATGAGTCTTCTTTTCTTCAAACATTTTAGTAAAATCCACAGTCCCTTTTTGCTTAAACTCTTCAACAATTAATTTTTTAATTATATATTTTTCTTTAAAGAGCATTGTTACACAGTCCTTTTTTAGTTCAAGTTCTTGGATGGTATAGGGATATGATGGATGATTAGCTTCTTTGTTCTTTTCCTTCTTCTCTTCCTTCTCTTCTTCCTTCTTCTCTTCCTTGTCTTTGTTATCTTCATCCCTCTCGCCCTTCACTTTCTCTTCTTCCTTGCTTTCCTCATCTTCATTCTCTTCCCCCTCTTCCCTCTTATTCCGCTCCACTTCATATTCGCTCTTTATCTTCTTAATCTCTTTAATTTGTTTATCAAAGCTAATAAGCTCCCAATCTTCCATAAATTCATATAACTTTTGGGCGACCTCCTCGTTTTCCCCGTATAAATCATTGAAACTTTCAATCAAAAAATCTAAATTAAATTTCCCTTCTTTTAGTATATCTTTTAGTAGCTTGACATTTAATTTAGCTAACATAACTTTTGGTTTATTTAAAACAACGTTTCGATTTTGTAAACTCATATAAAAAATTTGAATATTTTTCATTTCCTTTTTTGGAGGTGTTATCTGTTTTATCTTATCTATTCCAAGTTTGTGTTGATTAACAAATCTTAGAAATGCAAGTGATGATTTGGCTAGTTCTAAATTATTCTTAGCATGTTCGTGATTCGTGTTGTTTATTGTAGTTAACTAAAAATGTGTATATTCATTATGTATATTCTGTAAAGCATGTAGCTATTAATTTCCTAAGGCTGTGCAGTAGGCGGGTTGGTGTAATGGCTAACACATCAGTCCGGTCTACTAAAGATGCTGGTTCGCTCCCAGCCGCCGATTAACCTTTTGCACTAGCTAAAGGAGAGAAATAGCTATAGCCCGGCTGCTTTACTATTCTACTATATTGGAGGATTTTATTATGTATTAGGGTGTAACATAAATAATTAGCACCCCCCCCTCAAACAATGAAGTTTGAAAATTCATATCTCACTGTTCATAATTCCAATATTCGAAGTCCTTGTTTTAAAAATACAAGTATTTCACCTCTAACTACTGCCAACTTAATCCTAGGATTCTGATATTTTGCCAGAAAATAGGCAACTCTTTTAGGATCATAGAAAAATATTATTCGAAGTCTGAAAGCATTTAGTTGAATTTTAATTATTTAATCCTTTTACCTCAAGGGGCTAATCATTTATGTTACACCCTAATAAAAACCAATCCTAAAACACGGGTATCAAATGTCGTTTTTCAAATTTTCTATAAATTTAGATACACACCTTTTAGTGAATACACAAGTAGTAACCCCCCCCAAAATGTCCCAGTTGTGAAGTGGGACATTTCGGACGGGGTATTTACCCTACCACCAACATGCCCCAATTGAGAAGTAAGTTTTCATCATGTCCCAGTTGTGAAGTGGAAATTTTATGAACGTATTTTCCCCAATACCAGTTGCCCCAATCTAGTAGTAACCTAAATCAAAGCCCAACCCTTTTGTCTTATCCATGAGTGTCGGCAAATCAAAGGCCACGCTTTTGTCTCACTTAATTTTCCCGCACCACCCTTTTGTCTCAGTAGATTTTGGACGGTGTATTGTCCCCACACCCAACTGTCCCAGTTGAGAATTAAGTTTCCAAAATATCCCACAACAATTCCCAATTGTGTAGTAAAATATTTTATGGGTAAATTTCTCCTACACTCACCTACCCCAATTTAGTAGTAAGCCCCTCCCAAACGTTACAAACGTTACACCCCATTTGATCACCTGTCAATCAAACCTGAGGCTATAGGGGGTATTTTCTTTTGATCTTTGCCGCAAACCCTTTCCTTTTGGAAGGGTTTGAGGGTAATTAATCATGATTAATTAGGGTAATTAATCATTAATGATTAATTGCTTTTTGGTTGATTTTTCTGGGAATTGACAGGTTTGATGTTTGTGGTGTCTGAGTGGTCTGTTGCAACATTTGGAGGGTAAAATAAAATCAAAGTAATATTTGGAATTGCGGTAAAATACTAGAAGAGAGTCAAAAGGTTTTGGTGGGATGTGAAAATGCGGTAAAATCATAAAGAAATGAATTTTTTGGCTTTTAAATTTTCTATGTGGGTAGATGTAAGGGAAATATGTATTTACAGAAATGTTTTGATTGATTGAGAGAAGATTAAATACATTAATAAGTATAAGGGTGTGATTGATAAGTGATAGGGGTGGGAAGTGATAATAAAAATATGAAAAGGTTTAATGGGTAGATTTTTGATTAATAATATAAAATTTTAAAAAATAAAATCCCCAAGCGGAATCGAACCTTCGCCATCGTTTTTTCATATGCGGGAACCTTATCCATTCATAAAGAAATGAATTTTTTCGGATGGCTATATATTTTTGATTAATAATAAAACCCATTTATAACATTTTAAAAAATAAAAACCCCAAGCGGAATCGAACCTTCACCGTCGTGTTTTTTCGTATGCGGGAACCTTATCCATTCGGTCAAAGGGGTGTACTTAAATTTAATAAAATAATCGGATAAATTGTAAAAATTAATTTCTCTGTGCATTTTGGGATGGGGTGGAGGATTTTAAAAAGTTTAAAAATTTCGTAATTAAAATTTAAAAAATTTAAAATTAAAATGTGAATTTTTGAAAATAATTAAAAAATTAAATTAAATTAAAATATAATAAAAATTATTACAAAATTTTGACAAAAATAAAACAATTTTAAAAAATGAACGGAATTTCAATGGTAAGTGGATTTATTCAAAATGCCAAATTTCAAAATTTGGCGG